TATTTTTTGTAAATTTGTACACAGATTTTGAGGGTTTTAAAAGGGAATGTACAACATTTGCTTTTGCTGCAATTTTCAGAAATAAATGGGTTTGGAGGATTAGTAATAGCAAATATTGTTACATTGACTTGTTTCACATTTTGGGTTTGTAGATGCTGGAAAAACCAAGAAAACCAATCATATTCTTGTAGTCTGGTTCCCACACCCCACTTAAGATGAAACGGAGCAATTTATAGACTTTGGGAAATTGTACGATCAGAGAATCAGTCTAGCAGGCTTGTAGTCTTCACAGGTGTGTAATCATTGCAAAGAAAATGCAGACGAACTAAATATGAAAAACCTAGGAGCACTTTTTGAAAAAAAAGCCAGTTTTCTCCAAATACAGTTTTTCTTGAAAATGTCAGCACACCAGGAGCCACAACTTTACAGGATGCTTTAGACTGCATTCCCTAACAATCAAGTAAGATATTTCGTGATAATTTGATGTTTGCAAATGTTGTATCTTCCCTTTAAATATTAAAATATGTTCAACAAAAGTCCAGCACTATAATGTGACATTGTCAATTTTATCATACACTGTATAAGGCAACAAAAAAAAATAAGTCGGTCTCTGGTCAGCGCACGCGTCGATTTTAATCATGCGCGTCAATCTTTTTTTTTCCAAAATGTTCCGCGGTAGCTCCAACAGCGCCCTCTATTGCCGCACCTGCTCAATTTTTTTTACCAAAGATCACCAAGGAATGGGAAATTGCACCAAGGCAAATGATCGAAAGCACCAAGGCAAATTATGGAGGACACCAATGTACATGAGGACACCAAAAAAGCAAAATAGTAAACCACCTTGTCTGTACAATCCAAGCTTGAAGAAAAAAAAAAAGCAAAAAAAAAAAAAAGCGGCGTCCCCGCGTCAATTCCGGAACTTTGGTCTGACCAGAGACCGAATATATATTTTTGTTGGCCTAACATATATGTACAATATAAAAATGTACTTTTAGTACCGGTATGTATACATGTTATTTGGGTATATAATTTTATTAATTTGGGGTCTGGGTTTTTTTCCCTGTCCCTGTTACGTCTGATATAAGATTTTGTTCAAATTCTCAACACATTCTTTAAATGCCTTTTATCTGCAAGAGTGATCATGTAAAGCAATAGTAAACAAATACAAAAATAGTTTGAATTCAATTCTCAGGTGATGCAAGTTTGCATGGCAAATTACACAGGTCAGCTAGTGTAACAGGGATAAACACTGTCGATATATCGATATTACTCAATTATTCGATATTATTTTGATATCGATATCGCCGATAGCAATTTTTTAATCATATTGAAATATCAACAATTTTGATATTGAGGAATTATATCGAAAATGCGTCAAATTATTATCAAACTAAAATCTCCCGTTTGTGCTTTTACTTTGTGTTTAACGTTTGCTGTGTAATGAAATTTAAATCGGCGCTATCATGTGCTCATGACTGAAAATAAAAACATTGCGAGATGCCAAGCAGCAACGCTGTGTGCTTTGCATTCGCTGGAATTCGATCGTAGTCTCCCCGCGCAATATTTGAACAATATGCTAATGAGAAAGCCGTGGAAAATTGGGTCTTAGGATTTTTTTTTTTTTAAATCAAGCGTTGTCTTTATTGTCTTTAACTTTCAAATGGTGATAATCGATGTGGGCAATTCTTTGGTAACGGAATTACGGAATTTTGTCACTCTGTCAAGGATTATTCTTTCCCAAGAAAATATGTTCTATGCTAGGCAACTAATCTAAACATGGAAAGGGAGCCAAGACCCAGTAGAATTGATTGACCCCTAAAAAAAAAAAATCCCACAAGATTACCCTTTAAGGGGCGGAGCTTAATATCGGTAACGGAATTACGGACGGAGGACAAGCATATTTGAGTTCTTGCATAAATTAATAAAACTCTCTGAAGTTTTGAAATTTTAAAATTGGACACTACCTGTTATTTGTAGAGTTCAGGGGTGTTGTTAACTACGATGCAGAACAAAATTGAAAAAATAATCACTCTTTTCATAATTTGCATTTTAATCACGGTAACGGAATTACGCCTGGGCGGTAACGGAATTACGCCATAGGTTTACATGTAATAGGTAAATGCAATACTTTTACATTGAATTCAACATAAACTCATCACAATACAAATTTTAGAAGTTTATAAAATGCCACAAGGGGAAAGCTAAGTGAAAATTAGCAGATCAAAATGTAAATGTAGGCCTAAACATGTCTGGGCTTCATTTTTTAGGTCAAAGGTCAAGGTCAAATGAAAGCAATATGTATATGTAATTTGTTTTTTACCGAAAATCTAATTTTACTATAAACAATTGTATTATCGTATTTCACTAGTTTATCGTGGAAAATACAATAAAACTGCACTGGTTGGCATCTCCGAGCAAGGGAAGATGTTAAGTTATGCCAAGTAGAAGTACAAGTACAGTCTGGTACTCAACTTTCATATATACTTGTTGTGGAATATATTTTCTGTGGGTACCAGACAACGGCTTTGGCAACACATATTTAAAGGGAATGTACATCATTGGCTTTTGCTGTAATTTTAAGAAATGAACTATTTGAGGGGTTAGTATAATAGATCAAATATTGTTACACTGACATGTTTGAAGTTTTGCGTTCAAAAATGCTGGAAAAACCAAGAAAAACAAAACTGTTCAAGTAGTCTGGTTCCCTGACTCCACTAAAGGTAAAATGGATCAATTTATAGATGCCGGAAAATTGGAGGATAAGGGAACCAGACTAGCTGGCCTGCACCCGTTCATGAACATGTAACAAATAGCAAACAAAATTTGGACTGGAAAGAGTGTAAAGTTGGAGCAGTAGTTGAAAAATAGTTAGGTTTTTCCAACGGTGGTCGGCCGACCACCGTTGGAAATGTATACAAAAATATCATTTTCTTGAAAATTACTTCACACCAGGTGCCATAATTTTACAGGATGCTTTAGACTGTCATTTACCAACATCCTAGTAAGGTATTTTGTAAAAACTTGGTAGTTTCATTTTCTGATGTTTGAAAATGTTGTATATTCCCTTTAAGCATCCAAACAACTATTAGCATTTTTTAAATAGTAAAAAAGAAAACGTAAAAGTAAAAAATATCAATGGAACACCTGATTATTTTTAATTATATAATAGCAAATTAAAGAGGGAAATGATTTAACAAGTAATTTAGTATTTAAAGTTATTGTCAAGGTTACAAGCAAATCTCCCATTTAATGATATGTCATGTACATAATCTGGAGGAAATGTGCATACTTTGTGCATGCGTAATTCCGTTACCGTAATTCCGTTACCGTTTCGTAATTCCGTTACCACTTGGAAAAATGCCAAGAAATTACTATTTTAAAGTTTTTATTTTTAATTTAAATTTATAGTAGGGTCTTTTCTCAACATACATGATTTGAAGAAAAAAAACAAGAAAATTTGTGAAATAAGTAACTTTTGCCATTTTTTCGGTAACGGAATTACGTGCTAATTTTGACATTTTTAAATGAAGGCCTACACTATATATATATATATATTTATATTTTTAGAATTTTTTTTAATGACCCTGAGTAATGTTAGTAACTTGTAACATCATAAAATAAATCAAATCTTTTCCCTATAATTCAGAAAGTAATACATACACTAAATTTTGTTTTTTTACCAAATCTGAACGTTTTTAATCATAAATTGCAAAAATCACTGTTTTTACCAGAAATATGTATTTTTTTTCAATTTCGTTTTTTGAACTGAATTCCCCATTTAATTGAGGTCTGGAAAAAGTACAAAAAAGGTTTAATATGTAAATATTTATTTTTGACATTTTTTGCTCTCCCATGGAGAATTGCCCATATATCGAATATTCTTGATATTAGATTTCCAATGTATCGGTTATTGAAATTCTGGTATCGATGGTGCTTAAACAGGGACACCAAAAAAGTCGCATTTTTGAATCCTAAAATTGATGAAATGATTGACATGCAAATATTCATGGTAATGGTATGCGATCGGAACCAGTGAAAGGCAAGTGCAGTGACGTTGCTAAGCAACGTCTGATGTGATGCAGTCATCCTATACTATAGTGTGTAATGATCCAGGTGTGCATGTTTATGGCATTTTGGGCGTTGCTCAAAACATGATATCAGGCATTGTATGCACATGTTCACCGAGGTTCAAATGTCAAGTACATGTACATGTACATGTAGTTCAGTTTATCTCAATTAATGCAACCCCAAGGTTATCACAGACCTGGGTGTGCATACCAGATACCCTCATGTTTGTAGCCTGTTTTAACAATGTATACGTGTACATGAAGTTTACAACCCAAAACTCTCGCACTGTAAAAGTGAACATGTACATTGTACATGGGCCATTGCCTTTTTTGAAATTTTTCCATGCAAAGAAATTCATGTACTAGACCTTTATTTGTCATGTACGGTACATGAGGCATTAACAAATCGTTTGCGGTACATGTATCGGGTATGTGTACAAATGTACTTGGTATACAACGTATACATGGTACGTTTCGACATGTTATTTCCTTTGTTAAAACACCCGCGGTTGAGTGCTTAAAATGAAAATGCTTTGTGTGAGCACATACATTATACATGTACATTGCACTTTGCACACCACACACTGAGGTAATTTCTATTTCCTTTGTACATGTACATCTATGTACAATGTACATGTAGCTTTGTGCACACTAACGTATGATAAACAACAGCAGTCAGAGGAGATTTTGGTTTAAAAAACAGAGAATTCTGTGTTATCATTATCCGACGTGAATCAGCCCTAGACAGCAGATATTATCTCATGCATGAAAATTAATGGAATATAGAATTGTACCGATGTTCTTCAATTGGCAGTCTACTGGGTAACATGGTATAAGCAGGTACTGTGTGTTTTTGTATTTTCTGGTTGAATTATGATTACATGTTGATATTGCAGGATTAAATTGTTTCTTTACTTTTGAAATTCCTTCCAGGAAACTTGATCATTTCTGAGTAGCAACTGCATGTACTAGTACATGAAATACTAGTGTATTGAAAGGACTACAGAGGATTGATAAGCAGATCGCAACCCTGCCACAATGACCATGGTTCATTCTCACCTCATTGGCTGGTTCCTCCTGCAAACTCTCTACTTCTCTTCAGCAGAGAAAGATAGGTTTCCAAGATATCCAACTGTTCTGTACTCTGAAACAGTGAAGTTTGAAGGTACGTAATGTAGTATCAAAAGTAGACACTGTATTTTCCCATTTTCTGCTAGTAGAATTTGAGGTATTTAGAAATTGCAACACCGGTTAAAAAAAAAACAATTTCCCGCTAGCAGAAATTTGGATTTTACTTTGATGACTATCTCAGTGCCTCAAAAGTGGACAACTAAAAATCTCAAATTCTTACCAACCAAAATAATGATGCCCCAAATGTGGACAATGCAGTTTTCCCATTTCCTGCTTGCAGAAATTTAGATTTTAGAAGTCACAAGACCCTCGTTTAAAAATGTCAAGTTTCTGCTAGCAGAAAGTTTAGTGTTTTGGGTTTTTTTTATCTTGACACCTCAAAACAGGACAACTAAAAATCCGTAATTTCTGTAAGTAAACATTCTTGAGTCAACTCGTACCCAAGTCAAATCGTACTCGAGGCACGCGTGTTGACTTGGCAGAGTTCTAACCAAGGCACTTTTTTCCAAGTCAAGTCTCAAGTCAATTTTTCACAAGTCAAGTCAAGTCCAAAGTCATTTTTTTTTCAAGTCAAGTCAAGTCTCGAGTCATTTTTTTTTTAAATATTAGATGCACATACTACTCACCATGCTCACAGGAACCAGTTTATGTGTTCGACGATGGAGCCAGAGTAGGGAATGTAAGGAGACAAAAAAATCATACTTTTCAAACATCCTCTCTCAAACACCTTATTTGTATCTAAAGAGTCTAAAAATGCATTTTGAAATAATATTTTCAAACTCATTCTATCATGTTGAATGTTTGAAGGACGTCTGACAAATGTCATTCTGAACGTTTTCCTTTAATTAATACATGATGTAAATTCTTGTTGCTTTATAGCGGATTGGGGGTAGCAGCAATTTTTACCAGTTTTTTTCAACCTAATTGCATTTATCACGCTTACCGGTAAACCACTCAATGTGTACGTGTACCCTATGATCTCTATGAAATGACCACTCTATAACAACGGATGGTACTCAGACTACGCACGGCACAAACTTCACCTCGCATGAGGTTGAGTATGATACGCTGTCCATAACACACGCACGTAGATAGTCATGTACATGATGTGTGGCAGGCTCCGGATTCCCAACTATCGAGTGCTGGTTGCTAATTCTGCTTATCTGCATTCTTTTCAACCGAATGATACTAGTGTGCACAAACGCCCAGAGGTTTGTGGGATTTTTTTACTTTAAGAAACGTGTTAATGTCAGCAAGTCAATTTATTCGAGTCAAGTCTCAAGTCATATTATTTCAATTCAAGTCAAGTCTCAAGTCATTTTTTTCCCAAGTCAACTCAAGTCCCGAGTCAAAAAAATAGCGACTCGAGTCTGAATCGAGTCCGAGTCAGCGACTCAAGTCAACAACACTGTTACTTGGATTCAAGTTGGCTCGGGTATGAGTTGACTCGGGTACCGTGAGGTGGACCAGAAATTACGGATTTCTAGCTGTCCACTTTTGAGGCGTCAAGAAAAGTTGTCAAAGTAAAACCCAAATTTCTGCTGGCAGGAAATTGACCGTTTTTAAAAGGGGGGGTTGTGACTTCTAAAATGTAAATTCCTCAGTGTAAGCAGGAAATGGGAAAACGGGGTTGTCCACATTCGGAGCATCAAGTTTGGCTTGTAAGAATTTGAGATTTTCAGTTGTCCACTTTTGAGGCGCCGGTCAAAATAAAATTCAAATTTCCGCTAGCAGAAAATTGAGCATTTTAAAACACCGGTGATGCAATTTCTAAAAACCTAAAATTCTACCAGCAGAAAATGGGAAAATACGATGTCCACTTTTGAAGCTCCATACTGTAGGTCTAATTTAAAGTAGAGCTTATTTAGGGGACACTAAAAATGGACAAAAACCAAAGCACCATTGTAAGACAATTTGGAACGGATCTTGTGCCAAATCGTATTCATTTATTTTTTACATTAAAAATGTAGATTGACTTCACCATGGCAACTGGCCGAGTGCACACCCATGATGAACCCAAACATAAAGGAACCATGACATGAATTTAACAATGGAACATATTTTGTGCAAGATTCCATTCCTCTGAAATACATGAAACCATGAGACATCCCTTTTTGTTTAAAACTTTTGTATAATGTGCTGTCACATTCCAAGTTTTTCCTGATGCATGTGTAATTAACTAATTATAAGGGCACTGTTGCCATCATGTCACATAAATAAGGCAACATTCTTCAGGGTTTTCTGTTCAAAGTGTGAGCCCAAAACTTTGCTAACTGAAAAGAAAATAAGTTTCTTTCTAATATAATATATGACCCCACAGTTTTGAAAATTGAGTATAAATTGGCATTAGTATAAAAACCAAAAAGCACCAAAACACGCTTGAAAATGGCTAATTTGGACAAGCGTACTGACTGAAACTAAAATTGTGCCTTTGATACTGATACTGATTTTATTGGCCTAGAATAGCAACGTGTCCATAAAAATAACTGTTCACTTCATATGTCTGCATAACATATAAATTACCTCATTCATATATGCGTTACATACACTGTGTTGCATACCACTGCGTTGCGCATAATATGTTCATGTAGGGTCAGCCTGCGTGCCTTGCTACTGAGAACTACAACCGCTCAGTCTAATGTCTAAAAGCAAAGCTTGCAGTTATCAAAAGGTTACACTGCAATTAAATTGTTTACATAGTACATACATGTTTTTTAGAAGTCGATCGTTTTCACTAATTACTGGCATGATATCCCTGCTATACTGTAAAGAAGAAAGGGTGCCCTGGCTTACACTACATTGTGGGGAAGTTTTTATTGTTAGGTAAATTAGAGTTATGGGGAGCATTTTCGGTCCCCACGAATGATCGTAGCGACGAGTGTACATATGCCCACACAACTACAGAACAAGGCTGTGTGCGTGTTTATGGTCTAAATTGAGGACACACACGTGCAATGTCGATGAATTGAGGACAGGAACTAAATCGAGGACAACCTCGATTAGAAAATGTTTACAAAACCAATGAGAGCTGTTGCAGAGTATAAACAAGGGAAAAGGGAAGAGGAACAACAGAAAATCCTTGATTTACACCATAAACAAACATGAGTGTTGTTCAGACTGTCCATGCCAACACACACTGCACGCTGCAATACACCACCCATGCACACACAGGACATGCCAACACAGGCAATTGATGGCAAGACAATATGCGGGGCATTGTCCAGTGCTGACCCGCAGCAAATGGCCATAAAATGCAGCGGACACTCACACAAGGCTGTGGATCTACCGTACAGGTCTCAAACTTCTGCTGAACCACATCAGGAGCCCCCTCTACTTTCAAGACCTCCACTTTCATGAAAATAGAGAGTACATGTACATGTATGTATGCCACCTGCAAGAGGTGGCCGCTGCCATGGGCATCCTGAAGACTGACTGTAAACATGGTAAATGGTGCTGCGCCATGAACTAGGCAAACACATATGCCAAACCCCATCAGATGCATGGCCAACTCATCTGTCCTCCGTTACTGCAACCCTACCAGTACTAAACCCAAGGAACAGTACAACACAAACAAATTCCTCAAAGAGTTGGTTAGGTATGCACAGTTGTTAACCCTAATGATCCCCATCCAGCCGAACTCCAGCACAAGGGTTTGGTGGAGTCCAACTGTTTATGTGTACAGTTTAATACCACCTTGGGTAAGGAAGATTCCTAGTAAATTTCTTACATTACAACGTAACAGGCTTTCTTCCAACGTGTCCTAGAGCTAGGAAAACAAAGGAGCTGTGCTACAAGACCTTAGTACGCCATATTATGTAGTTGAATACTCTAGCATCAATATGGGACCCCTTGACAGCAAGCAACATCCAAAAGCTGGAGATGGTGCAACGGCGTTACTCAAGCTTTGTGGGTTGAGTATCTGTCTTTTTACTCCATTTATGACTCAATAACTAACAATAATTTACACTGTCTTCATTTTTACAGGTTCGTCTGATGACCAAATGTGTGGCAGTGGACCGGGAACACAGCCCTACCGTGCCCCACTTGTTTTCAAGGATGATTTTTCAGAGCTTTATGTTGGTGGCCGAAATGTTTTGGAGATAGTTGACACATCCAGCTTCAGCATGGTAAGTAACATTGGTCAGAATGGCTGTGTTTTGTTAATGTTTCTAAAACGTCTTAGTTAAATGTTTCAACCATTAAGCCAATAATAAGTCTCCGGATTGTAGTGTGAGCAGCGTCACCGTAGCCATGCGCATCGGCAAAATTACATTGTTTATCAATGTAAGATGATGTCTCAAAACCACCAAACTCACTGGTTTGACTGGAATCCCGCTGCTGCAAAATTTTAACATGTTTAGATGGGGGTTACGAACGAGTGTAAGCTTTATGTGGCTAATCTGGGCTCCCAAATATTTTGTACTAAATTATTTTAGTCGGGCACCATTTGCACACGGTGTTGCAATGTTTAATCAGCCAGATGGTCATGTATCTGGAACCTTTAAACGCTTTTCAATTTATAGCGCAATATGTAAGGGAGCAGACTAATGACCAGCCTGGCAGCACACGCACGATGTCGATGTCGCTGTATGGTCTGACGTTACTGTTTTCCCTGATTTTTGTCGTGACTACTTCTCAAGCCTTACGGCCTTACTGAGGTCACCTCATAGCAAGCTCCACTCTGAAATATATTGTTGAGAGTTTTAAGGGGATCGAAGCGTCTTCTGCAACATCAGTTGACATTTGAAGAAAAAAAAGTAGGGTAAAAAAAAGCGCGTCGCCGCACCACTTTTTGGGCATGCTCCATACCAAAAACTGGCATTTTTTTGGGCTTTAACATACATACACCAGTACTTGCTTTGGATGGGTCCTTTGAGCAGTCCTTTGAGCACAACACTTGCTGGGTTGCTCTGGATACAAACCTGTGAGATGGTGGTTTGTGGGAATTCTAATTTTAATGTTTTGCCCAAATGATATACATTTTTGTAGATTCTGAGCCAGTTTTGATATTGTACATAATTTCCTATGCATACAAATGAAAGAGAGAAATGCTGTACATCTCAAGTACATCAGGTGGTTGGCGAAACAGTGACTTGCTGGACAAGATGAAATACATTCTTTTAATAATTTTTTTCTTTAATTGCAGGGTAGAGAACTTCACTTCAGTACATGTACAAACCCTCCACCTGAGAATGATCCGGTGAGACCATATCTTCGTTATATTCCATCAGCGTTATTATGCACTTACACATACACTGTTTTTGTACATGTACAAGTTTGTATGGGCAAATTGGCCAAAAAAGAAATGTCTTTTATATTAGGTACTTTATTATTATCATTGAAACAATTGTTACAATGATTTCTAAAGTGTAACACTTCTGAAAAACCAATCCTCATACACAATTTGATTTTTGTGTTTTCTGTTGAAACATGTCACATGGTGAATTCTCAGAGATGAGAAAACGAGGCAATGCGACTTCGCCTCCTGTTGCATGCTTTATGTACAATCAACTGCGAACATATGCACAGATACACACTTCCGCTTTATAGTATTGCACCGATGATGACATTTGAATCTGATGTTTCTGGATAAGAGCCATTTCAGAAAATCAAAATCAGCTTGTATCTGACGTGATAGTTTAATGCAGAACCCCCCCCCCCCCCCCAAAAAAAAATAATAATAATAATAATTACCAATAATGGGGTATTAGGGAGACATTCGTAACTTTAATGACCCCTAACCCCAATTTTACCTTATCCTGCACAGTTTTTAGATAAGAAATACTTTCTAATGTTGTGTAATGCCAAAGATCAGTTTTAAGGAAATAATAATGAGGTTAAGTGTTAACCATGATAACAAAGGTACTAAGAAATGCTCCATGCATATATGAAGATTGTTGTAATATTGCAATGCACCATACTTTAACCGTCCTATGCAAGCATACATGTACATGTTCATTCTGTGCCAAGTAGTCCTTTCAGTCAAAATCAAACAAGTGACTCTTTTCAACAGTTAAATGTTCAACAATTCCCAGCCTACATAAAGCAGGATTGACTGGTTGGGACTGTTTAAGTAACTTGATACAGCTAATAAGCTTTGACTCCAGGTAAGTGATAAAAGGGCTGTGACCACAACTTGCCTGCTTTGTCTGTTGACCCAGTTTGACTGGTCACCCTGCTTGCTTGACACATGATCTGACTGCTGGTGACTAGCCTTTGTTAAAAGTATAGCAGGAGAAGTGAAAGTGAACTTTGACTGTCTGTCACTGTTTAAATAGCAGGAGGGTTAAATGTCATGACTACATGTATTGCTCCACTGATTTGCATTGGCGTGGTGACTTGAAATGTTCGAGTAAATTTTTGATTTTATAAACAACAAAATGATTTTTTTCAAACTTTGTTTTTAAACAGTGTCCCTACGTGAAAATTATTCAGCAAATGAATGCAAGTTGTCTCTTTGTGTGCACAACTGGGACGCTGCCAGCGTGCTACTTTGTTGACACAACAGATGAGGTAGGTCTGTAAAGGTTTCAGTAAAACATGTCAAGATGACTATTGTCAAATACGAGGAGTAGGGTCTATATGACTGTTTTCTTTAGACCAAGGAGCAATCATTTAGATATGGTTGTTCTTGGTTCTTGGTTGGTTCTCCTAAATAATGTGCGCGGGAGTTGATAAAGGAGGCCAAAATGCTTCCCCCCCCCCCCCCTGCAGATCTCGGCCATCGAGTGACAAAAAATTATGAAATTCGGTACATGCATTGAACAACTTAATATGAACATACCCAAGAAATTTCATGACTGTAGGTTAAAGGACTTTAGAATTATGGCTAATTAGTTCTTCATATGCACCAATGGTAGTTTTGCTTTGTGTACACTACATACATGTATATGGGGAAATTTAGTTATCACGGTGCATAGCGCTGCAATTTTTTTGATGCGCGGCAACCTGTCGTCGGCATTTTATCTTTTTGGTATCAAAAGATGCGCAAGACTCGAGGCTAACCAGTCAAAAAGCTCGGGTCAGGGAAAATATTTTTTTGCAAGGGTATCGCAGAAAAGGTTGAGGGGGGCAGATTCCGCCCCCAACTCTTTGCAGAGGATTGATTGATATTTAATGAGTGGTTACCCAACATATTCAACAGGTAATACTACAATTTTACTGTGTTTCTTTACTTCTCAATGCAATTTCTATACAAAGCTTTTTGGGGTTTTTTTCCAGAATCTGTCTAAAGCTCCTTCAGACTTCAATGTTGACTTCGGTGAAGCAGCTCCCGTAGACAGCAACCAGAATATTTCATGGATGTATGTGACTGATGGTAAGCTGTTCTGGTCAAAGTATCTAAATTGCCATGATCGTAAGCATCTGTCTAATGGAGGGTTTGTACGTATAGAGCTCTGGATGAAACTTTAAGTTCAAACTACAGCATGTCCCAATAAACATTGTGCATGAAGAAGTCGCTGATTTGCTCAAAAGGTGGTCATACTAGCTAACCAAATTTTATATTATTTTAAAGCCTATGGTCTTGTTAATAATTGGTGAAAATATCAAGAAAATCCATCAATGCAAACCACAGTTTCTTTGTGGTGCAAGCAAATCATGGGTCGACCTGAGGCCGGCTTTAATAAACACATTTGTTTCAAGCAACAGTTCTTAATACAATAAGTGCTCAGCATTTCAGCATGTTGAGTTGTTCATTGAGCTCTTTGTAGGTGGGTGCTTGGGCAGTACAGCAGATGTCATCTGTGATGTCATTCCATGATGAGCATGCAGTGATAATTTGTGCCATTTGTGTAATATCTTTGTTTACATGAACAAGGAGACCTCATGTGCTCGTTCTGTGACTAATCGTCTCCCTTGTTTTCTGTCTCTTTATTCAGAGTCCAAACTGTTCACCGCCACTGGTAGACGGACCGGCCAGTCTGAATCTCCTTTCCGTTTGTCCAATCAGAATGGCTGTAGTAATGGAGCTTCTGACAATCCCATTAAATCAGACAGTTCTGAGGCTTGGTTGAACAGTAAGTCTTTATCCTCGGAGGAAAAAAAACAGGAGTGGAAACAGCAACTTGTGCATTTCTTGAACCAAAAAGAAAATAGTAGACATTTTGATGTTGGTGCAAAATTGAAAAAAAAGAGGCCCAAGTGTGGTCATGACAGACTTCAACCTGGACAACCTTTAAAACAGATGGTATAGGAAAGAATGTAGTATCCAGACGCAACTTCAGCAGTTGTGTACAAAGTCTATGGCGAGTCAAGAGCATTTTCTAAGTATATCCTAACAAAACTGGAAATGTTTCTCAGTCCCAGATTCATGGGGTTTTTTTTCAACATTTTTTCAATGACTGACCTTTATTTAGATGGCATAAGAAGGAAAATAGTGGCGTCAGGTTGCAACATTCTTTCCGAGGTATATACTGAAGTTTTCACAGAAGACCAAAACAGTACTTGTACCAGACTCAAATACAGAATTGATAGGCTTTGACTCAGACAATGTTTTATAAAAGAGTCTATGTCAAATACCCTCAACTTTTACGTCAAAGATTTTTTCAGACTTTGGTCTGAAATCAGATCGTTTGAATCTGAGAAAAATTGTAAGACTTCTCGTAGAAAGTAACACAGATGCATTATCTTTGAGTCCTTTCATCCAATTTTCAGACCTTTCTGTTAACTGGCATTCTCATCCCTGGAATTTAGAATGTACTCATCTTTCAAGATGGTCTTCTTTCGTGCCAGTCCTCCATGTCTCAAGTAAAATCTAAATTTGTACCCTATCTTTGCATGTAATTTTGGACAGGAGCAGACTATTTACATTGCAAACCATGCTGAGCGTTTGCCATGTCTAATTCTATTCCCAGACGCAGAGTATGTTGGTGAGCCCTTTTTGCACAATGGTTACGTCTATTTCACCTATCGCGAGTATTCCTCGGAAGACATCAATGCAGCGGGAAGAATCACTTACTCCAGGATAGCTAGGGTCTGTCAGGTCAGTTGCAGTAGTTTGGATTCTAATCAAGGCATCAACATATTTATTGCGGGATGTGAAATCAAATGATAATTTCTAAACTCAAATGAGTCTTTCGTATAATAAACAATTTTTATTTAAACAGTATTGCTCTAGAAGGATAGTGACTGCAAAAGGATTATTTTTTCCATGCCAATGAAGACCTGCACATCTAAGCCATTAATGTCAGTTCTATTTGCTAAGTAACACAACCACTCTCCTTCCCTTTATTAGTCAAAATGTTTCCTGTGTTTGTAACCAAGAAATTTCCTGCTACAGTAAACTCTCGTTAAGTCAAAGTGGGATAACTGGAAACGCAGTTCATCCCAAATTCATAAACGCCTACGACAATTTACCCATTCCTATTGGTCAAGAGCCCGTCACGTGGCTGGTCTTTAACAGATGATAAAGACCAACTGGCTGGTCTTAAAACACTTTTCCAGTGTCACATGAAGTTTGGACTCTATGAAATCCAGTGCCTTTTACCATTTAATTGGTTGAACGTTCACAATCCTGATGTACATGCGCAATACTTCCAGCAGGACAGTATTTCACAATGCACCGCCACAGCTGCATTCTGCACGACATCGCACAGTACGCGCGATGTGCACGCCAATCTCCATAAAAGGAGTTGTTTAAGACTTATTGGCGAGCTGGACACTCCATTATGTAGCTAGAGGGGGATGTTTCGAAAACATGAAGTGAAACTGTTGACCAAAATCATGCTTTTTTTTTATCCATTCCCTTGAGGATCGCTTTAATGGGAATTTACTGTATATTTATAACATTTAAAGGTACATGCAACTAGTCACATGTTAGCCTTGCTTTAGATCCTGTCCATTGCATCATATTTTCTTGTCCATGCAGAATGACACTGGAGGGGCACAGTTTACACAATTGGAAGGGGAGTTCACTACCTTCAAGAAAGCTCGGTTGGATTGTTCCTTGAAGCAGGCTGACGATTTGCGGTTTGAATACAACGAAATCCGTAGGTTACCGTAGAGTGCTGTGATTCCATTTGTTGCCAAACTTGCCATAGGGAGAACTATAATTACAACAAATTGTGAAGGTTACCCTAGAGTACTGTGATTATAATGGTGCCAAACTTGCCATATGGAGTACAACAAAATCTGAAGGTTAACCAAGAGTATCGTGTTTCCATATGGTGCCAAACTTGCCAATGGAGTACTATGATTACAACAAAATCCAAAGGTTAATCAAGAGTACTGTAATTACAACAAAATCCATACGTTGCTATGGAGTCTGTGATAACAACAAAATCCATAGGTTTCCCCTGAAGTACTGTGATTGCAACCAAATGAATTGGTTGCCCTAGGATACTGTGACCACAACAAAATCTGTGCATGTGTGTTGCCATGGAGCACTGTGATACAACAAAATCCATAGGTTTCCCCTGGAGTACTGTGATTGCAAAGAAATCAATAGGTTGCCCTAGGCTACCGTGATTACAATGAAATCTGTGCATGTGTGTTGCCATGGAGCACTGTGATTACAACAAAATCCATAGGTTTTCCTGGAGTAATGTGATTACAACAAAATCCATAGAAGTCCTAGGGTACTGTGATTACAATAAAATCTGTAGGTTGCCCTGGAGTAGCATGACTACATTGTCTGTTGGTTACCCTGGAATATATTGATTACAAAATCCATAGGTTTAATTTATACAAAATCCATAGGCTATAAAGCCCTATAGAGTGCCATGACCTTTACATGTAGGTTGCCCCGGAGTACTGTGATTACAGCAAATCCATAGGTTGCCCATGGCTACTAGGATTACAATGAAATCTTTAGGTTGCTCTAGAGTACTGTGATTACAACAAAATCCAGTTGTCCCGTAGTACTGTGATTACAACAAAATCCATAGGTTGCCCCAGGCTACTGTGATTACTACAAAATCATTAGGCTGCCCTACATGCCCTATATTATTGTGATAACAACAAAATCCATAGGTTAATGCCCTGGAGTACAGTGATTACAACAAACTCTGTATGTTGCCCTGGAAAACCACAATAACATCAAAATCCATTGGTCATGCCAGGGCATCGTGATAACAACAAAATCCATGGAATTTTAGCTGGAGTGTTGTGATTATATACGAAATCCTGAGGTTGCTTAAGAGGACGATGATCACAATGATGTCTTTAGGTGGTCGTAGAGTACCATGATTACAATGAAATCCAAAGGTTACACTATAGAGGAGTGTGATTACAGTGAAATACGTAGGTTGCCCAAGAGTACTGTGAACAAGACCGTAGCTGGCTAAATGTCCTAGAGTACCACTATTACACCAAACTCCATAGGTTGCCCTAGAGTACTGTTAACAACCCATAGGTAAATGCCTAGATTACTGCTATTACACCAAACTCCATAGGTTGCCCTAGAGTACTGTTAACAACCCATTGGTAAATGTCTAGATTACTGCTATTACACCAAACTCCATAGGTTGCCCTAGAGTACTGTTAACAACCCATTGGTAAATGCCTAGATTACTGCTATTACACCAAACTCCATAGGTTACCCTAGAGTACTGTTAACAACCCATAGGTAAATGCCTAGATTACTGCTATTACACCAAACTCCATAGGTTGCCCTAGAGTACTGTTAACAACCCATTGGTAAATGCCTAGATTACCGCTATTACACCAAACTCCATAGGTTGCCCAAGACTTTGAACAAACCAATAGGAAAATGTCCTAGATTACCGCTATTTGAAGCTCCATAGGTTGCCCTAGAGTACTGTTAAATGCCTAGATTACTGCTATTACGAAATCCATAGGTTAACGTTGCACTAATAATATTACAGTGACATCTGTAGATTGCTCTAAAGTATCGTGTTGCAATGAAGTCTGTTGGTTGTCCTAGAGTGCCATGATTACAACGAAATCTGCAGGTTGCCCTGGAATACTGTGATCAACAGAAACATGTCTAACTATGCCCAGCTGCATATGAGTGGTTTCGGGCGATTTGTCTTTTTAGCAGTCTTGCTACATCCTGCGATTATGAGTTTCTTGTAGCAAAATTAACCGTTGAACTTTACACACGAATGAGCAAGGAATGATAGCTTTCATGTGGTAAATAACGGTCATCTCTGAGATTCCTTTTGTCACTGCAAAGTTATGCTTGTTTGGGCATTGGGTATTTGTCCATTGAAAATGCTTTTCAAGGTATTTCTCATTCAAGAACAAATTTTCTGTTTTGATAATGACACCGTTTGTCAAATCAATGATAGCCCCACAATCTCAAATATCAGAGTGTTCCAAAAAGATTGTTTGGGTTTTTTTGTATCAGATTTTTACTTAATCAAACAACTAATGTGAAACAAAACAACAAGTGATTAATGACGGCCAGTAACCTTGAATCAGTACATGTAAGTGCAACAACAGACACATTTTTGCAGGGTGGGTGGTACTCAGTTGCAGTACTTACACGTGTAACTTAATGGCTACTGTTTTCTTTGAAATGAGAACAAAAAGTGAAGAAAAAACAATACACGAAAAGTAAAACACACACCAAGAGGTCAAGTTTGAAATGACAGTAATACGATACTTGCTTCAGGTTTCATTTAGATTTGCCTAAAAATTTCAAATTTTAAATGTTTGAATTTGCAGAGGGGACTTACAAGTCAGGCAAGACCATTTTTGCTGTGTTTACAACACCAAGGTAAGTATGTGACCAATTTAATAATACATATGAACATCTCAACCATCACTGAAAAGAAAGAGGCGGTCACACCGGTGATGGGCTGAGATTGGTTTTATTTTAAATGGGTACTTGGCCTGGTCTGGTCCTAGTATAAGCCTGTGTGGTCTGTGTAGTATGTGAGGTCTGTGTAGTCTGTGGTCTTACAAGAGGAATAAACACAAAGGGAACTAATAAATACGTGCACATGCCTAGGAAATCCTAATCATATCATAAACATTAACAACATAAACGTATGTCACTATAATCAGCCCAGCAATATACACAACATGTTTACATAAACCCAAATATATGGAGGTAAGGGCCAAAACACTTATAAATTAACACTGGATTTACAAAAGGGTCCCTAAATATCCCCAGCGAAGAATTAACCCCATGCAAATGTGTGTAGGTATGACATGGCATGTGATTCCAATATAAATCAGTACAATGAACATTACAACCCAAATCTAATAATAAACATGATAAACGTGAAGTGAAATCCCTCCAAATATCGTATCAAGATTAACCAAAATTATACTCACTTTCAGTAATTCACGCAAAGGGGGTATTTATAATTAACCTGGTGATTGGATTATAAAGGCAAATGATGATTTGGAGTCATTAACAAGGATTTTACGGACTAAGAATTATCTGGAAACAACGTGATTCGACAAGGATTTGGCAATTATAACAGTCAGTCACAAGAGGGCGCTGTTGTGCACTCCAGTGGCGAAGACGCTTTCGCACAGCCGCCCCTAAATTTGGGCACTAAATTTATGGAATAGAAAGCATCGGAGCCACTACAGTTCTCACTCAGAGTCCATTAGGGCTGGATCTTTGTCGTTTTCCTGGTCATCCTTGACACCTTCATCGGTGACTTCTGGGAGTCGTATCAGGCGGGCGACAGGGCGAGTGTAGTTCTTCCTCACTCTCACGCTGGCAGTGCGCACACGACCATCTGGTCCAGGAAAGGTGTCGACGACTCGTCCGATGGGCCACTGAGCCCGGCTAAGTGCAGGATCAACGATCATGACAACATCATCAGGCTTCATCTCTGCACCGTCTCGTTGCCACTTCTGTCGTATCTGCAGAGAGGGTAGGTACAGCCCGATGAAGTGCGACCAAAAGTGATCTGCTAACACCTTGCTGTGTTTCCAGTGTCGTCGGCTGAGTAGGTCCCTTGCTGGGTAGACAACTTGTGGCAGCGCTGCATCATGTCGTCCCATCAAGAGGAGGTTCGGGGTAGCTGGATCTAGGTCGGCAATGTCTGAAGAAACATAACCCAGCGGTTTTGAATTAAGAATACCCTCAATTTCTATCAGAACGGTGCGCAGGACTGGTTCGGGTACAGCCTGACTGAGGACGACTCTCAGGCAAGCTTTGACAGACTTTATCTCCCTCTCCCACACGCCACCAAAGTGTGGGGCCTTCGGTGGGTTGAAGACAAACTTGACTTGTTGTTTGGAGAGCTCTTCTTTCAGTCTGGGTTCCATGGCAGAGAATGCCTCATGTAACTCTGAAGCTCCGCCCTTAAAGTTGGTACCACAGTCGGACAGTATCTCGAAGGGCTTCCCTCTTCTGGACACAAACCGTCTAAAGGCCATCAGGTAGGCGTCAGCACTGAGACTTTCTAGCAGGTCAAGGTGCACCGCTCTGGTAGTCATACATTTAAAGATAATGCCCCAGCACTTCTCGGTGCATCTCCCTGTCTTGATTGTCATTGGCCCAAAACAGTCAACGCCGGTGGAAAAGAATGGCGGCTTGTACAGTCGCAGGCGTGCTGGTGGCAAATCTCCCATCTTTGGTACATCAGGATTGGCTCGCCATCGTTGACATCCGAAGCATTTGCGCTGATGCTTGCGAATGGCCTCTCGTCCTCGCAGAACCCAAAACTTGCGTCGCATCTCTGCAAGCACATGCTCAGGCCCGTAGTGAAGTAGTTTCTCATCATATTCTCGGATCAGAAGTTTGGTAATAGGATGTGCTGGATCCATGACGATGGGATGACGGGAATCTTTGGGGATGTCTTCCGCATGCCGTAGACGCCCACCAACATGGATGAGACCAGTGAAATCATCATACTCTGGAGCTAACTGGAGGAGCTTGCTATCTCGAGGAAGATCCCTTCCAGCCTTAAGAGCAGCTAAGTCATCAGCAAAACTTCCTTGCTGAGCACGGCGGTACAGTAGCAGCTCGATGTTGGCTCGATCTTCAGCACCCAACTCAGGTGGGTCACCAGTGTCGGCCGCCCCATCACGATGCTCCTTGGTAGCCATGATGAGGTCCTCCCACGTGTCACATTTGGAAAGGTCGGGAGGATCTTCAGGATCCACAGTCACAGCACCACAGAAGGTTGACTTCTTGTACTCAGAAACATCTTCTGGTGGTGTGGCCGGGTAGACAGGCCACTGGTCAGGAGGTGACAAGAGGAATGGGGGTCCGTCTCGCCATCTGGACTCTTGGGCAAGCTCCATCAGGGTCTTGCCTCTGGTGAGGTCATCAGCCGGATTGTTCTTGGTATTGACGTAGCGCCACTGTTTGACATCAGTGAGGGTCTGGATCTCCGCGACTCGAGTGCCGACGAAGACCTTATAGCGACAGGATTCAGACTTCAGCCAGGTGAGGACAGTTGTCGAGTCGCTCCAAAGGACAACATACTTTACAGGTAAACTCAACTCTCTCTTGAGTAGCTGGCACAGCTGAGCACCAGCCAAGGCAGCCGATAGCTCCAAGCGTGGCATGGATAGCTGTCGTTTGGGGGCAACCCGGGACCTGGCCATGACGAAGCTGACATGGATATGATGGTGTTTATCTTCTGCTCGAAGGTAGGCTACAGCACCATAAGCTCTCTCTGATGCATCGCAGAAGATGTGGAGTTGGTAGCTTGATGGCTTAACATCTACCGCTAGGGGTGTGTAGCATCTATCCAACTGGATGTCGGCCAGTGCTGGTAGCTCCATTTCCCAGGCCTGCCATTGGTCTCTGATGGCACCAGGCTCTAGAACGTCGTCCCAGTTGCACTTGGTTTTCCACAAGTCTTGGACGATCACTCTGGCTCGGGTAGTGAACGGAGTGAGATAGCCGATGGGATCATACTGGCTTGCCAATATTTTGTACATGTTCCTCATGTTAAGGGACTCGTAGTCGACTGTTCGGTGGCAGTACTGCAGGTTGTCTGTGCTGCAATCCCACTGCAGTCCAAGGGTGGCCTCAAGGGAGTCATTGTCACCGTAGGTCAACCAAAGTTCACAGCCATTGGACCGAGCATCTGGTGGGAGATCCTCAACTACCGTAGGGTCGTTACTGGCCCACTGACGTATCTCGAACCCGGCATCGGCCAGTAGGTTTCGCATCTGATGGACCAGGTGCTTGGCTTCTCTGGATGAGGGTAAGCTGTCCAAGCAGTTGTCGACGTAGAAGGACTTGTCGACTGATTCTGCTACTTCAGGATACTGCTCCTTGTGGTCGCTGGCATGCTTCCTGAGTGCGAAGGTCGCACAGCACGGACTACATGTGGAGCCGAAAGGGAGGACCTGCCATTCGTGTATCTGTGGTTCTGCTTCCACCTTCAGGTTTCGCCACAGAAAGCGAAAGAGGTGCCTATCTTCTGGTAGAAGTCGCACCTGGTGGAACATCGCTTTGATGTCTCCGGAGATGGCTATGGCGTGCTGCCGGAAACGTAGAAGCACGCCGATGAGGGAAGCACCCAGTTGTGGTCCGGGAAGGAGATGCTCGTTGAGCACTTGGTTATTGTACTGAAAAGAACAATTGAAGACCAGTCGGTACTTCCCATTGTGATGAACAGTGTGGTGAGGAATGAACCAAGATTCATCAGACATTGCGGCTTCATCATCGGTTAGAACTCGCACATGACCTGAGTCGACCAGCTTTGTGATAAGCTCGTTGTGCTTTTTCGCCAGTTGTGGGTGCTTCTGTAGCCGCTTCTCTGCTCTCCTTAGTGTAGGAAAAACTGCATCTTTCGTTACCTGGAATCTGTCTCCATCCTTGGTTCTCAGGAGGGGCGTGGCATAACGTTGCACACCATCAAGGCTGACACGGGTGGTTTTAGACCCCAGCATCTTAAGAGCATACTGGTCTTGTTTGGATCGGGTGACTTCCTTATCATTGGCGTAAGGGAGCACATCTGCCTGCCATAACATCTGCACATGCTGCAGGAGGTCATTTGTAACCGGGAATGTGGATGTCTTGAAGACTCGTTGCTCCAGCTGTAGATCATGATTCCCAGTGGGTCCTTGGAGGGTCCAGCCAAGCCTTGTGTAGATAGCAACTGCTGCACCACGGGGTCCAGATCTTATTGGGCATTGGGGGATGATAAGATCTGTTTGGTCAGCTCCAAGGAGTAACATCGGCGATGCCTGGTTAATCACTGGTAGCGGCAGGTGACGGAGATGGTTATACCGCTGCTGGAGAGCCTTTACTGGATATGTGTACACCGAGAGACACAGATTGCTGGCAGAGAAGGCTCCATTGATGGTGTACTTGATGTGGGGCTTTCCCTTGGGTGACACCTGCAGAGACCTAGCCGAACCTTGGCATTCGACTATGTCATCACGGACAGTTCTAAGGAGGACCGTCTCTGGCTGGCTTTTAAGCTGTAACTTCTCGGCTGCTGTCTAGATTAGCATACTTCTCTCAGAACCGTCGTCCAGGATAGCATATGTCTCAATGGTGCCAGCGGGGCCATGAAGGAGAACTGGCACAACCTTTAACATCACACCATGCGGACGGATTGGCCTGTCAACATAGACATTCAGACTTGATGTCTGCACTCTGAAGACATGACTGGTAGTCTTGTGAGCGGCATCATGAAGTACAGTTAAGTGTACTTGTTTGCAGGTGTGACATTGCTTCTTGAGGGTACACTCATCGGGCTTATGGGCACGACCGCACTTCCAACATCGTCCCTTGTCCTGGATCCAACTGACGATCTGATCAGTGTTCAGCTTCTTGAGTTGTGGACATCCACCCAGGTAGTGTTCCTTATTATCACAAAAGGGACAATAAGGCTGGGGTTTGTACTTCGGCTTTGGTACTGTCATTAGTACTGCTGTTGGGGTATCCTTCCTGGATATTCGCTGCTCCTGGTATCGCTGCGGTCTTGGGTTACTCAAAGTATGCCCGGACACTGCTCTACTGTCAAAGCTGTGTGACTGAGATTTCCTACGGAGCCAACTTGCAAACTGGGGTAGGGTGTAGGTTTGACTACAGTTTGACTTCAAGATGCCCTCCTTCAGGCAGTGCTCCATGAAACTCATCCTGTGGCTGGGGGCAACCTTGCTGAGAAGACGGTCGACGTGCGAGCCACAACGGAGTTCAATGCCGTCAGGACCTTCCAGGGATTGTAGCATCCCCACAAGGGAGAGGACATCCAGGGAGAACTCCTCAAATGCTTCAGTATCACCATACTTGATGGCAGGGGTGGCCATTATGGCTGCGATCTCGCACTGGACGAGCTGTCGGGGTTGGCCGTACTTGTCGGTAAGAGCAGCTAGGGCCTCAGTGTAGGGCTGACGAGTGTACTTGGCAAGTTTCAATGCTCTACCACCAAGTCGGTCGAGCATCACCTGGAACTTGTATTGTTCTGTGAGGTGTGGATGGACGTTGATAAGGTTGTCCAAGGCCATGCGGAGTAAGGCAAATTCCTTCTCTCTTCCATCGGAGAATCTTGGCAGAGCCGGCTTGGGAATTCCATAGGACGAAGCTACAAGGAGGTCAATGGCTGTTGCACCGGGAACCATCGGAGGGGAACTGGTGGGAACAGGTTAAGCTTGATGTGCTGAGTGTGGTGACATGTGACTGGTTGTCATGGGTGCATGTCCATCAGCACAAAATGGTGTGGGGTGGCCACTGACTAGTGTTGTCATCGAAGGAATCTGTGACACTGCAAAGGTTGTAAGACTTGGGATGGCTCGAAGAGATGTATCTGGTACGGTACGGTTCTCTACGGGAGATGTAGAGGGCACAGGTTGTGCAGAAGTACACACGGGGATTGTACCCTGGCTTGTCGTAGTAATGGTGACATCTGTCAGCGTTGTATCATCACTGATCATGGCGCTGATGGCTTCAGCTTCGACTAGCTCCTGTTGAGCCTGACGCAATCTGCGTTGACGTGACAAATTTGTAGATATGGCTTCACGCTCTCTCAAAGCCTGACGCTCTATTTCTTCAGCCTTGAGTCGAGCTTGTCGAGCTTGGTCATCAATACGATGGAGTGCTTGGTCTGCAGCCTCTTCTTCCACTAACTGGTGCTGCAACTCCTCAACTCGAATCTTCTTTCGAAGAGTCCGCATCTTTGCTGTGTATTTGTCACTCAGACCAGATAGGTGGGAAGCGACGGAACTATTAGACCGGTTGCTGCGATGGGAGGAGTGTTCGCTGTTGGCCATAGCCACATTACCTGTATGGCCATTGGTCGGTTGACCGAGAACGTCATCTTGTGGTTGAGACATTCTGGAGGTTGAAATGGTGATCCAAGGGTCGCTGGTTGTAGGATCCCGGGTTTCGGCACCATGAAAAGAAGGAGGCGGTCACACCGGTGATGGGCTGAGATTGGTTTTATTTTAAATGGGTACTTGGCCTGGTCTGGTCCTAGTATAAGCCTGTGTGGTCTGTGTAGTATGTGAGGTCTGTGTAGTCTGTGGTCCTTCAAGAGGAATAAACACAAAGGGAACTAATAAATACGTGCACATGCCTAGGAAATCCTAATCATATCATAAACATTAACAACATAAACGTATGTCACTATAATCAGCCCAGCAATATACACAACATGTTTACATAAACCCAAATATATGGAGGTAAGGGCCAAAACACTTATAAATTAACACTGGATTTACAAAAGGGTCCCTAAATATCCCCAGCGAAGAATTAACCCCATGCAAATGTGTGTAGGTATGACATGGCATGTGATTCCAATATAAATCAGTACAATGAACATTACAACCCAAATCTAACAATAAACATGATAAACATGAAGTGAAATCCCTCCAAATATCGTATCAAGATTAACCAAAATTATACTCACTTTCAGTAATTCACGCAAAGGGGGTATTTATAATTAACCTGGTGATTGGATTATAAAGGCAAATGATGATTTGGAGTCATTAACAAGGATTTTACGGACTAAGAATTATCTGGAAACAACGTGATTCGACAAAGATTTGGCAATTATAACAGTCAGTCACAAGAGGGCGCTGTTGTGCACTCCAGTGGCGAAGACGCTTTTGCACAATCACTTTATTAAAAGCAAATCAAAATTCAGCCATTTCGACGGTGTTTTCTCAAAGTGGCAAAAACCTCAACATCATGCAAAAAGGTCATTCCGAGATAATCGCCTTTGAAGTTAATCATTTTTTCAAAACACCTTTTTGACTAGTTTTTAGTTATGGATTTAGGAAATTCTTGCATTTTCAAGTAACGTATGCTTTGTTCTTTGCTAATTCAAAGTTGTTTATTAGAAGTCTCTCAATTAAACTGTAATTCATTAATAAAGATCAATAAAGATTTTGTCCACTTTGTGAAAACAGCAAAACACAGAGGCCTCACTATTTTGTCCCATAAAGTTGTACACACTTTTCGTCACTTCGTGAAAACATAAAACGTTCTAAGAAATTGTTACATTTGCGCGTCTGACGTCACTGCAGCGCGTGCGCGCCTGTTCTTTATCAACATCGTTCAGGACATGCGCGTCCAATCCCATCCTAATTTGTGTGTAGAGAAATGCATTGTTCCTCTGGCCCTGCTAACGAGGTAAGTTTCTGTCACTACATGAAAACAGAAAAATACGAATTTCAGGCATTTTGTCAAATGTTTGTTTACGATAACTACACAAGTAAACAATATTTTGCTTTGAAACTCGGCCAAATTCTTCTCTTTGTCAAGTGCAATAAATTGGCCAGCCAAACTCAATTTGGAGGTTTTTGTCACTTCGTGAAAACACGCGTCAATTTTGTTACACATGTTTGGGATACCCTGTACCTTGTTATTAGATCTGTCATTTGCATTGTTCCAATGTCATTTCTGGAGTTTTCTGTAATCCTCTCATACTGTCTACTGCAAAACATCGTTTTTGAATTGGATGAATCTTTTAGCACAAACCAGAGTGCATGCTGTGGGTCTAGCATGCCCCATACAGGACAATCTGAGTATTGCTGATTTTAAAAAGTTGTTTTCCCAATGAAATATTCCAACTGATCGGTCATGATATTTGCACGCACTGTTTTCTGTTTAGGCCCGATGTTGCCAGCTCAGCTGTATGCGTATACAATGTGGATGAGATCGAAGAGCTTTTTGACCGTGGAGAGCTCAAAGGACAGCCAGGAAATGGATTGTTGTGGGCAGCTTTAGATGATGCTAACAAATCTCCCAACTTTGACAAACTATTCAATGTAAGACAATTTTTCCAATTCAAGTTTTCTGAAACGTATCAGTTCTTGAGTGGAAATAGGATAGTTCTCTCACTTTTTGGAAGAAATGTTGCACCCTGACACCATTTTTTTCTTCATATATCACCTCAATGAATGTCATGTAAAAATGATGATAAGACATGAATCTGGGACTGAGAAACATTTCCAATTTTGTTAGGAAATACTTAAAACATTTTCTTGACTCTCCATAGACTTTGTACCAGTGATGTAGTGCCTTGATGATGGGCCTTGGCCTTAAGGCTGCCTTAAGGCTGGATTTTAGGGCCTTGGCCTTGGCCTCGAGGCTTGAGGGCAAAAGCCTTGGCCTTGGCCTTAGCTTTGAGGGTTCAGGGCCTTGCAATTTTGAGTCAAGGCTCCTCAAGGCCCATAGATTTTTGCATTTTCCAGATAAATCTGTTCGAAATTTTGCTGTTACCATTTTAATCGTATTACCATGGAGGAGGGAAGCACCCTGTAGATTTGTGTGTTGGGCACACTTTCACTTTTGTAGCATCACATTTTGTTACCATTGTAGTAGATTTGCTGCAAAAATATTCCGTACACTTGTGGGGCTAATGAGATGATCACTTTAATTGCATATAACTATGGAATAGATCTGATTGGTTGTATATGTCTCCCTGATAAGTGCTAAAGATTTGCATGTATCTGTTTTAGATAATGCTGATATTTCTGACCATGTTGGGCCAGCAAATAAAAATTTCCCAAATCAGTTTCTTGGATCCCCCTTTTGTTACACTTGGGAGAATTGTGTGTCAATGTAGAAGTATATCATTATTTTGTTTAGTTAAACCATATTGAAGACCTGAACTTATACTTTAATAGATACAGTGCAGTCATAAAACGGTGTAGGCCTATGCGAGCATGTTGATTGCAATTAAAGAAATGTTGTTCTTCGTAACGAGCAATTCGTGATGATTAGGGCGGATCCAGGGGGGCCAAAAGGGGCCATCCCCCCCCCCAAAAAAAAACGAAACCATTTTTTTTTATGTGACGTCGTAATAAAGGCAGGCAATGAGTACACCACCATCTTTTCCTCAGAAAACATCGGTTAAAATGGTCAGAAATTGCCTCAAATCGCACCACAGAGCATTTCGAATCCAAAAAATTTTCGGGGCCCTTAAGCGGGCCCCGAAGCCCAAGCCGTAATTTTTTGACCCTTTTTTTGGGGGGGGACCAAAATTTCTTCCCCCCCCCCCCAAATTGTGTTCTGGATCCGCCCTTGCGTGATGATGTGTCACTCATGTGACTATAATTACAAATGTAGTTCTATATCAGTGGTCTTTTCATAAAACAGGGCCTGGGCCTTGGCCTTGGCCTTGAGGGTTAAGCCTTGGCCTTGGCCTCGAGGCTTGAGGGTCAAAGCCTTGGCCTTGGCCTTGAGGGTCAAAGCATTGGCCTTGGCCTTGGCCTTGAGGGTCAAAGCCTTTGCTCCAACACTGCTTTGTACACAATCGTGGAAGTGTCGTCAGGTTGCAACATTTTTTTCCCATTTTTACCCCTCAACAGAGAGGTTCGAGGGGTATTGTCATCGCCTATGGCGTAAGTCCGTATGTCCAGGCAGCTTAGTTTCCGGGTGATAACTTGAGTTAGAAATGTTGTTTGAGATTGTAACGTTGGTAGGGGGTTGCCCTTAGGTGTAGGCAAGTTGGGATTGGTTTTGAGGTCAAAAGTTCAAAGTTCAAGGTCAACCTGGTGAGTTAAAGGTAAATGGTTTCCGGATGATAACGAGTTAGAAATGAGATTTTGGTGTCTAACTTTGGTAGGGGATTGCTCTTGGGAGGAGGCAAGTTGGGATTGGTTTTGAGGTCAAACGGTCAAAGTTCAAGGTCACCATGGTGAGTTAAAGGTAAATGGTTTCTGGATGATAACTTCTGTTCGAAATGAGATTTTGGCGTCTAACTTTGGCATTGCCTCAAATCTCTTATTGATTATTATTATTGCTATTATTATCAATTTTCAGTGCAGTGAACTATTCGTTCCTTTATTGGATCCTGACGTAACTTTTCTTCAAGATTGGGCATTAATGAACCTACCAGTCCCTAATAAACGCAACTACATGGATGAATCTACCAATGACTACAAGAGAGACTCTGATGCGCCATTGTTTGTGCTGGATGATGTACGCTTCTCACAGATTGTTGTTGATGAGAATGTGAACAACATGGATGTCATGTTCCTTGGTACAGGTAAGCCTCATGACCTTGAAGCTAATTCCTTTCGTTCCTTCTTAAAAGGCCTGCTTCATAACCCTAGCTCCCTAGCATGATTTACTATGAACCACACCCATCCTGGCAAATTCCAACACCATATGGGAAACTGCACACACATATTTCTGACTTTGATTCTAGAGGTGTGCCACCCCAATGCAAAAGACTGTCCATTTAGGGGTACTGTACCCATCCTGGCAGATTCCAACAAAACATGCTGTTTGGGTTTGATGGGTTGAGCTGTACTGTGTGTAGTTTAAATTTCTAACATGCTTCGATTGTCTACTAGAGGGTACAAAATTATCTAATGATTTAGTCCAGAAACTGTAACTATCAACCCCATGGGATTGATAATTAGTGAGATATGATAAATGGAGTCTAAAATTAACAGGGTCACGTGAACTTGACATTACAGGAGACATTTGTTCAGGCCAATAGAATGCAGTGTGCAAAAACTGGAATCATACCTTATCCATTGTGGAGATATTCATGGCCACAAAATTGCTTCTATTAAATATTCATGATGTCATTACCAGGTAATACGTAATTTATCATCACATTACTGTAGAAATAAATACAAGTATGGACTGTCTCTAGATATGTAACGTTTTAGGCCAAACAGCTGGACAGATCTCAAGATGTAGGAGTAGGATGACAATAAAGTTAGTTTGATATTGGATATTGGACATTCACATTCGTTAGTACAGGCAATGTCTATGTTGCTGTTTGGATATTGGACATTGGATATGCACATAGGCTTGCACAATGAATGTCCATATTTTATTCAATATCCAAATCAATCCAAAAAACATCCCTACATGTACAAATTTACAATGTTCGGCATGTTTGGAATATTGCTAATTTGCAAAAATTACTGTAGTACTTTAGTTTAATACTGTCCTCAAAGAGTTGCACGTGTATCAAAATGGGATGATGAGATTGGTTGACCATGTAGCCAAGTCCTATTTATGAGCTCCAACCTACGATTGGTAATAATCTTTCTGTTGATGTTGACAGAGCGTGGGACAGTCATCAAGGCCTATGTTAATGACTCTGGAGCTTTTCTGGTTGAGGAGGTAGAGTTTAACATGGAGGTAAACAGCTAAGAGAAATGACTAGGCCTGGGCGAGTAGTGGATTTTCCTACCCGAGTACTAACAGAAATTACACGCGAGTGGACGAGTACTCACAAGTACTTTACTAATTAAAACAGGAACAAAATGGCAAAAACATTACTAAGCGTCAACCAACCCTTAATTTTGCAAATGAATCAAAGATAGAATTTCACTCGAGGCTTCTTGCTGTCTTCAAAAACAGTAGACTTTCTGATCACAGTGTTGAAGATAAAAACATGAAGATACAAATTCCTTTTATAACCAAAATATCAATTGCTGCCGGTGAGTAGCTACTTCTACTCACGCCAGGACGAGTGCACGAGTAGATAAAAACTGAGAGTAGAACAGCGAGTAGCAAACAGTACTCGTGAGTACTCGGGTTACTCGCCCTGCAGCTGATTTCATGAAACCTTACTCAATGGCACAACTCTACTTGCGCCAAAATTTATTGCATAAGTTGCGCAACATTTCACGCTGGGCAACATTTCAATTATGTCACATTTCACAAAAGTCGGATAGTGCATAAATCTTAAAGTTACATTAGCTGTAAATTAAAAGTCCATGACTTGCACAATAAATTATGGCGTAACTTGCGCAATTATTTTAGGTGGCATAAGTTGTGGCGTAGCGACTGAAAATAACATACATTGTATTTTACCATCAAATCGGGACTGTCGTGGAGCCTGTTATTGCACAACATGGTCGATACAAGACACTCGCAACTAATTTTTAGAGTTGCCCAACAATTCCGAAGAAAGTCGGACGAAATAATTTTCAAAATGGCAGGCTGAGGTGATGCAGAAACAGCCATTTCTAGCACTATCAAAAAAACTTGCCTAACCTCCGAACCGACCATTTCGGTTCGGTTCAGTTTGGTTCGGAGGCCATGTTTGGCTATTTTTAAATTGGTTCAGTGGTTCGGCTACAGCACTAAACGTGCCTCTTTATTTCAAGTTGCAAGGCTTGTCAATTTTGCCCTCAAAATCAAATGCTTTATTCTCTTGGTCATGCAGTTCTCTAGTGACAAATGCATTCCAATGTCATTGTTCATCTCCCATGGGACCTGTCTTGTGAATTGACCAGGGATTTGTTTGTTTTTGACTTGATTACGTTGTCTGAGACAAGGGACATACATGTACATGTACAGTATATTGTTTCCACTGTTTCTAGCTTCCCATCACGAACATGGTGAAAGGGGACAACAGCCAGCCATTCATCAGCAATGGTAACTGTATGTACCGGTACATGCTGCCATCGCGCTCCTGTTCAAACAAAACAGCCTGCGAATGTGAAGAGGACCCTTACTGTGTCTGTGATGACGGTAATTGTATTGCAAGGACAAATGAGTGAGTGTGCATGCTATGTCATTGTTTACATGTTACTATTACTGGAATCCGTATCTCATCATCTCTATCCTATCCAGAGACACTTCTTTTCATGTTATTAACATTCCTAGCTTCTGATCCCACAGAGTGATTTTCAAGAATCATTTTCTAATTCCTGCGAGCGCTCAACAAAAAAATTTTCGAGTTGACTCGCGCCGTAGCGTATATAACAAAACACACTGACCTTGAGGAGCACCGTTCTTCACAAGCACTGAGATCTGCACACTCTAGGTGGCGCCCAGCTTTATTTGTGCTGCGCCGCGCAAACAGCAATTTCCAGCACGAGCGAAATCGAGTGAACTTGCCAATGATGTCAAAATTATGTAACTTGCCCGTTCCTGCGCCCTACTGATCTCTAGTCCTGCTCTTTGTCTTGACTGCTGCATCTTGAATGCCAGACGCACTCATCTTCAATACCCTTCATGCTCTGAAAGAAAACTTCTACACAAAAATATATTGAATATATCTATAACATAAATCAAGCAATGTGCACATACCCAAACTGCAAACTCTGATTTGCATAATATGCAAATCTGGCCCTCGGCCAATGGAAAATGAATATTCTTCACTCATGTTGTAACTTCATTGGCCTCATCAACTGGGAAAAAAAGTTTGTATCGTTAATTCAAGCACTTTTTTACACATGATTTTCCAGTGTTGTCATGGAAACCATTTCAGAGACTTCACTCAAAAACTGGAATAGAATAAGACATATATATTCGACATAGACAAGGAATTTAGTTGTTAAAAGTAGGTATACAAAATTCTTTTACCTCCGAACTTGAATTCTGTTTGAGAAGAGCAGTGCTGTGATTTTGAACTATTTCCCCCCCCCAAAAAAAGATAGCATTTTGATTAAACAACTGCCCATTGAAATTGTTTTCTTTTGCAGAGTGGGCTCACCAGGGACGTGCAACTGTGTACCAGGTTGGTTCCAGAATTTGCTTATAAATGTCTATGATAATGGTGTGCCATTTTGTCACAAAGTATGATTTACTGCATTAAAACTCATTCATGGATATTATCACATTAAACAAATCTCTTTATTGAATTGCTATCTCCTATTTGCCAACACTAGAATTCTGGATTTATCTGCAACGCAGCCAATGACAAGCTTGTGTTTAACCCTAACAGTCCTGAATCCTCCAATTTCAATATAATATTGCACATCCCCTAAGGAGTTAAGGCTATTGACTACATTTAATAGCATGACATTCTGCTATTCTGCAGTAGAATTCCACAAAACACACTTATACCAAAGGTTAACATACACGTATGTACATCAAAGGAAGGCAACAATCGTTCTTGGTCATATTTTCTGTTTTTCTTCAATCTTAAAATATAACAAATTCTTTCTGGTAAGAAAGTGTCCTGGCACCATTAAACTCCTTAAACACAAGTTGGCAAAGGAAGAAAAGCAGTCATTCCTGGAAATGAGAATGAAATTTGTTTTCATCCCGTTGATATCATCATCACCTTCTATTCTCACGGCGTTAGTATTGGACCATCGTTTACTCATACAATCCAATTTCATGGATTAATTACAGAATTCTTATACCACACCTGTTTTGCATTCTTATACCACACCTGTTTTGCATTCTTATACCATACCTATTTTGCATTCTTATACCGCACCTGTTTCGCATTCATATACACTGTACCACACCTGTCTTGCATTCTTATACCATGCCTGTTTTGCATTCTTATACCGCACCTGTCTTGCATTCATATACCACACCTGTCTTGCATTCTTATACCACACCTGTTTTGCATTCTTATACCACACCTGTCTTGCATTCTTATACCACACCTGTCTTGCATTCTTATACCACACCTGTTTTGCATTCATATACCACACCTATTTTGCATTCTTATACCACACCTGTTTTGGATTCTTATACCGCACCTGTTTTGCATTCTTATACCACACCTGTTTTGCATTCTTATACCGCACCTGTTTTGCATTCTTATACCATACTTTTTTTACGAGTTATGTCAGGAACCGGTTCCAGATTAGGGAATCGGGTACCCGTAACCAACTTTACAAATTACTAAGTACAGTGTCGTAGCCAGGAAATTTTCAGTGGGGGGAGGGGCGCTGGGGGGGCTGGAACATTTCATGGGGGGGCGTCATGTAGGGGCGTCAATCGCTTCTCAAAAGTGGGGGGGGGGGGACATACCTTGATCAGAAGTGATGCGAGCGCGAAACACGAAGCCCTTACGGCGTGGGGGTTCGGGGCCCGCTTAAGGGCCCCGAAAAAAATTGGATTCTAGATGTTCTGTGGTGTGATCTGAAGCAATTTCTTACCACTTTCCTCCATGCTTTAACTAATATTTTCTTAGCAAAAGATAATTATTTGAACATTGTTTTCGAGGTTGGAGTCATTGAATCAGCTACCAGAATTCTGAGCTATAGGCATGGGGTTCGGGGCCCACTTAAGGGCCCCGAAAAATTTTGGATTCTAAATGCTCTGTGGTGCTATCCGAGGCAATTTCTGACCACTTTAACCAATATTTTCTAAGCAAAAGATATATTGTAGTACATAATAGGGCCCTGTAAATGAGACACGAGTTCAAAAATCTGGGGGGGGGGGACATTTGATATCGTGTCCCCCACCCTTCAAAAAGTGTGGGGGGGGGACCAGTCCCCCTGTCCCCCCAGGATTGACGCCCATGGCGTCATGTAGATCAATGATAATTTTTTTAGAAACTCAAAATCTCATTGGGGGGGGGGGCAACAATGGGGGGGGCGACAATGGGGGGGGGGGCTGTTGCCCCCCCCCCCCCACGCCCCGTCGTGGCTACGCCACTGATTTCAAGGAATTTTAATTGGTCTATTATTATTATTTAGCTTATATGAATGGAGGAAAAAGTTTGTGCGTGGCCGATTCGCGTGATATCGCTGACTGAAACTGTGTGACTCACGGACCACCTGTCTATAAAACGTGTTCCGTGGTGTGAGCGAGCAGTGCAGTGGGTGTTAATACGCATTTTAGATTATCATTATGTGCTATGTCACGCCGGTTGTCAGCTTACTGGTCCGCGGTCGAAGGGTCGTTTCTCAGTGGTCATCATGTGGATCATTCGCGACTATTTAGATTTAGATCAATGATAATTTTTTTAGAAACTCAAAATCTCAGTGGGGGGGGGCGACTGGGGGGGGCAAGAAGGTTTCATGGGGGGGCGGTCGCCCCCCCCCCCCCCCCGCCCCCCCCCCCCCCCCCCCCCCCCCCCCCACCCCCCCCCCCCCCCCCCCCCCCCCGCCCCCCCAGTGGCTACGCCACTGACTAAGTACTTCTCAGACAACAAAAAAGAAAGGTATTGAGGATTTCACAAATGAACACCAGGCTACTTGGGAAACAAAACATATTTCACATTTATGACGCTCATGAAAGTTGCAAGTTACACCGTAAAGCTGTAAAGCTCACTGTTCACACTTGTATCTTGCTGTATTGCCGCACCGATGTGGCAGTATTATCGTGCGGACTATTATGAACAATCAAAACAGCAACTTCCGAGATTTGAATTTCGGGTTGGGTTTCTTTCACGGGTACCTGGGTACCCGGTGTTTTTTTCAATCGGATACCTGGTTCCTGTACTACCTTTAAATGCACACCCCTACATTTAAGGCCATAGTACAAAGTCATCTAACAATCTTTACAGCCACATCTTTGGAATATTAGTATGGCAATGAAAAATAACAATCACCTGTAGCTAGGTTGCTTTAAGAACTCTCTCAAAGAGAATTGGATTGTTCATTATTTACATAGCACAGTTTCGCTGTCTGCATGCTATACAGGGTGAGCCAAAAAAAAGAAGGAAACCCAAATGGCACCCCCTATTTTGTAAAGAAGTTCTGCATGTAGCGCGTTCAAGATCTAGGATGTTAAAGCCCAATTAAATTAATAAGCTTTTTTTAGTACAATAATCATTCAAATCACTCATGGACTTTTCAATGATGTAATTTTGAACAAAAACACAGTTTTGTCCACGGATCACATTAAAGGTACGTGATATTTCAGTAAAATGAAACCATGTCGTATCATGAAAACAATATCAGAATAATCCCATAAGTCTCTGGGGTAGCCAAGTAGAAGGCAGGGCAAGATTATAAACTCTGGACATTATACAGCATGATGTTTGAACATTTGGAGCAGAAGGTGTTTAAATAAAGGTTATGATAAGTGCCAGTTATTATGGTTATGAGAGTGTTCTGATATGTGAATTGTTTTTGTTTTGCTGAAATATAACTTACTTTTGTTATGATCCGTGGACAAAATTATAAAAACTGTCCTTGTGTTATGTCCATAACGTGAAAATTACATGAGCAATATGAATGATTCTTTTTCTAAAACAAAGCTTATTAATTGGGCTTTTACATCCTAGATCTTGAACGTGTTACATGCAGAACTTTTGGGTTTCCTTTTTTGTGATTCTTGTTTTAGTGAAGTTCTGCATGTAGCACTTTCAAAATCTAGGGTATGAAAGCCCAATTCAAAAGCTTTCTTTTAGTACAAGAATCATTCAAATCACTCTTGTACTTTTCAAATTACGGAATTTTAAACACAACCACTGTTAAAAAGTTCTGTCCACGGATCACCAAAAAAAATGTGCATTCTTTCAGCAAATGAAAACAATTCACACACATCCCTATGTGATTTGTTTTTGTTTGCTGAAAGAACACTTACCTTTTTGTGATCCTGGGACAGAACTTTAAAACAATGGTTGTGTTCACAATTCCGTAACTTTCAAATGACATGAGTGATTTGACTGATTCCTGTACTAAAAGAAGGCTTATGAATTGGGCTTTCATATCCTAGATTTTGAAAGTGCTACATGCAGAACTTCACTAAAACAATGGTCCCGACATTTTGGTTTCATTTTTTTTTACCACTATATTGGACTCTGACATTAACATTACGCTGTTTATGCCACTGTATTGCCTTTTAAGTTTCATACTAAAATTTTCCAAGAGCTTGATTCGCCAGTTAACATGAATTTCTCATGATTTATGGACAGATCCACCCCCACCCCCTGGCATCACCAAAGTGAGGCCTGATGAGCCTCCTAACAATGTTGACTCGGTGCATAGAGGCAAGCCAGCCAACTTGAACTTTGCTGCACGTGCCTCGGAAGGTGCCGGACTGAAAGAGAGTGAGGTGGTCTGCACGGGTGAGCAGTCTGCACAGTGTGGAAAAGAGGAATCTCCAATGGAGACAACAGTCACCAAAAGTGTCTGCAGTGGGATGGAATATGTGACAGTCAATGCAGTCATCAGTAACGTAACATCCGAGTGCAGCTGCAACGTGAACTTCACCACCAACGGGGATGAGAAGTTGGCAACTATAAAGATAGTCTTTGATGGTGGGGATTTGATTGTTGGTAAGCATTATTTGCTCATTAGCCATGTTCAGTATAAATGGCATATTTATTCACAAGATGAAATTCGCTTCAGGTGATGTTAATTCAATATTTACAAAACCCACTATTGAAGCTGCACACTACAAAACCGAATAGTGAAACTGCACAGTTGCTTGAACTGATCATAGAATAGAGAATGGCATTCTCAATGCAAACTCATTTAGGGTGGATTCAAACAGTTAACTCAGTTAAGCATTGTACAGTTCTACAAGCTCATGACTCGCCCTAGACGGCCACAGTCCACCACAGACCCTGCTAGTGCAGCAATGTACTGGTGCATATATTCAGAAATGTCAATATATAGCTTACCTTGGGTCTATAAATATCGTTATTTCTTGATCTCACAGTGACTACAGGTGTTGCTATCTATGACTACAGTTTCCACTGTGCCTGTAGCTTTTCAATGTCAAAACCAGAAACTGCATGGGCATATCCCACAATAGGAAGACTGGCGACCTTTAACATTCACTCACTTGAAGAAATGGGGGCACTGTTCCAGATCATCATGGCCAGCCCTTCTACCTTTACCGAGTTGACTCGGGAAAAGTTACTTGAACACACCGTTAGGAATACTGCTTACTCTGTGTCATACTCGAACACACCGTTATGAATACTGCTTACTCGTGTCATACTCGAACACACCGTTATGAATACTGCTTACTCTGTGTCATACTCGAACACACGGTTAGGAATACTGCTTACTCTGTGTCATACTCGAACACATCGTTATAAATACTGCTTACTCTGTGTCATACTCGAACACACCGTTATAAATACTGCTAACTCTGTGTCATACTCGAACACACCGTTAGGAATACTGCTTACTCTGTTTCATACTCGAACACATCGTTATGAATACTGCTTACTCTGTTTCATACTCGAACACACCGTTAGGATTACTGCTTACTCAGTGTCATACTCGAACACACCGTTATAAATACTGCTTACTCTGTGTCATACTCGAACACACCGTTAGGAATACTGCTTACTCAGTGTCATACTCCAACACATCGTTATAAATACTGCTTACTCTGTGTCATACTCGAACACACCGTTAGGAATACTGCTTACTCTGTGTCATACTCCAACACATCGTTATAAATACTGCTTACTCTGTGTCATACTCGAACACATCGTTATAAATACTGCTTACTCTGTGTCATGCTCGAACACACCGTTAGGAATACTGCTTACTCTGTGTCATACGCGAACACACCGTTAGGAATACTGCTTACTCTGTGTCATACTCCAACCACCGTTAGGAATACTGCTTACTCTGTGTCATACTCGAACACACCGTTAGGAATACTGCTTACTCAGTGTCATACGCGAACACACCGTTAGGAATACTGCTTACTCTGTGTCATACTCCAACACATCGTTATGAATACTGCTTACTCTGTGTCATACTCAAACACGTCGTTACGAATACTGCTTACTCTGAGTCATACTCGAACACACCTTTAGGAATACTGCTTACTCAGTGTCATACTCCAACACATCGTTATGAATACTGCTTACTCTGTGTCATACTCCAACACATCGTTATAAATACTGCTTACTCTGTGTCATACTCGAACACGTCGTTACGAATACTGCTTACTCTGAGTCATACTCGAACACACCGTTAGGAATACTGCTTACTCTGTGTCATACTCGAACACACCGTTAGGAATACTGCTTACTCTGTGTCATACTCCAACACATCGTTATGAATACTGCTTACTCTGTGTCATACTCCAACACATCGTTATAAATACTGCTTACTCTGTGTCATACTCGAACACGTCGTTACGAATACTGCTTACTCTGAGTCATACTCGAACACACCTTTAGGAATACTGCTTACTCAGTGTCATACTCCAACACATCGTTATGAATACTGCTTACTCTGTGTCATACTCCAACACATCGTTATAAATACTGCTTACTCTGTGTCATACTCGAACACGTCGTTACGAATACTGCTTACTCTGAGTCATACTCGAACACACCTTTAGGAATACTGCTTACTCAGTGTCATACTCCAACACATCGTTATGAATACTGCTTACTCTGTGTCATACTCCAACACATCGTTATGAATACTGCTTACTCTGTGTCATACTCGAACACACCATTATGAATACTGCTTACTCTGTGTCATACTCGAACACACCGTTAGGAATACTGCTTACTCTGTGTCATACTCGAACACATCGTTATAAATACTGCTTACTCTGTGTCATACTCGAACACACGGTTAGCAATACTGCTTACTCTGTGTCATACTCGAACACATCGTTACGAATACTGCTTACTCTGAGTCATACTCGAACACACCTTTAGGAATACTGCTGACTCAGTGTCATACTCCAACACATCGTTATGAATACTGCTTACTCTGTGTCATACTCCAACACATCGTTATGAATACTGCTTACTCTGTTTCATACTCGAACACACCGTTAGGATTACTGCTTACTCTGTGTCATACTCGAACACACCGTTATAAATACTGCTTACTCTGTGTCATACTCGAACACACCGTTAGGAATACTGCTTACTCAGTGTCATACTCCAACACATCGTTATAAATACTGCTTACTCTGTGTCATATTCGAACATACCGTTAGGAATACTGCTTACTCAGTGTCATACTCCAACACATCGTTATGAATACTGCTTACTCTGAGTCATACTCGAACACACCGTTAGGAATACTGCTTACTCTGTGTCATACGCGAACACACCGTTAGGAATACTGCTTACTCTGTGTCATGCTCGAACACACCGTTAGGAATACTGCTTACTCTGTGTCATACGCGAACACACCGTTAGGAATACTGCTTACTCTGTGTCATACTCCAACACATCGTTATGAATACTGCTTACTCTGTGTCATACTCGAACACGTCGTTACGAATACTGCTTACTCTGAGTCATACTCGAACACACCTTTAGGAATACTGCTTACTCAGTGTCATACTCCAACACATCATTATGAATACTGCTTACTCTGTGTCATACTCCAACACATCGTTATAAATACTGCTTACTCTGAGTCATACTCGAACACACCGTTAGGAATACTGCTTACTCAGTGTCATACTCCAACACATCGTTATGAATACTGCTTACTCTGTGTCATACTCCAACACATCGTTATGAATACTGCTTACTCTGTTTCATACTCGAACACACCGTTAGGATTACTGCTTACTCTGTGTCATACTCGAACACACCGTTAGGAATACTGCTTACTCAGTGTCATACTCCAACACATCGTTATAAATACTGCTTACTCTGTGTCATACTTGAACACACCGTTAGGAATACTGCTTACTCAGTGTCATACTCTTACACATCGTTATGAATACTGCTTACTCTGTGTCATACTCGAACACACCGTTAGGAATACTGCTTACTCTGTGTCATACTCGAACACATCGTTATGAATACTGCTTACTCTGTGTCATACTCGAACACACCGTTAGGAATACTGCTTACTCAGTGTCATACTCCAACACATCGTTATAAATACTGCTTACTCTGTGTCATACTCGAACACACCGTTAGGAATACTGCTTACTCTGTGTCATACTCGAACACACCGTAAGGAATACTGCTTACTCTGTGTCATACTCGAACGCGTCATTACAAATACTGCATATGGTGACATTGAAAACAACCAATGAATAGCTGAAATGTGGAGTACCGTGGCCTCGTGGTCTGGAGCATTGAACTTGTGGTCTGCGGGTAATTCTGCAGGTTGTGGGTTCGAGTCCAGCCTGGGGTAATGGTGCGTGTGCCCTTTGGTAAGGCACTTTGTCACTCATTGCTTCTCCCCACCCAGGAGTAAATGGGTACCTGTGAGGGCAGAGATGGTTATTGTGATTGATTGAAGCTGCCTTGTGCCAAACTGGCAACATTGAGCTGTACATGTATGTATACTCCCCAGGGAGCTGAGATGGTATTTGGAATGTTTCCTCGGCCCAGGGGTAATAATAATGTAAAGCGCTACATATTTACCTGTTAATTTTACTATAGTAAATAGTACTATTTGGGAGACACCTTAGTGACAGAAGTTATACCTTTCAGAGACATGTGGAATTAGGGAGACATTTCAATGTCTCCCTAATGCCTCAGCTGCTATTTAGAGTCAAATTTTACCATCACAAATAGGATCAATTGATCGTGGTCCAGTTAGTACAAATACCAAAATTTGTCGGGGTAGGATAAGGGAAAATTTGGGTTAGGGGTCAGGAAAGTCAGAAACTTTATGTGCACAAGTCTATGGGAAGTCACCCTAAGGGTACCATTTGGGATTACACTTATACACTGTATTACTAAATGTACCATTAGGGAGACACCTTATCGTATTTTATTTTATAATAGGGAGACACCGGCTTCTAGGGAGACACATAACTGTCTCCCTAATGGCACAGCCCCCCCCCCCCCCCTCCCCCCTTTAGGGGCAGAATTTTACAGTCGCAATTAGGTTATATTTGTTGCTCGTGGTCTAATTAGTAAAAAATACCGAAATTCATGGAAAAAGGACAAGGGAATATTGGGTTAGGGCACATTTAAGTTGGAAAAAAATGTGTGCACAAGTCTATGGGAAAGTCTCCCTAATTACCCATTAACGGTTATTATTATAAGTTAATTATTATTAATGAGAAGTCAAGTCATTTCTTGAATGGAAATATTACCTGTGCATTCCAGCAAGAATCACTGTTACACAACATTCAGAGATGTCATGGCACTGGAAACTATTGTAAGCTTGTTTACATGAATTCTGAATACTTGTGTAAAACACCCAATCTTGTACTGTAATTGTGTGGACTGCACACCCCATGAGTTATTATTGGGACCAAAGGTGCTATGGGGACAATAGAAAGTCCCCATAACATGCACCTAGAACTGCTTCTGGTGGTCTTGTGTGCACAGCTAATAAGCAAATAATCTGTTCTTGACAGTAATGATGGAAATAAAACTGTTTCAAATATTCATCTTTCTACAGAGGACCCGTGTGTTCAAGAAGTTACCAAGTATGACAAGAAAATCATTGTCTACAAGTTTGAACTGAACAACTGGAAACAGCAATGGGTAGGCCATTTACATTGCATATAAAAAAGTTTGGAACTTGGAGAGTTTCCAATAACTGTAGAGTATTCAGCACTTTTTGCTGTTCCAAGAAGGCCGGCCTAGTGTGCCATTATATACATGTACCTATCTTACTGACTGACCGAGCCACTCGTAGTCAAGTGGCTTGGATCCAATTTTTGATGAGATCATGACCGACTGGCCCAAAGCACCCAACTTGGCAAATAGATTCCTATGGCCCTAGAGAAGATGTTTAGAAGGGGTGGCACCTGAAATTCTTTTGGGAAGGGTGGCTATTTGCATATATCATAATAGCCGCTGTGTAATACATTTATTCCCATATTTTGGTATATTTTAATGTTTTTATTTGTTTGAAAAGTATATTTAGGGAATTCTACAGGTACATGTACTTACGTATGTCCTAAGCATTAAATAACATTTTCAAAATCAGTACGTGTATGTGTTCCTGTTATGCAGTGGCGTATCCAGAGGGGGGGGGGGGGTACCTTGCACCTAACCATGAATGGTTAGAGAGTTCTTACCTGGAAAAAAAAAGAAAACCAAAACCATTACAATGCACCGTGAAAATCAGCATATATTTTGCAGTATGCATAATAATGTGGTCAGTTTTAAAGAGCCCCCCCCCCCCCCCCCTGCGTTTTGATTTTACGGAGGCCAAGTGTCCAGAGGAAAAAAAACATGTCTACATTTCGGTGCGAGTGCAAATAACACCCCCCCCCCCCCCCCCCCACCCCACACCCCCGACATCAAAAGCTGGAGCCACTGCCTTTATGTGGATGTGCTGGTTTGTTTTTGAACAAGGAATAATTAATGTTACATGTTTTTGGTTCTTTAAACAGAGTGCAAAGTGTTTGGAGAACAATTCTGATGCTGCTTACTGCAACGAACAGTGTCCTTGAAGGTCAGTTAATAAACGGTAAACTAAGCAGGAGGTAGAATGTACCACTTGCTGTGGGCTTCAGCATGCCTTTTTGCTCAGAAAAATATAGATAAGGCAATGGTAGAGTGGTAGAGCAGTTTTAAACATCTGACTTAAAACCGATTAAGGGCCTGGTCTCCGATAATGGCCAGAGCCAAATTCAAAAAAATTCTTTAAAAAAATTGACAAAGTGTCAATGATGTTTTGTTCAACAATTTGAATCCATGTTAATCTGTGGTGCACGTCACTCATGTGGTTTGCTCCTACATCTCATTCTTTGAAAATTGAGATGCATCAGTGGTTCTCAATCACCCGGCACAGGCATTGCTTGAAGGGGGAGGGGGTGACACCCCATTAACTAGTTCACGTCGGATGCCGTGTATACACGCAAAGGTTTTGTGGTATTCGGAACAGCTAGATGACGGATAAACACGAAAGGAGCGAGGCCAGAAATATCTGTCAGCGACCTGCTCACAACGAGGCCAGAAATATCAGGGGGTCTACCCGCAGATGACAGCATGGACCCGTCTGGCATCAACGTTCGTGAAAAACAATATCGTGCTGGGTCCGATCGATGTAAAAAAAAAACAGCGCGAACTGGTGAAAACATTTTGTCGGCAAAACCATCCTGTCAGCAAAAATCATGTGTCCGTCGAAAATTGTGCCTGGATGATGAGCACCGTTGCTCATAATGTCCATAATTGTCCACTTGAACAACACACCGACCCAATTTAGGAATGGTGTTTTAACATCTGTCAGTATGTTCCATTTGTCGAAAAGGCAATGAGAGGAAACTGATGACTAGGTCAAATGGACTGATTGGAGATTTGAGCTTTTAACCCAGCACCTGGGCGTCATTGTATTACACTGTATTTATTCACTGAAAAATCACTAAAACCATAGAGTGCTCAGGTGGTTTCAGTCACTACAGTACTAAAGGGTTAACCTCTGCAATAGACCTTTATCATGCTGCCACCATTCCAGTCATGTTCCCTGTATCCAGTAACAGTACTGAATGATAATGTTTTTTGTGCAAAAATGAACCAGACTATTCGTCCTTCCAGCCTCACTTTGGTTACATTGATTTGAATGGGAAAAAAGTCAAATGGCTGCATAAAACACTCTTCAGTCTGTGGCTGTGGCATAAACACAATGATTTGTTTCCCATGTCCTTCAATTTGAGTCAGAGTATAATGGAGACATATCACAGCACACAGCAATCAACGCAATCTCCACACCTTTGAGGACATTCCCTGTCAGATCAGGTCCTATTAGGTTCGGATCTTCAATCTGGCAACCAGCTGAGCTACGAAACTCAGTGCTAATATCTCAAAATCAGTCCTTTTTTATATTCTTTTTTCACCGAATGGAGTTTATATTGATCCTTTTTAATAAAAACTTTAACATTCTTTTTGTTTTAAAGGGGAAAAACCTGTCCACCGAAGAGTGAGCTTAGTTTATTTGCAGTAAGAGAAATACTCCCATGGAATCAGGAAGATGACAACCTCACTTTTAACAAGAATGCTCTTTGCTAAAGGAAATAGAGTTGTGCACAATGCGTATTATGATTTCATACTACACAGAATCTTTACTGATTACATGTACATTATATCAAAGGATGTATGGCAAGTTGTATTTGAAGAGCTTTTTAGATTTAACTGGAGTTAATACAATCAAGATGATTGTAGAATATTTAGTCAATTTTTATTTACGTGATGGATCCTACATTGAAGTATGGAATAATTCAACATGCAAATGTAATGGCATGCCTATACAGAGTCATGTTTTTCTTATTTTTCATTAATTGGCTTTTCTGCCATCAGCGGAAAAGCCATTGTTTTTGCACTGATTTTTTTTTCTTTTCTTCTTTTTCTTTTCTTCTTCTTTTTCTTCTCCCTTTTTCTTCTAAATATATCCCATAGACTTTGTACATGTTTCATTTTAGGGGTCAGTGTTGACAATAACAGACTTCAATCTGGATGCAAGTTGGTATACATTAAGACCCCATAATAAAGTCATTCATCGACAAGTGACGTCATGATGACGTCATCGCATGTCATGTGACAGTACAGTTGTATTTTTCAACAGCCTATGTCTAGAGAACAACATAGCAGATTGGGTTGAAACTTTGTATATTTACATTATAAAATTGAGACGACGTCATGATGACTTCATCCTTTGATTTATTTTCAATTTTTTTCACCTCATCTTTATATCTCACAAACAAAACATTCTATATTCAAAATTCTTTTGGGGTTAGGTTTGTTATTTCATAGATATATGCACAAAATTTCGGAAAATGTGTGACGTCATCATTAAGTCATAAAAATATGATTTTTTTTTTTAAACATATGGGAATGTTAAATCGTTATGAAACTTGGTGGGTAGGTAGATATTGAATAACATTCAAATCTGAAATGATGTCATGATGACATCATCAACCGATTTCTTATTAATTTTTAAATTTTGACAGGAAATGCAATCAGATTGACCTTAAACTAGTCACAGACTAAGACCCTATAAAGGTCAAGTTGGTCCTTAACAAGTTCCATCATGATAACGTCATCATGGGTCATGCGACGTCATGTTAAAGGTGAATACGTGTAATTTAATTTCTATATCTATAGCTCTAGAGTGACAACTTGGTTGGAACTTTCTAAATACATAGTCACATATGTGTTATTAATGAAAATGACACTGACGTTATGGTGACGTCACAGTGTATTTTTTCATTGATCTTAATTTTAATCAATTTTTAAAGTTTTCATTTTTTTTTATTGCCAATTTCGGCAGTGTCTTATATCCGATCAACTACAACCTTCAAAACAAAAGGGGTAACATGAATCAATGCTCATGGACAAACAAAGCATAAACTTTTGAAAAACGTAAAATGCTGAAAAGCCCTATGTTCTTTCTGTCCATCATACAGACATAGACCTATAGTTTCATTTTTTTTGGGGGGGGGGGGTCTACTTTTGATTGGATTTTGCTATGTCTTTCATGCATGGCCATCAATCTCTCTCTTTTCCTTTCCTGGGGGAGATACTATATTTTATGTCCAGTTATGACACGCGACAGCTGAAATTTTTACATCTATTATGTGATTAAAATACCTGAAAGTAACTTGATATAAATGTACATATAATATATAATTAAATTAAATCCAAGGGCAGATCAGTTGTGGTAGAAGCAGGACAAAAATGCAATCTACCAGCAATGAAGAACCGCCTTTCCAATTGCTGTTTTTGAAAAAATTGTCAGGATGTTGTTTTAGCAGTGTACCGGACTTTAATTAAGAAGTAGGCATGCTTGTATTGTAAAGCAGCTACCAGGCCAACCTCGTCCCCAGGGTGTCGAGCAGTACGCGCCCACCACTACCTGCTCTCTCACCCTGGTATTGGATCATTTGCATGTGCAAGATTTTTGAACACGTATGCAAATGAGGAACAGTCTGGTGCCTGGATATGCATTACACATTAGCGATTGTTTTTGTATGCGGTGTCTGGGGTAAAAACAGAGTCAATTCGTAGCAGCGCGAGCACGGCGTGAGTTACGAAAACACGATTTTTGAAATCAAACTGTTACGATCTTATCGAGACAACATGCAGTATCATATTTCATATTAATATGAGCAAATTGGAAAGGATTTTAGTATTTTTGAGAAGGCGTGAACGAATGATCGCGAAAACACGTACTGCATGTTGTGAATAATAGCACCAAGTACACGATAAAAATCCATTACTAGCCAATTGCGTTATCCAATCAGGATATAGGAAGAAAGTTTCCTATCCAGGGCTTACTATTGGAAACGCAGTTGGAAATAAAGTAAGCACTGGGGACGAGGTTGCTACCAGGCTTACCATGCAACACCAACAGATCTGCTCTTGTGTCAGCTTTTGTAAAGTAATTGCCATGTAGGCCTACATGTATATATACAGAAGCAGTTTTGCCAAGATTAAATATATTTTAAATTGATGTAGTTTGAAGGGAATACAGCATTCGCATTTGATGTACTTCTCAGAAAATTGTAGGGTCAGGGAACCAGTCTAGCAGGCTTGCACCCATTCACAGACATGTAACCAATTGCAAAAAAAAGTAGACTGAATAAATATGGTAAATTGGTTCCAGATTACGGAATCGGTACCCGTAACCACCTTTACAAATTAGTGTAGTAACTTTCTCAGAAAGATTGTGAATGGCATTTGTGGGGAATTTAAAAAAAAAACCAGGCTGCATGGGAAAACAAACAGATTCACATTTATGACAGTCGTGAAAGTTGCAGTTACACCATAAAGCTATAGAGCTCACAGCACACTTGTATCTAGCTGTACTGACGCACCGATGGGATGGGTACCCGTGTTTTTCTTTAATAATTGGGTAGCGGGTTCATGTACTACCTGTAAATGCACACTCCTAATCACTCATAGGACTCCATGATTTTTGCATGTGTATATATAGAAAAACAACATTGTTTGTGTTGTGGTGTTTGCGTGTTTATGGTGTTCGAGGCTGAATAAGAAAAAAATGAATGAAAACAGACGTTGAATGTTTTTCGCTTTTATGGGAAGTGTTTTCCACACCACACAGTAGACCGAGAATCTGATGTACTTTATTTTAAAATTTGTGATATCAAGAAAAGTTTGATACATTTGAAACAGGTGTGGGATTTTTCCTGTTTTTTTCCTCCTGATTTTAGGATTGTTTTTAAAATAAAATTGTTTGGAAATCTTACCTTTTTAGCACAAGCCTTGCACAGGTGTGGCCGTTGGGTGAGCTTTCTTGCATTGTTAGTTAAGCTGCGTGTTTATGGTGTTCGAGGCTGAATAAGAAAAAATGAATGAAAACAGACGTTGAAAGTTTTTCGCTTTTATGGGAAGTGTTTTCCACACCACAAAGTAGACCGAGAATCTGACGTACTTTTTTTTTAAATTTGTGATATCAAGAAAAAGTTTGATACATTTAAAACAGGGGTGGGATTTTTTTTTTTTCTGATTTTAGGATTGTTTTTAAAATAAAATCGTTTGGAAATCTTACCTTTTTAGCACAAGCCTTGCACAGGTGTGGCCATTGGGTGCGCTTTCTTGCATTAATAGTTAAGCTCGCTTATAATCACGATAAGAAACAATGTGCTAAACGTTAAATAGATTGTTCATTATCTCACCCCAGCATGTTCACCACCCATGCCATTATTTCATGGTATTTTCTTACATTTTGTATATAACAGATGCATGACGTATTATAGCATTGTTTTTTGTAACACATAATCAACTTTCAACAAGTTTGTGTATTAAAATTATTTGTTTTATTCGCTTAGAATGTAAACAATTCCTGTAAATTACCCGAAAGACATTTTGTCGTCAGAAGTTATGCCTTAGGGAGACACCGGACATTAGGTTCAATGTCTCCCTAACATCACAACTCCTACTTAGAGGCAACATTTTACCGTCGCAAATAGGCTAGATCGATTGCTCGGGGTTCAAAACAAAAACCCAAATTTGTTGGGTTGGATATTCAAAGGTAAAAGGATTAGGGATCATGAAAGTTGAATTTGTTTGTTTGCACAAACCTATGGGAATGCAGAGTTGTAATGACTCGAGTCAATGACTCGACTCGAGTCCGACTCGAGTCACAATTTTTGGTGACTCGACTCGAGTCCCTAAGGGTAAATGACTCGACTCGACTCGAGTCACTGCGAGCAAATGACTCGACTCGACTCGAGTCCCTCATCAGAAGACTCGACTCGACTCGAGCGAAATCTAATAAGACTCGAGTCCCAAAAAATAAAGGCACAACTTTGTGAAAAGTATTTGCAATGACTTACGGTGCAAAGTTATGCTCACTTCGCTTTGCGAATAGCAGTCATGTATAAATATACAACGTGTCACAGACTCCCACCTCATGCAGGCGCGGTTCTACGGTGGGGCTGGTGGGGGCTGTAGCCCCCCCAAAATTTTGTCTAGCCCCCCCAAAATAAATTCCGTAAAAAATATTATTGCATTAGGGAAAAAGAAGGATTGTAATGTACATGCGAATACTATCCAGGAACCAGATTGTTAAACACATTTTCTAATTCGCTGTTTCATCATTGGCTTTGGGCGATTTCTTATAAAGCTCTTGGATTCGAACGCTGGCTAAACTTATGGCCTCCTTTTATCAATTTTGGTATATAGTGTTCAAATATTCGTGACTCGAATTGACTCGAGCTAAATATTTGACTCAACTCGACTTGACTCGACCTTTTGACCTAATGACCCGACTCGAGTCACTTCTTGAAAATGACTCGACTCGACTCGAGTCACTTCTTGAAAATGACTCGACTCGACTCGAGTCACAAAAATCAGTGACTCGTTACAACTCTGTGGGAATGTCTTAAATGATATAATATTGGATGGCTTTGGGGTGGATACAAGAAGAATATATGAGTGCAATATATTCTTGTATCCCCCGAAAAAAAAACATCCAACATTATTATTTATATTAGGCTGACTAGCTTGATCCGCAAGAAACACATTTCAGGATGCTGCCTTTATGTCTCAAATTTTGTCGAATTATCGCGCCGCTCGAAGCTACCATTGTGGCTGTTGACAACAGTGTGCGTAGACCCACTCACTACGCTCTGTTGACTGGTTGACTGTGACTTTCTACACTCTAGATTGTGAGGGAACCAAATGCCCAGATGTCTGCATTATCAATATTACTGCAGTAATTCAGGTACTTTATTGACTTAATATTGCAGTCATCCGGGTATTTTTTACGACGGCATAAAATATGCCAATTTATTTTTACCACTGGAAGCCTGATATAAATAAAAATTATAAGTATGGTTTGATGATATAATTACTTGAGGATCAAGAACCTTCAACATGGTTAGTTAGAAAAGGTTTGGTTTTTTTAATTACATGTACAAGTTCTACATTCAACAAACTTTGGACTTTTTCCATCTTTCAGTTTAGTATGTACATAGGAAGCATATTACATTTTTAAAAAGCAAGAAAAATCAATAACTTAATTTGTATATTTTGAACCATTTTATTCACACAAAAATTCAATTTTCTTCAATTGTATTTTGGGGTCCTAATACAAATGCTGGTCTTGTTTCAAGATTAATCCTGAATCCGAGCTGGATGGAGCCAATATAGTTCCAATATAGGAACTTTTCACCTATTGTTACACATGCGTCCAGCAAGAATAGTGGGTGCATCTTAGAATAACAAGAAATGCAGAGTGCACCATGCTATATGTATAGTATACAAATGTCGACTGCTTGGAGTGGTGTAGTAAAACTAGCCTCCCTCGGTGATCCATGGAGCATTCTGTTTCCCAAGGGGTAGCCCCTGGAGTGGAATGCTCCATGGATCACCGAGGGAGGCTAGCTTTACTACACCAAGAGGTAAAGCAGTCAATATTTGTTTTACAACCCCTCGCCCACAGATTCTGCTTGATTTTAAGAGATGACTGATTAATTTAGCGTACATCCAATTAAAACAGACTTGAACCGGTATTTCAATATGAAATTAGTTGAAAATTTACTTGCACTTTTTCAAATATTTCCACGAATCTTCATGATGTTTGAATGTTTGAACCCAACTCTGTAGTACTAGCGCTTCGGAACATACACACAACACTAACACCCATATGCATTTGCATGCATGCATACCAGTTTATACGTTGCTTGCTATGCGTACACGTACATGTTGTATAGTACTTTTTTCAGCCGTTGTACAAATGTATATTCTTTTTGGCCGTGCACATCAAGATAGTGAAAATAGCATACGCCATGTGAATCGTTCTCAGCCAATCAAGATACAGAATCTGTGGGTGAGGTGTTATAAGGGATAAAATCCACTGTTGTTGCCATGGATTGACCAGTCAGGATCAAGGATTCAAGTTTGTTTGAAGATAAGTGATTAAATAAGACAGTTCTAACAACTTACGTTCTGCTCTGCCTATTGTAGTAAAAAGGGAAAAGTTATGTTATTTTGTTGAATATGAATATATCTTACCCAGATGCATGAATAAAGCACATCCGGCATACGCAGTAGTTCCACTTTGAAATGTTGGTGTTTTGCTTTTGTTTTCATGAATTGCAACAATTACCAATTTGGACTGAATTACTCAACAAATCTTTCAAAAATGTGAACCAACCTTACTAGCTCATTGGTTTTGATGTTGGAACCTCAGTCTGAGACACCACCCAAACCCATCTCAGTGTTGAAACTCATGGCAGCTAGAGTTTCACCACGTTATGAAACTAGGACATCAAGCCTTGAGGAAAGCAAGGGCGGATCCGGGGGGGGGGGGCCAAAGGGGGCCATGGCCCCCCCCCCCAAAAAAAAAACGAAACCAATTTTTTTTTTTTTTAATGTGACATCGCAATAAAGGCAGGCAATGAGTATACCACCATCTTTTCCTCAAAAAAAATTGGTTAAAGTGGTCAGAAATTGCCTCAGATCGCACCACAGAGCATCTCGAATCAAAAAAAATTTTGGGGCCCTAGCGGGCCCCGAACCCCACGCCGTAAGTTTTTAGACCCACTTTTTGGGGGGACCAAAATTTTTTTGGGCCCCCCCCAAAATTGTGTTCTTGATCCGCCCTTGAAGGAAAGTACATGTAGTCATGGTAGTTGAGCGATGTATGGTCCTAAAGCTCGGGCATTGAAATTTGATAGAGTTGGGTGTATTGGGTGAATAATTGTTCATAAGTATGAAAAAAACTTGTTGCAATGACTGTTGGAAAATGGCATTGAGATAAGCCAATAATACACTCAACCCACTTCCAAAACTGTTTCAAGTTGAAGCCCCATCAAACCGTTTTCAAATTAGTTCATTAGCACCTCTATGACATTATATGTGACCCGCTCCGCAAAAATGAGTCTGTTGTGGCAAAACTGACATTTTGAGTTAACTACATTAATAAAATGGGAATGAAATAAGCTTTCATTTGGTATATCATGGACCTCTCTAGGACATTTGGTTGCATTGTTGTGCTTGTTTCATTCTGTAAAGTTTTTGCAAAGCTAGAAGTGTCTCAATGGAGAAAAAGGGCTTTGAAAAATGACGAATACACTGTAACTAACCAAGAAATGCACCAAAGATTCATAATTTTTTTTCTTTTTCTTACAATATTTACATTTTTGTGTAAGATATTTGAACTAAAACCATCAAACAACCAAAATAAAACAAAAAATCCAAATTTTGAGCAAATTTTTACTGTTTCCATTTCAAAATGGCAAAAGCTTAAATTCAAATTATGCGACATCAGACTCATTTTTGCAGAGCGGGTCACATATTACATTGCATTTATTCACTGATAATTAAGCAATAAACCCCTTAGGCCTTTTCACACTAGAGCCTTATTAAAAAGATTTTTTTTTGAATGAAAGATGATGTCTCAAAACCGCCAAACTCACTGGTTTGACTGGAATCCTGCTGCTGCACAATTTTAACGTGTTTTCAGATGGGGTTACGATCGAGGATAAGCTTTATGTGGCCTCTCTTGGCTCCCATATATTTTGCACTAAATTTAGTCGGGCACCATATGCAGTCATCAGCTGACATTTGAAGAAAAAGGAAAAAAAAGAACAGAAAAAAAGCTGCGTCGCCACACCAATTATGGGGCAAGCTCCATACCAGAAACAGAAGACTTTTTTTTTTTTAATATCAGGTCCCATGCTAATTCCAGACGTAAAACACACGGCTATCTTTATAGTGCATATCCATTTGAAGCAAGAAACGTGACGTGAATGACAAAGTTAGTGCTCTGACAATTGTATTATTGATGACCAACATTGTGCACCCCACACTCACAACGTGATCATCCAAAGAAACTGCAAGATTTTCAATGTATAGCTGTGTAAACATTTTATTCTCCTTTTCTATAAATCTCTCTAAGTATAATCATTTTGTAAGAAATGTTTTTAGAGCCGCTTCAAATGTCACTTCCTTATCATCATAAAGTTCTTTCAAGGCTGCTCCATATTTTACTGAAATTCATTCATTTAGAAAACAACTTTAAAACTGTACCAATTTGGCGTATCGCATAACATGTCATACATGTGCAGAAGTTCCTGATGTGTTCTTCACATGTTGATTGCAAAGACCACTTGGACCACACACAGTACAAATGGCACGCTAAACTTGACTATCAAAGAATAAAGTTGCTTGGAACTCTCGGTGTGTATTTTTACTGCATCCACTTACAACAATATACCAGATAAAGTACATGTAGCACACACTGTAGAGATCTCAAGTGGTTACAGATGCCACAGTGTTGCATCAAAGTGGCCAGCTATGTATCTGCTCCGTGCAACTAACTGCTGAGTGCAGTGTAGCCAGATACCAAGCCATGTGTGGGCACTAACATGCTAGCACACGGGCACAGGTCTGCATACGATAAAGTAACAATCACTGTCATCACACATGTGCCTATCAGTAGTTAGCCAAACACTGAGAAACACTGATATACCTCTCCGAGTGATGCCCGTTTGCTATTTCCCAGGTCTGTATCGTGACTTTGGGCGTGATCCCTGGCTGTATGGAATACTGGTTTATGGCTTCTGACTAGCGCCCCTTGAACAAAGCTATTGACAAATTGGAGCACCGCCAACATAGGGCTGAATTGCTCAGTCGGTTCAGCACTGGAACAGTTCCGGAGGTCGCAGGCTCAAACCCGCTCCAGTCCATTTCTTTGTTCAACTTTTCAAAATATTAAAGGATGCACACCTTTGTCATCCTCTGGGCGGAAAATGATTAGTTGCCACATCTTTGAGTAATTCTCCTGTCAACACTTGTGGACCATGCTGATGAGGTTCTGACTGCGTCCAGATACTGGGTCAGTCTTGCTGGTGTCCCTGTCCCTTTAAGCAGTCTGTTTGACGTCTTGTTCCTCTCCCGTCTCCCCTGACTTGTCTCTCCCTGTCTCAGCTTCTCTCTCCCTTTTCCGTCTCTCCTCCTTCTCCAGCCAGTACTTGAGCCCTCCCGTGGCCTCCAGTAGTTTCTCTAGCTTTGTTCTCTTCAGTGATGTCTCATACTCCTGAGCTGCCCTGATCTGTCGTCGTACAGCCTCCACATGCTCCAGGTGCCACTCAGCCAGCATCTCTGGATACTTCTCTGAATGGGTGTGGTTCTGTTGCAACTCCTGGACCTTTGGGAGGGTTTCTGCTGCCACTAGACTGTCCAACGATTCCGCAGATATTTTGCTGTCAGCTTGCAGCTTGGACAAACATTCCTGGTGACAGAAAAGAGAAAATATCCTGCTCATATGGGCAATTCCTGCATTATGCAATGTCCGTGACAGAGCTGTTGAGAGCTCAGTGAATAAACCTGAAAATATATTCTTCAAATCTTATACGTCCATCATCTAGTAATGGTCAAGGAGATTACAGACTAGGAGTTTTGAATCATTTCTCTGAATCATTCATTAGATATCGTGGTTAATTGGCTCCGTCATGGACATTACACGTCCTTCATAACGCTGGAATTGCGATCAAGTTCGTAGGGAGCTGTCATTGAAAAAGAAAATGAGTCAACACTACGGGCTCACAAGACCAATTTTGTCAAGACCAGTTGTGACGGCCAATTTCCCGACAGACCACTTCATGCTATAATAATAATAATAATAATAACGAGTTTATATGGCGCTTTTAACTAAGATCAAAGCGCTTTACATTATTTTTACCCCTGATCATTGGGCCAAGGAAACATTCCAAGTACCATCTCAGCTCCCTGGGGAGTGTACAGCTCGATGCTCGAAGCAGTGAGTGACAAAGTGCCTTGCCAAAGGGCACACGCACCACAACCCCAGGCTGGACTCGAACCCACAACCTGCAGACCATGAATTCAATGCCCCAGACCACGAGGCCCACGGCACTCCATGCTAGAAGGTAGCTAGGATTTTTTTTCCGGTTTACAGCCACTACAAAATCAAAGGGGGGGGGGAGAGACTGGACACTTATGGGGGCTTTTCAAACTGCCAATAGTTCATCATAGGTCCCTATTATTGAAACTTGCCAAAGAAATATGTTGAATGTCTTTATTTGTTTGCAACTGACTGAATTGTCAAATTAACTTACCTGCAATTTGCTTCTGAGTTCCTCCTTTACATCTGATCGGCTTTCCAGCGCAGTCTGTATTTGTTCAACCTGTAATGCACCAATGATAATAGACACCATTAGAAATGGTACGCGCACAGGATAGGTATGCAGCTGGGAAACAAACCATACCTGCCTATATCATCATTTGGTGCGGTTATTTCACGAAACCGGCACATATATACATACAATCCTCATAACTAAACACGGCAAAAAATAGAAAGTTCACACTTATTGGAGGGGTCATCATTTTGAATATGATCGATCTTATGATGATGTCATTTATATAGACCTTTGGGGAATGTTGTTAGCTACATTTTGATACCCCGTTTGCTACCAAAGACTGTAAATCGTCCAAGATTGACAACGGTTTATGAAAAATGACGCAGTGTGAAAAGTTGCAAATTTAAAAATTGCCAAGCGCAAACACACTATCGACTGCACAGTGCCTGAACAGAGCAAGGGTTATTCAATTTCACGTGCTCCCATGCAAGCAAGCATTGTGCGATCCATATTCCCTGCTGTTCGTTTCGGGCAGAGTAACATGTCATGCAGCAATTTCTGCATGACTCACGTACTCTTTGAATTGGCAACTTTTCAAACTACATCATTTTTCACAAACTGTTGTCAATCTTGGACGATTTACAGTCTTTGGTAGCAAATGGGGTATCAAAATGTAGCTAACAACATTCCCCAAAGGTCTATATATATGACGATATCATAAGACGATCAGATGCAAAATTGTGACCCCTCCAATGAATGAGGACTTTCTTTTTTTCTTCTTTTTTTTGCGGTGTTTATATACGTACAATCCCCATAACATATTTGAATCCCAATAAAATATTTTTTGGATATCCGTTCGAGGATCCAGGTTTTGAATATTCGGTATATTGGGCACAGCTCACTTACCGCTTGTTGGGCCACACAAGGCTCATTGTCTCCTGTCAAGTCTGTTGTTGCTTGCAAGAAACTAATGGCCTGCTTTAACCTGCCTGCCATTACAAGACCCAGGGCATGGTAACTGCTGGAAAGAAGACTAGTCTGACTCCTGGTGGCATCAGCAAAGGTCATGCCTAGGTTATGCATTTCTTCCTGTTCAATACAAGAACATCAATGTTTCTATCAAATTCCACTTGCAATGTAGCTTTTTTGTTTCATGTTGTTTGTTTGTGTGTTTGTTAGGATTATTGGGGTACTTGCTTGCTGGCTTGCCGACTTGCTCGCTTGCTGGCTTGCTTGTTTGTTTGTTTATTTTTGTGCTGCCACTCCATAGCACACGATGCTGTTAAAATTATTTCGTTATTTCAGGTTCCCTTCAGTTTCAGCTGATTTTAGCGAGGCAAGAAAGTAATCTTATCTGCAAAGTAGCCCAACAAATTCACACCTGTCCTTACTAGCCCACTTGTCAAGTGCTAAGTACCATTTATTCAGTTATGATGTATAGAATATGTATTTATAAAAGCATTATAAATTCAAAATACTAATTCATCGGAAGATACCGGAATGACTCAAGGGAGAACATACAGTCTCAAACATTCTTACCTCCGTGCTGTCCCCCGATTTCAAGTATTGATGGCAAGCATACAGGGCCAACAGCTGGGATAGAGGCTCCTGATTGGTCAATACCTCCAGTGTCATCATCTCCATAGCAACCATGGCCGCACCCTTGATGTTTCTCTTCTCTAGGTAATCATCCAGGACTAAGTTGAAGGTGAAGTTATCGGGAAATAGCCCGTAATTTGTCTGTCAAAACAAGGGAGTACTGCATTGGGTGGATACCATGGACATGATTGATAACTCCTTGAGTTCTTACCCATCGCCACTCCCCCCTCCCAGATGAGAGTTCCAAGTTTGATGCCCGGCAATGTACGCTAAATACTTGCAGAATTGCTTCAGCGTCAAAAGCAACATCGTGTGGGAGAGGGGATTCTCAAGTTAATGATGATTATTTTTAGTTCCAAAATGAAAACAAACTTTTGTCTGAGAAGATTTTGCCCACATATTAGACAGAAGAATAAGAAACCAGTCAATACTTTCTTAGTTCCAGCAAAGATATTTGATATTTATTACACTAATTATATCTAAGATCTTCTAAAATCCAACAAGAGGTATTGCAAATCAGGTATTGCAGGGTCACATCCAAATTTATTTTGTCTGAAGAACAATCAATGCGCATTGAGTTAATGCACAGCATACATGTGAGTTCAACGGATTTGAGAAAGTTCAAAATGACAAAATCCCTAGAGGTATGGGGCTATAGTTTCAAAAGCTTTGCAATATCTTTTATTAACCCTCCTTTGCAAATATACACTTTCTGCGTGGTTTTCCTTGCAGTCAAAATCAATCAAGTGACTGTTTTCAACAGTTAGGAATTCCCAGCCTACATAAAGCAGGATTGACTGTCTTTGACTGTTTATGCAACTTGATACAGCTTTGCTTTGACTGTGGGTAATTGATAAGCCAGCTGTGCCCACAACTTGCCTGCTTTGTCTGTTCATGGTCTGTTGACTCAGTTTGACTAGTCACGGTGCTTGCTTAACATTATGATCTGACTGCTGGTGACTGGCCTGTGTTAAAAGTATAGCCGAAGTGGATGGACAATTTGACTGTCTGTGACTGTTTAAACAGCAGGAGGGTTAGATTGCACGGATCTGTGGGTGACTGACCTTATCTTGAAGGACTTTGAATGCTGTGTTGGCTTGTCCTAGATCGAGGCAGGCTCTGATGAAACAGTGCGCGGTGGAAGCTCTTAGATGATGGGCCACAGGGGAATGACGATGACTGCAAACAAACAAGCATAATACAATGAATGAATCATACTCTGACTGACAAGGTGGACGAGGTGAAAAAGGACTTTAAAAAAGATAAAGTCTTTGTAATTTAAGCTTGAAATCCCGGCGAAGATGAGATCACAGGTCTGGTGTCACTCAGCATAGCTCTTCCTTTTTGTATGAATTGCTTCTTTCTGACCTCTGAGTCAACAATAACACTGGCAGTGAAAAAAAAAACAATCATCATGAAATGCTATTAAGGTCTTGCAAGCTAAATGATAATTCAATTTTCGGCAGGTACTTTTTGACATCAATTCCAAGATAAGTCAGCTAAAATGCACACATGAATGTGCAAATATGATCCTTTCTTGAACAAACATATTCCTGACAAAGTGACTCAATTTTACTGTCTTGTGATCTCAATAACTGCATGGTAAAATTAAAAAGCACTGAGAGAGCGCAAACCTCTGCCAAGGCCAAACAATCCCCGCCATATTGGCAGTACACCGGAAAGAAATACTCGCATTAATTTTGAAGAATCCTTAAAAAAATCCTGGATCCAGACCCAGATCCGGATCACTTCCCAAATCTAATCGATATCAAGGACCACCCCCTCAAAAAAAATTCATGCAAATCCGTCCACAACTTTTGGAGTTATCTTGTTAACAGACAAACCAACCAACAAACTAATCAAATCCGAAGAAAAAAATAACCTCCTTGGCAGAGGTAATACGTAGGATGATTAACCCCAACAATCTCCATCTTCTCAAAGACCAACACCAGGGTTTGTTGGAATCTGTTGGAGTGAGTACTGCACTAGTAAACTGATTCTGCTTTACCTGGGGTCAGGCATACCACCATAATTAGAGTCCAACAGTTTGGGTGTAGAGTTTATACTCAATATATGCCTGATTGAGGAAGGTTCCTAGTAAATCACTCTAAGAGTTAGGTTTAATTCAGGCCTTATATGCCCACAACATCAGAAAACTGATGTTTCACGAGTCAATTCTCATTGATGAGGGGTAAATGAATACTAACAGCTCATTCTACATATTTAAAATGATAACGATCTGGTTCGTAAGTTTGACATCATCTCAACTTAACCACGCGTACTGCACAAGGCGTAGCATTGCACCAATGGAACCGGAAGTTAACACAACTTTAGTGTTTAGCCAATGGGTGCTTGTGCTCAGTGGTACGTGCGCGTGAACGACAAACTCACTTACGAACCGGATAAAACACAAAATCTCCTCAACATTTACAAGTACTTACCAAAATAGATACTGTTCAGCTGACTTCAAGTCATGTTCATCAGAAATATTATCAATGAACTGCATTAAAGAAACAAGAAAATGTCAAACATATTTTATTAATTCATGTCTTTTATTCATTAATCATAAATCAACAACAACAACCAAAAGACGTGGAGGAAACCTAGAACATCATGAACATGAAAGACGAATCAAAAGAAACAGTCTAAATGTCAATGAAGCAAGGAACTAGAAATTAATGTAGAAGTAAGAGACAAATTGACAAATTAAATAATTAACAATTTAGCATAACAAGAAAAGCATAACAAGAAAAGCATAAACCAGGGAATAACGATTGCTTGGCTAGGTCAAGGGAATATTGATGAGTGGGATGGGCGATGTGAAAGAATACCTTAATCTTGAGAATCAATCCAAACGGGGCTGTATTTTGAGTAGAAGATTACGAAGGATGAGACCAGTGCTGTTTTTTGACAGGTGAGTGGTGAGTTGCCGTATTTCGGTTTTTGTCATCAGATTGAATAGGGAGCGGATTTGTGTTTTATTGTTTTCGTCTATGAAGCCTCTACTTCCTATTTCCAAGGCGATGAGTTTGGAGTTGAAGCCTATCTCATGCAAATCTCGTGTTAGGTTGGCATATTTTTGCATTTTGTAGTCATGGCTTTTAGTTATGTTAGTTTCGAATGGTACCGTTAATTCAACTATGGTGATGTCTTTGTTATGTTCGTCTGTTATGACAATGTCTGGCTTAAGTGTGGTTGGTAGTATGGATGGCGGGATGGTATTGCCGCCAGGAGCGTGTTTACCATCGAGATCGGCAAAGAGTTTGCGGTTAGAGCAGCTGTTGTACATTTTGTCTAGGGATTTACAGATTTCCAGTAAAACATTGTTGTGGCGATAGGTGTAGCGGCCTTGATTGAGCATTACTGGGCAGTAATTGAGGACATGTAACAATGTTTCCTTGGATGTGCAAAGTGTGCACTTGGGGTCAACTGACTTACCCCAGAGGCAGAGATTGGTATTGACTGGTAGAGTATCTATGATTGCATTGAGTCCAAAGCGAAGAATTTTCCGAGGTAAATTATACATTATTGATTTCCAAGTGATGTTGGATTTTTCCGTTTCCATAAGTTCTAGGAGACGGCCTTGTTTAGCAAGGGATTTGATTTTTTGATCCCATGTATTAGCAATGTCCTTTGCTACGGATGACTTGATGACTGTTTTGAGTTTGTGCAAATGTTTTCCCGGGCTATTGTCTTTGGCCGGTATTTCCTTCAGAGCTTTTTGGAGAACGTTTTCTGAATAGGCAGTAACGGAACATTTTCTAGACCAGGATGATTCGCGGTGTAGTTTGGAGTCTAGACATTTGTTAACCATATTGTCTCCTTTGATTCTTGTGGAGGCATGAGCTAGGGCATGACATTCTCTGTACAAGAACGTGAGTGATTTGATCCCTAATCCAGAGTTGGAATGGAGGAGGGAATTGGTAGCACTTTTGGGCAGTCCTCCCCATTTTTTCAGGTACTTATCGATGTTTTGATCGAGTGTGTTTAGATCAGTTTTAGTTATGTCGTGAACAGTCAGGCAGAATCGTAGTGAAGAGAGTAGGTAGTTACAATACACCTTTAGTTTGTACTCATCACGGATTTTAGATTCATCTATTCTGTTAAGATACGAAATAATTTTCTGCTTAATGTGGAACATTGTGTCGCGTGCTTTCCCACTGAATGTTATTATCGACCCGAAAAATGAGTGCGGTTCATCTTTAATTGTTGGGATCAGAAAATTGTTGATTTTGAAGATTTTTTCTGTAGGCTTGCCGCTGCAGAGAGACAAGGATTTGCACTTGCTGGGTTTGAGAATAAGATTCATTGATTGAGCTCGAGACACAATGTTGTTGATTATACGTTGGTGCGATTTAACATTGGTGGTTATGAGATTAAAGTCGTCGGCAAATGGGGTACAGATGAATTTAGTGTCATCTATGGTATACCCAAAACGTAACTCTGATTTGATGTATTGTACCAGGGGGTTAAATGCTATTACAAAGATAATGGGTGACAGGGGATCTCCTTGGAAAACTCCCTTTTGAATTGAAAGATTTCACTATTCCAGCCAGGTCCCCTAACATAGCCTGTCAGATTGCTGTATAGGTTCTTGATATAGGCCTGGATGATGGGAGGGAACTTGTTTCTTTCGAGTTCATGATAAATAAGATCGTGTTGAACACTTCCAAATGCATCAGCAAGATCAAACCATGTAACATGCAGTGTTTTTTGATTGGCTTTGGCATGAGATATGAGCTCATGCATGGTTTGTGTGTGCTCGATGCATCCGTTGATACCTTGTATGAAAGCTTTTTGCATAGTAGTGTCGATAAGTTCATTGTCTATGAGGTACCTATTAAAACGTTGCGACAGTAACTGGTGATAGATTTTGGCTACGCAGCTGTTGAGGGCGATCATACGGAAGTTCTCAGGCAGAGATGCTTCTCCTTTCTTGTGGATGAGGCTGACTTTGCAGCACGACCATGATCTTGGCGGTGATCCAACTTGCATGATCCGGGAGAAGAGGGTGGCCAGGAAATGATGAGTGGCTGGTAGCTTTTTCAGAATTCCGTAGGTGATATTGTCCGGGCCAGGGGATTTATTTGATGACTTGTGCTGTAGAACTGATTTGATGTCCCTCGGCCGAACCGGTGTGAGGTCAAAGTCCGTGCCGTCATCGGGTACTCGGATGTAAGGGAACCAGTTGAGATCGTTGTGGATGAAGTGGGCTGAGGAGGAGTATTTCTTTGTATAATACTCATTTGCACAACATTTTGTGAAGGATGGCTTGGTAACGTCTTTGTACAGTTCGCCTTTGGTAAGGCGCTTTGCAAATTCGTAGAAATTGCTGTGAAATAGTTTCTCTTCGTGTTCAACATTTTTCAGATCTTTGGTTTTCTTGAAGACTTTTTTGAGAGCACTATAGTGTCTGTTCGCTTCGTTGAATCTCTTGCGGTTTTCATGTGTACTGTTTTTTCCAAACGCTCTTTTCCTCAATTTGTTCATTTCCTTTTTGGCATTGGTGAGTACTCGGGGGTCATGAGAAACATACCCCGTGTGCTTATCTGATTCAACTAGTTCCGGTTTTCCTTTGACAAAGTTGAATAATGACTCTGTGAACACCTCACCTGCTTGTGACGGAGTTATATGACCCGACGATAGGTCGAAATGGAGAGGGCCAAGTTGTGTTTTCAGTTCCTGGTTCCAAGTTTCCCACTGTGAGCGAGGTAGGTTTGGCGTCACAAACCTGAGTGGCATGATGCGTGACAATACACCATGACAGTAGGACCATGGGTTAACAATGGGATGAGTTCCATGGTTGGTTGCTTCTGAAAGCACTGTCCTGTCTAGAGTAGCTAGCAGGGCCAAAATGGTGACGACAGTGGCACCCGTGGCCATCTTACAGCTGGTCCAATGAAGAAAATTGAAGATCTCGGTTAATCTTGGTTCTTGGAAGTGATTCCTGTCTCGCAGGGTTCCTGACTTCGAGGATGAGTGGATATTAGGATTTGGGATGAAGGAGATGAGTATAACTGGGCACCAAAAGCAATTTTTGCATAGGCTTGACGGAGCCGTGGTGTCCAGATCTACATCCCTAGAATCCAATGATGTTAAAAGTTCATTTCTCAATAAAGAAGTATAGGACTATGATTTTCTTTAAAGATGTACTGGCCCAGCTATTTTTTAGTTCAACCCCGTATTAAAACGAGATTTATTTTCGAAATAAATATTTTTCTAGCATTATTCACTTTTGCATAAGAAATTGTGCCCAAAAAAATCAGTTCGTGTTAAGCAATTTTATAATTTCTTTACAAATTCTGAATTATTTGCGACCCAACAATAATTCTGCCCAAGAGGGTAGACTGGTTCCTACCCCTATCACAATGGATAATGTAGGGACCGCAAACCAGTCTATTTGTTTGGTGGATCTGTCTGTGTGCAAAATCAACTCAAATCGGAAGTCTTTTTTAGGAGCCAAAATAAAAAACTAAAACATACAAGTTGAATATGCGGGAACTTGATGAAGAGCACAGACAGTACTCTTTCACCAGTTTGCGTCGGACGATGGTATTCACGCAAAGGTTTTGCGGTATTCGGAATGGATGACGGAAAAACACGCAACGAGCGAGGCCGGAAAAATGTGTCAGCGACCCGCTCGCAGGGAGCGAGGCCAGAAATATCAGGGTGTGCTACCCGAAGATGACGGCCTGAACCCGTCTGGCATCGAGGTTCGTGAAAAACAATCCCGAGCCTGAGTCCGGTCAATGTCAAATTAATCCCGGCGCGAACTGGTTAAACACTAGCAATTTTTTTTTAAGAAATAATTGTCACACTCCTTTATAGAGCTTGTCAAGGATGTGAGGCAAAAAACTATTGTCCTTGCAATAAAAAAAATAATTTCTGCGGGATTTATAAGTAAACAGTAATTCTTTGAGGAAGATTCTGCTAGCAGGTTTGAAACATCAAGCTCTCTGCTGTACAAATACAATGTACATCATAATAAACAGACTACCGGGGTACATGTACATATATGACTTGGTAAATTATATTACAATTTGTTTTATCATCACTAACATTGCTCACAAGTTAAACTAGGGTGTGCAATCGGAACCGACCCTTCTTCCAGGAACTGGTTCCAGATTATGGGATCGGGTACCCAGAACCAACTTTACAAACTACTTAGTTAACTTTCCAGACAATGAAAAAGAAAGGTTTTGAATGCCATTTGTGGGGAGTTTTCAAAATGAAAACCAGGTTACATTGAACATTCACCCTAACCTCCCCAACTCCATCAAAATCCATCCCCCCATTGTGGTGGATTTGGGGGGACTTGGTCCTGATGCAGGCCTAGTTTGACTAATTATCGATGGAGTATGATGGACTTGGTCCTGAAGGCCTAAAACAAAGCATGGATTGGAAGCAGTGTGATTGATGGATTTTGGCGGACTTGGTCCAGTACTTAGTAAATGACAGTAGGGAGAAACAGATTTCACGTTTATGTGCATTTTATGCGTGACAGATGACACTCGCAAAAGTTGCAGTTTACACTGTAAAGCTATCAAGCCTTTCAGACAACTTCCGGGATTTGAATTTTGCGGTGGGTTTGTTTTACAGGTTCCGGGGTTCCTGTGTGTTACTTCGATTGGGGACCCAGTTCCCGTATTAACTGCAGATGCACACCACTACAGACCAACCTGTCATTATATAATTCCCACTGCAGACCAGACGGTTGGTCTGGCACCCGGACTCACCTTATGGAGATCCACAGAGGCCACAGGTTTCTTGAAGTCAAAGAAATCTGCATCCAGGCTGATCTTCAGTTCATCTGGACAACATGACATGAAATGTGCATGACACCAGCAAGTTAACCAAAAAAATTCAACAGGAAAAAAAGGTCATGTTAATTTTAGATTACAAAAAAAATTAGATTACATTTACAGCTACATGTATGCTTTGACTGTAGGTGATTGATAAGCCAGCTGTGCCTACCACTTGCCTGCTTTTGTTGGTTGACTGAATTTGACTAGCCACAGCACTTGCTTGAAATATGATCTAGCTGTTGGTGACTAGCCTGTGTAAAGGCATAGCAGGGAAGAGGATTGATTTTTGGACTGTCTGTGACAGTTCAGACAGCAGATGGGTAAGACAATTCTTAGGTGAACTTACCCATATTGACAGCTAATATCTTTCTGGTTCTCCAGGCACTGGTTCCTTTGTAGGCATCGGTTAGCAACGTTCTCTGTCCTGTTATTGTATTATTGAAAAGTAGTTTCTTTTGAATTTTTTCGTCATCATTTTCCGTGTGAAATAGATACATGTGTATTTCAACTTCAGTCAGGGCCGATTTGCTTTTGACACATGTCTACTAACATAACATGGACCAATATGCAGAATGCCACGGTTTTGAAGTCAACTGGTGCAACTGATCAAATACTAGCCTTTAGTCAAGTCCCACAGGCTTACCCGCAAACGTAGTACTGCCCGGATGCAAAATGACTAGCACGAGTGGCAAAGCCCAAGGGCCTTTACCATCTCGTGGAGAGTGCTTACATGTTGTGAATGCATGCACGTCTTGTTTTTAAGAACGTGTGCCCTCGAGCGCATCACCTCGTGTCATCACCTTGAAAATGGCTTGTTCGTGGTGATTGCTTCATATATATTGGCATACATGCATGATTCATATTACTTGAAAAAATGAATAATGATTACCTCCACAAGATGGTAAAAGTGCTTGTGGCTTCGCCACTCACACTGTTTGTTTGGGGGGGTTTTCGTGCCAGAATCTGGGGCGCCATGCATCCGGGTAGACACGTGCACCTTGACTAAAGGCTAATCAAATACTTGCTAACAGTTATACAATGTAGTTAAAGAAATTTCCGGAGGAAAACAATTCCCAAAATTTCCTTTAAATTACTCAAAAGCTAGCTTGAAATTTCCAGCATGACTAGGGCTCATATGACATGGTGAGATTCACCAGTAACTGATGCATAAAGGTACAAAGTTGATGCATGAAGGTACAAGTTGGAAACAATAAATATCATTTACTTTTAGTTTTATCACTTTACATTTATGAAAAAAAGAGGATCACTGTGTTCCTGGAATTAAACTTGTTGTCATGGTTGTGGGAAAGATTCCCATAATTTTTTGGCAGTGGATATTTTGCCGGAGACGGCAAACCTTTAGTAAATGTTAGTTTGCTGGATATGCACTGAACATGCGCAGTTACTGTTTTTTTGTACTTAAACATTTTCCGGTGACAAATTTTAGTCTGGCTCCATGCCAATATTATCGTTGTAACCTCGTATTCACAAGATGGGATTCAGACCATTTTATAATTTCAGACTTTATTTCCCTTTTAAAAAAATCCTCCAGAGCCACAAATCTGAAAAAGAAAATGTAATACTCTGCAAAAAAATGTTTGAGACATTTTAAAATAATAAAAGAAGAATATTCTTATTTATTTTGGGATAAGAACAAAAAAACTTTAATTGTGCTGCGGTCGGAATCGAACCCGAGTCATCCGCTTACTAGAGCCTTTGCTTAACCACTACCTGACTACACCAAACGTGCTACACAACTTTTAATAGGAATGGGAAAAAATTCCATACTCGGATGTCACTTTTTTCAATTAATTTTCTAGCGCCAAAAGTTACATCTTTTATGGTTATTCCTCCACTTTCCCTCCTCTACTCTCACCCTCTCCTTTCCTTAATTTCTATTTATTAATCAGTCAGTTACTTCATCGGGATTCGAACCTCTGACGCTTGCTTGATACACGAGACTCTTAGCCGCTAGGCCGCGCACGATCGCTGTTGCAATCATCAATCTTTGGACGTATTTGAAGTATCCGTTGAAATAAACTAAATATTCATGAGAAAATAAATATTCATAAGACGTATTGAACTATCATTGGCAGGCTCATGCGACGTCATGGTTGTTGATGTCACGTGTATAACGTACCGCTGTCTTTTCAGCCACTACAATCAGTTTTGACCGGCTGCTTCAAGTTAGTTCTGCACGACGTATGCATCCAAAATGTGCTCTAAAAACACATTTTGAGTACATTTTTTTCACCTTTACACAGCTTCCTGGATTTCTTTTGGTTCAAATGACAAGGTGAGGTGACAATAAATATGTTTGGCAGCAGATAAATTGACATCCGAGTATGGAACTTTTCCCCCTTTAGTAAACGTTAGTTTGCCGTCATTACCTCCGGCAAAATATACACTACCTAATTGAAAAGTAAAAAAACAATGACAACAAATACAACTGCCTACCTCGGATGGCGACTCCAATCACAGAAAATAAAATATTGGCCTGATTTGGTCTCAATGTTCGCCGCAATATGAATGTAGAAAGAGAAAGAGCGCACGTTCTCATGTACAGCGCCATGTTGCTTGTGTTTAAACGGCGCCCTCTGTTGGTAATAATGTACATCACAAAACTACTACCGCGCTACTTGTTACACTATGGGTGCAACCCTGCAAAAAAAATCCCATAGACACTAGTGCTAAATGCGCATACTTCAAAATTCTTTTAAAATACTCAGATCTCTCACAGGTATTCAAGCTGCACAGAAAAATGATGATCAATGTGTCATCTTTCATTTTCTTTTCATTTTTGGGTGGGTTGACCATTGACTTTTCGAGATATTCTCACCCAAAGAAGATGACCCCTATTTTCCCCAAAGCGGAAAAGTAGCCACCTTGAAAAACGATCCCTCCACAACATGGCAAAATAGCGCCACTTTCGAGCCCAATAACATCCAAAATGCTCAGAATTGGAAGCCCCAAGTCCGGGCCAGAGGTTCATTACCATATCTCTTCAATTCCCCAATTTTATGGCTCTGAAAACTCTCTAATATAGAATATTTTGAGGGTATAACTTTTATTCATGAGCTCGGCGGACGGATTTTTGGCCTATTTACAGGTGTGCACCCCTATACACTAGTATGCCTTTTGCTCGTACCTGCCTCAGAGCCCTCTGCCGACCTTTCCTCCATTCCAACGCCCCCATATATGTGCTTTAAATCAAACTCGGCAATAGCCTGGCTTTTCAGGCATGTCAGGTGGGCGCGAGGCTATCGGGAAACTATCGGAATTATAGGCCTAATAGTTGTTACACCTTGAATGACTCACCCTGAAGTTGATTCGGTCACGAAGAGCCTGTCACGTCAGCAACGTTAGAAATGATATAAATAGCACCTTAAAGTGCTTTTTTTGCAGCTGAAAACATCTGCTATTCGGAAACCTCCGATAAGGCCATGAATTATCAGTCGGGGGATACACTAACTTCAAACATCCATTCCTATAATATCCGCAGTACTAAAAATCTTAATATTTAAAGTAGAACCAAGCTCATTGTCCAAAAATAGTGTTGTCCTATAGATGGCACACTACAGGGTACTTCAATAAAAAGGAAACCCAACTTTGAAGAACCAGTATGGACGGACTAAATGTTTACTGGCTAGAAAACTGGTATCATCTGAAAGCGTAATCTCTATGCTTTTCAATCACACCTTGTTTACATTTCCAGGGTCATGCATCACTGAGCGCCACTGTCATGAGATTTTGTTGCAAAATTGCAGTTGGTTCACTTAAATGTCAAACACAATAGGCATGGTGTGCATGAGAATAAGTATTCAAGAAGAAGACACGAGTGCATAAAAAGAAACCAAAAAACAAGTCGGGTTGGTTTCAAAACTGGATTTATTGTTTGTCATGAATTTCTCGTTTTGACCAAGCCACGTTCAAAACAATGTGCCATTTTCCCGAGGATTAACATTCTAGCCATTTCACAGACATTTTCGTAACAACAGGCACACCGTCACCAGTGGGTTTTTTTTTTAGAAAGTGAACCAACTGCATTTTTGCATCCAGTTTTCAAGACAATGATGCTCAGTGATGCATGACTCAGAAAACCTGAACATGGTATCATTGAAAAGTATAGAGATTACGTTTTCAGATGATACCAGTTTTATAGCCAGTAAACATATCGTCTGTCCATACTCATTCTTTGAAGTTGGGTTTCCTCTTTTTTTTTAAACACCCTGTATATTGGAATACTCTGGATGACTCTTTTAAATCAACACCCACTCCCTCTATTTTTGCTAGAAAACTAAACAAATCATGTTTTATTTTCATATTAAAGCAATGTAATAGGGATAATAATGGCCTTGATTACTGTCTTACACCTGTGTCATGCTCAGTCTTGTCGTGTATGTCTGTTACTAAATAAGTGTTTGCATGTCTGTCCATAGGCTGGGGAACAAAAGCTTATCGGCTTCACCCCGGACCTAGATGTTGCGAGTTTAGTTAATGTTCACTTTTACCCGGAATCATTGTAAATATATCTATGTACATGTATTGTCAATATGATGTATCATCCTTCACGGCAGGCATTGAAATAATAGCCATAACGCATGACGTGTACAAGCTGCCAAGTACGCTCTCCAAAAGCCTCAGGATACAAAATCGATCGAAACGATAAGATGTTTATCCATCCTTTCTTCTTAAATTATGGAGTTTTGCCTATCAGTCATGGTATAAGAATAATAATGTTATTCATATTATGTCCGAGACTAGGGCCTATTTCAAAAACTTGAAATGCAGTGGCATATATCCAGCGGGGCGGGGAGCAACTTGCTCCCACCCAAACGACATGTTATTTTCTTAAGGAAACGAAATAGCGCCTTTGTCTCACAACGTCTTCGTCTTGTCCCCCCCCCCCTCGTGTTTAACAGTTACAAATGTAAAAAAGTGTCACTTTTTTGGACAAAAATATCCATATTGCCCCACCCCCACCCCCCCCCAAAAAAAAATCTGGATATGTCTGTGATATCCGACGATTGAGACGAGGGTTTTGAACTGTCACTGAAACAGACACTGTGACTGAAATACACCCACAAGCAGTCAGGCCCATTCATAAGTCACTCCAAATTAACCAACAAATTATAGTACACATATTGATTGTTTTTATAGTTTATTATATAAAAATATCATTCACATACACCACGAAGAGACTGCACATCATAGATTCTACTAGGCACATTTTACAACATTTCACGATGGCATATTATACTGTTTTGAAAATTCGAATTTACTGTGATACATGCTTAACACGTAACATCAATCTCAGGTAAGCCCAAACGGATTTTAGTCATTCATATCATTCCTGCTGTGTTCTGTTTCTCAATTTACTAAGGCAAACTCGAAAATAAGTAAAAGTAAATATGATTAAGAAAAATAAACACATTAATGAAAACAAATAAAGGACAAAATGTTAATTTTTTGCATTGCTGTAGTTTGTTTTTGAAAAGAAAAGGTGGATGACACATACGGTATGTAGTATTCAGCGGCGTAGCTACAATCCCGGCCAAAATGGTTGGGACACTTCCTGACTGAGCCTGCCACGGTCAACCCCTCCCCCCCCCACCCCCCCCCCCCCCCCCCGCTCCCCCGGTCAATGCTGTTCTCTCCAGCTGATGGAGCACACACCACGCAATGAGAGACAACATTGAACGGGGGCCGGGGGTGCTGGGGGCCCAGCGAGATTTGGCCAGGATTGTAGGTTATCTCCATGGGGGGGGGGGGGCGAAATTAGTATTTGAACAAACATATCGAGACAAAAAAAACTAAGGGAAGAAAACGCCTTTTTCAAGTTCGACAAAGTGATTTGGCAGATATGGTTGGTGGATATGAACAAATAGGGGGCAGGAGATGGTTTATTATGGCAGGTTTATTTTTTTGCAGTTACGAAAAAACAGAAAATGCGAAGAACAAACATTACACAAAATGTCAAAGATGTGTGTTGCTAATGAGCGGCTCTCTGTTGATTTTCGTGAAACTCGTCAATGTGCTACTACCAATCTGCAAGGAATCTGCCCATCTGCCAATCTGCCCAAGGAATCTGCCGCGTCTCCAAGGAATCTGCCCACGCGGGCAAGTTTGTCACTCTTCAGATTGAAGGATTTCCATCAAAAACATAAACCAGATTTGTCCTAAAACTGACACTTCTTTCATTGTTTATTCTCTCCAAAAGATTCCTGGTTTAAATGTCCAACATTGTGGGTCGATCACCAGGCGTGAAATATAAGCCCGTACTTGCACATAATTTTCGGCACTGCAGGTGCACAATTGTCGCGGAACAGCAGGCTACAATACGACTGACGTCTCTGATTAAGGTGGCACTACTTAAACAAAGGTCCAAAATAACGGTTTAGGCAAGAGTGTCAATTTTAAAGTTTTGCATTTTCTTTTTGCAGAGCAAAACATTAAGCCTGGTTCCATATCGACGTTCAGCTTACGCAGACTACGCAGACTGCACAGACAGTGCGCGGAACAGTCGGCAAAGTTGAACTGGGTCCAACTTTGCCGCCTCTGCGAGATAGTTTACGTATATGTCTGGGTTCAAGTTGTCGATGACATTTCCGGATGAAATGTTTCCATAATGTCAGCGTTGCAGTTTGGGTCCTGTTTGCGTTGCTCTCTGCGTTTCTTACGTCGATATGGAAACTAGACTTTAATCACAACCATGTGCACGATTAAGAGTTCACATGCCGCAGACGGGCAGTTCGCCCACTCCCAAGACAGCGCCCATCTCGAGAAATATGGATAGAACCAAGAAGGCCACATACAACAAGACGAGCACGAATCCAAGCTTCTTGTTGAGCAGAAATCCACTGAGCCGGATGAGGAGCACCATGACAACCACGTTCCCTAGCAACAGAGCTGTGATGTAGATGACCCCAGTACTGTGGATTGCTAAGGGTTTTCCGGACATGACTGCCACGGAGTTTAGGAACCAAGGAAGCCCCAGGCCAAGAAGGATATCAAAAAGGTTGCTCCCTATCGAGTGCGAAATTGCCATGTCCCCGTAACCTATAGGAAACAAAGAAAATAACATTGGTTGGAATGAAGATTGCATGACCATGACGCTGATTGGGAATTCCACAATAAGCACACGGACGTCCCTAGTAATTTTGTTAAAATAGGTGCAAAAAAGAGCGGCATTTTAGCCACAAAACAGGCACCATGGCGCAAATCACTCCAATCCTGGGCCTCATCCTGAAATAACTGTCAACGATTGCAACCCACAAAAGTGATTCGAGGGTATTTTTTATATCTGTGTTTCACTTTATCATATTTTCTACCGGGAGGCACTCACCACTCCCCTCCCCCCCTCCCCAGCGCCAATTCCCATTCGTCTTTAAGTGTTGAGACAGAAAAGGCAGATCAGCGATTGCCACCCGACTAGTTTGTGCAGTCATATTTAGACATTGTCTGTAGTGCATGTACATTGACTTTTATTGGCGCTATAAGACGAGCGTCATACGCCCCAAAGATTTTCGCATGGACAGAAAATCTTCACTTCGTACGAAGCCTCGGACTAACGCATAAATGGAAACAGTCTGACTGAGAATAGTTAACATGAGAAACGTATAACCTCTGAACACTGTGACCTCAACCAGGTCTTAGTCCCGCGTCGAACGTCGAACTTCCGCCGTGTCTAATTCAAATGTTGGGCCATTATTTGACTTAGACACGGCGAGTCTAAGACTCCTCGTCCAGCCTCGGTAAGCAGTTTTCTCTCACACATTGTCGGTAATCACCGAGGATAACGTTACGTTAAACGATATCAGAACCCAATGTTGAAACTTTCAAGACCCTATAATCCAGAATTGTTTTTAATAAAATGAAAGTCCACTCTTGTTATGATCAGAAGGTACACAAAATAGCATATGTCACGAAACTATCCCTTTTTGCTGTACCTACCCTCTCTAGCGGCTATGACGCTCAGTATGAGGTCTGGTACGCTAGAGCCTGCTGCTAGCAGCGTCAGTCCCATCACGGTGTCTGGTATTCGCAAGGTAAAACCTGCAAGAAAACAATGTATATCAACAAGTATACCAAGAATCGGAGCTTACATCTGCTCAAACCACAAAACTGAGTATATGGTAGACGACATGCACCTTTCACTATATACCTCTCCCAATAGTGATCCGATAAAAAGATATTTTATTTCATTGTTAAAAAAAAAAATAGTGAACACATCAAATTCTGTAGGCCTTTTACTAAACAAAAGCTCTACGTTTTGTCATTTTTATCTGTCTAAGTTGATTCTGTTCTGTAACAAAAGTGCAAGGAAAAGTGTGGAGTCGCAGAAGTTTTGACTTGATGTCAAATCGCTGGAAAGTTGTGTTTTGATTGTTACCACTGCTTATTCCTGAGGTTTCCTACCTATCAAACAGCGAAATCACAAATACAATTTGAGAAATTCGACCAAAACGTTTATACACCAATGAATTACCAATGTAGTGCTTAAGCTCCTTGGCTCGAATGCTTCATTTTTCTGCATGCGCCCAAAAACTTTTGTTGGCGAATAGTCTATGTGGTGATCGAGCCCATGATCTGTACCAGATAGAACAACCTCGTCCCCGTGACGTCGAGCAGCACGTTCCCATTTTTGCACTCCCGCCCAGATGGATCTTTGGCACGGCTCAACATATTGAGCTTTATAATTAGGTGCGGTATAGTCAGGTACTTTTATAACAATTTGAGTAATATGTTTGTTTAATTCGGTATCTGGGATACAGACTGAATGAATTCCTTTCAATATTAAATGTGATAATCTTACGCATCCGAAATACTGAATATAATAAGCAAAGAGAACAAAAAGGGAATAATTTTGAAGGAAGGACTGGACATGATTCACAGTGAACGTCAAAACACGAAATACACGTCGGAAATAAAATTCTAGATGTCAGATGTAACAGAGACATGAAAAAGGGGAACCCAAATTTATAGAAAAAAACCCGTGATGTGCGAGTGTTGAATGAACCCTATATGCGTTTTTCCGCGCCTGCGTGACGTGAAAAGGTGGGCCGCTAACAAACAAGCACAAGCCGGCTGATTACTGACTCGAAATAAAGTACAAATAATGGTCACAGCATCAACTCACCAACGACTGTTACCATCCACACCAGGAGGTAGGTCAATCCACCTATCCACAATAGAGCAATAAGGAACGTTAGCGGATACCACCTGGCCCACGCCTTCTTGCGGCAGTCGGGGATTGTGACATAGAACAGCAGCAGGGCCGGCAGCGTCAAAACCCAGCTGAAAACTTGAAGGCATCCTTTCGGGACTTCCAAGGGTGATTTCGGATCCTCTTCGTGTTTGACGGGCGATTCCTCCTGCTTTGGCTTAACCGTCTCTGTTTTATCTGAAGATTTTTTTTAAGATGAAGTGTTGCATTGAGACGTTCTTTAAACAAAATAATTTTGCAGTCAAGAACACAGACTCCTTCAGGACAATTCAAATAAAGGAAATAGCAATTTGGACTAGTACACAAATAAAGCAAAGATACAATCAGTGTTGCTTTGGGATTCAAGAACTATAGGTTTTCCCAGCCAATTTCGCAAAGTGTTCATTCCCTTCTGAAAATCGGTCATTCATTTTCGTCTGAAGTTAAATAAATTTCATCAATCCCGATTTAATTCAACGAAAATTAAATCTTTGCCATTGTGTGTGCATTCGGTTTTGAGAAATAGGCGGCCAATTTACGTTACTTGTACATCCAATTGCGAAATTAAGCACACCTTTTCGAGCCGATCTCGGGAACACGATTTCAAAATAGCAGGTTACATCATAAAATTTCAAACCTGATACAGAATCGCATAAATTCTCGCCGGAATATGAGATGTTATTCTTCATTGGATATTCGATATTGGATTCCTATCAACCTGTACGTGATAGCTGCACGAGGACGAACCTTGATCGAAACCGTCTTGTTGATGCAAAATGGACAAACTAAATAAAAGTCGCATAGGCCTAACTGTCTCAAGACACTATTGTTAATAGGTTGTTTGATAATTTCGACCTCAATTTGGTGTTCTCCTTTCATAAACATACATTTTAGTATACACTAATGCATGATGCAGCTTAGACTTCATTCGAAATTGATTTCATGTACGGCTAACTCGATTGACATTACATGCATTATGACATCACACTGAAAGTTCAATCGAATGGTTACTAATGGTCGAATTTCGCACTTAGAGAAGGCGTATATTAATTATTCGATTGGACAGAAACGAAACGTTCTGCACAATCATTTAATTGATTGAACTTAAACGGAATTGAATGCTCTTGTAGCGAAAATGAAACGAGTATTCAGAACGATTCTCAAAAAATCTTGGCGGAATTGAATGAACATTGTATCCAAATGAATGAAAACTTTGCGAAAATAACAGGGAAAACCTATATTATCCTGTATAGATTGGGCTCTAGACGCGGTTGATAAGAACAGATGTTGAATTATTTTTTAAAATGATTTTTTTAAATGTCAATCGCAAAGAGCATTGGGGTTAACTTCACATACACTTTTATGGGAAATAAGTTCAAAGAATCACCCATGCCCAGATTTAAAGTCTGTTAGTGGAAATGTGGGATCATCCTTTCAGATCCCCCCCCCCCAGGATACCTTGACGTCATACCTGTATTAGCGCGTCCGATGTTACCATTGCCATTGACCATATGAATCACCTCCTCCTCTTCCTCTTCCTCTGACTCCTCCCCCTCTTCCATCAGATTTTCTAGTTCCGTGAAGTCCCCACGCCCCTCCCCATCTACCCGCCTGGCCTCGCCCATCACCAGCCGTCGGCACCGACACTTGGCCATGCTACGGTCCACGTACCTCTCCGTGCGTGGGTTGAAGTACATCAATGTGATATACAGGCAGTACAGTACAAGCATAGCCGCAGACTCCGCCCTGTAAATGGGGAATCGCATGTAATACCAGTTTAATATTCAAAATGAGGTTTGGCCCTTCACCGACGTATAAACACTTGTATACTCGAGCGCATTATGCATAAGCCTCCCAATTTTTTTAACTGAAAAATGTTAAACCCTAAAAGATTAGTCTGCATCCACATTATATTGCATTGTATATATCTTTACCTATTAATTCATTATGAATACAGAGTATTGCTTCCTGTGTGGTCCTCCTTAATGATGATGATCGTTTGACGGTGTTTGATTTAAAGTTACTTGTTTTCAGTACACCTTTATCATCGGCTTCGAGCATGGTTCCATGTGTACTAATAGACTATTCCGTGAGTAAAAACATTATAACATGAGCAGTCGATGTTGTAAAGTTCACAGCGCGTAACATAGGTTATGGATTAACTAATACGCATCAGCGGCTGTTGTGCCATGACAGCTGTGTTAAATAATACCTCGCCTGTTGGTCATATTTATTTAGTCAACGAAACGTGTACTAAAGCAACATTTGAGGAAAGCTAATGTAAGCACATTAGCTAATACAAACATATGGGTGTTGAAAAAGATAAAAGGGTCACATTCAACATCGAAAAAGTGGCATTTGGGCGAGATCATGAATTGATGTACAGTATAAAGGAGCGAATTCAGTCTAATTTCAGTCCATAGTATGGTATTGAGCCAACCTCGTCCCCAGTGCTTACTTTATTTCCAACGTTGTTTCCAATAGTAAACCCTGGATAGGAAACTTCCTTCCTGCATCCTGATTCGATACCGCAATTGGCTAGAAATGGATTTATATCGTGTACTTGGTGTTGTTATTCACAACGTGCAGTACGTGTTTTCGCGATCATTCGTCCACGCCTTCTCGAAAATATTCATTTCCTTTCCAGTTTGTTAATATTAATATGAAATGTGATACTGCATGTTGTCTCGTTAAGATCGTAACAGTTTAATTAAAATAAAATCATGTTTTCGTAACTCACGCCATGCTCGCGCTGCGACGAATTGATTCTGTTTTAACCCCAGACACTGCATACAAAAACAAACGCAAATGTAACGCACAGGCAGGCACCAGACTACTCCTAATTTGCATACGTGTTCAAAAATCTTGCACATGCAAAATGATCCAATACCAGGGTGAGAGAGCAGGTAGTGGTGGGCGCGTACTGCTCGACACCCTGGGGACGAGGTTGGGTATTGAGCGTAACAGCTCTTCCGTCAGCACCATGCGAGCTCCTAAATCTCTCTCTGTGACCGTTGAGGGGGTATTCATGCATCAGAGTACATCATAGTATTGAGCGTTAAAGCTCAGAATAATTATAGTACACAGAGATCGCCCATACTGATGTAACAACACTTCTCATTGTAATAAGGGAATAAAATGTGTGCTTGGCCAGTTTTAATCACAATGTTTAAAGCCGAAGTCAATGGTCATTATCAACATCCAGACTCCAACCGGTCTTAAACATAGTGTTTAATACCGGCCAAGCATTTATGTATACAATTTCGGTCAAAAAAAATCAAAGCTTTTCCAAAAGTCAAAACAAGTCCAAAATTATAAATTTCCAACGATTTTGTTGAACAGTTTTACTTCATGTTTTTCGAAACACCCCTCTAGCTATGTTATGGTATGGCCCTCTTGCGAGTAGTCGTAAACAACTCCTTAAAGGGAATATAGGGGCCTACAACATTTGCAAACATCGAAAAAATAAAACTACCAAGTTTTTACGAAATACCTTACTATGATGTTGGTAAATGACAGTCTAAAGCATCCTGTAAAATTATGGCACCTGGTGTGAAGTCATTTTCAAGAAAATGGTATTTTGGTATAAATTTCCAACGGTGGTCGGCCGACCACCGTTGGAAAAACCTAACTATTTTTCAACTACTGCTCTAAAGTCACCATTTTTTTCAGTCCAAATTTTGTTTGCTATTGGTTACATGTTTATGAACAGGTGGAGGCCAGCTAGACTGGTTCCCTTACCTTACAATTTTCCGGCATCTATAAATTGATCCATTTTATCTTTAGTGGAGTCAGGGAACAAGACTACTCCACCATTTGTGTTTTTCTTGTTTTTTTTCAGGATTTTCGAACACAAAACTTCAAACATGTCAGTGTAACAATATCTGATCTATTATAGTAACCCCTCAAATAGTTCATTTCTGAAAATTACAGCAAAAGCCAATGATGTACATTCCCTTTAATTGGAGATTGGCGCGAGCGTCGCGCGTACTGCTTGAGTGGCGCAGAATGCACCTGTGCCGGTGTTGTGTGAATTTAGGACTGAAATACTGACTCACTGGTAATATTGCGCATGCCTACGTGAGGGATGCGAACATTCAACCAATAAAACGGTACTGACACCGGATTTCTTTGGAGACCAAATTTCATGCGACACTGGAAAAGTGTTTAAGACCAGCTGGTCTTTATCAACCGTTTAAAACCAGCCACGTGTTGGGCTCTCCACCAATAGGAATGGGTAAACTGTCTTAGGTATTTATGAATAAAATGTATAGACGGCTCGGTTTTTATACCATTCTCAGCTTGCCTATCATCATCATGACATTTGATTTCACCCCTTCATGGAATACACGTTCACGGCTCACATTCTTGAAAATAATAAATAAATGGCTTATAGTGGGGCAACTAACACCTCCTCGCACCGGCGAGTTATCGCACGACAAAATTATAACAATATTATTTGTCAGTAGTTGAATTTTTTTTTTAAATCAAACTAGTGCTGTGACGTGTGTCTGTAAAAATGTCGTTTGAAACGCCTTCCGTCAGCAAAGTTCCCCGCTTTAGTAAAAACAAAGGCAGAGACAAAAAACTTACCTACGCCACCACTGACAAATTCGCAAAGTTCTGCATCAGAATATACTGGAAATTCTTCAAATTGCTAGTCTTTTTTTTTTTTACTTTAAAGGCAGACTAACAACTATAGTTTGCATGGTATGTGTGTTGTCACACATAAATAAGCAGTATTATGACAGCTACGACGTGGTAACTAAAGTCATCGATTGCAAAAAACTACAACTTGACCACTATTGATCACGCATCGATTACCATAACAAACTGACGCCTGCCATCAAAGACAGACTATGTATATGTATAGGCACATAATAGATATCGGCAACGGTGGCGGTTTCGTGTGGAAAATATCTGGTTGTTTCGGCAAATTATCTTTCGCAACAACCACACGAAATGCTGATGTTTTTACTGGCAAAGCATTGTTATTTACTCTTTCTTCAATCATTTTATTCACGCTTACCATTATTTTAGGCCCAGCAACTCTGTTATTTCTTTCCCATAATTTGTTGCAGCTCTTTTTTTATGGAGAGTCGACGTTTTAATTGTCAAGCCATTAATGCACTGTTTAACATTTACTGGTATGGAACTTTCGGGAACTAATTCAAATTGTAAAATGTAATTGATGTTTCGCCGAAATGATTGCTTTTCCCCTGCCATTGATCGTTGTTTTTCAACGATCAGGCATCATTGTTTTGTACACTTTCCCACGTGTAGGCCTACTTAAGTGCATAAAAACATTTTGTTGAACAATGCAATCTGAAAGCGACAGGAAAAATCTATTAGTTCCGGCGCCGCACACCTGTTTTGAGGCTTTACGTTGCTGAATAGCTTGCATTATTCTTTTATCAGTACAAAAGATATTGTGCTCGTTACCTTTTTTTTCTCTAGAGAACATATATGTAACAAATAATTCTTATAATAATTAATTGCTATTTTTTTCTCTCGTATAATTATCTGCGTTTTACGCAATGTTTGGATTGTTAGCAGGTTATTTAATCAATGTCCATAAATCCAGCACCCATCTAACTGCCACTTATATTTACACTGTACGTCTCCAGTTTTATTTACAAAATTGTGGAAGTTGTTCTTACCACGTGACCAAGCCATCGCTGACCACGAAGACGAGTGCTAGGATAGACAGGATGTAACAGGAGGAGTCACGTGTCAGGGGCCAGCACGACAGATAGATCGACTGTATAAGGGGGGATAGAGAAAGGCATTAGTTCTCAGTAAATCACGGCAAGTCTCGTGCCAGGCGAGAGGATGAACTCCCTTGATTCAGTACGTGATTTCCGCACAGGCATGGGCGTCGCCAGGATTTTTTTCTAGAGGGGGGCAAAAACAAATTTTCCCGAAAATGCGTGTATTTCTCAACACATTCTCGATTTATCAGTTTAAGAGGGGGCAGGGACATTTTGCCCCCCCCCCCCCAACTCATTAAATTTACACCACTTTGTCGTCGCGCCTCATTTTCTTTCTTTTTTTTTTCCTTTTTTTGGTTTTTTTAGGGGGGGTGGCAAGTGCCCCCCTTGCCCCCCCCCCCCCTCGCGACGCCCATGCGCACAGGCTGCATTTATTACGCTGCAAAACAATCTAAATATATCAGGAAGAACACTTCCATCTGTAAGTAAACATGCTGTAAACAAAAGCCGTCTTTATGCAAATTTACTGAACCACGAATCATGTGCTAACCACGTGGCTTCATTCCCATTTTAATTTCCCACCATGTTTTAATCATGTCTATCGATGCGAGATAACGTGAAAATGAATGTATGTATGAAGGACTTGTTATTAATCAATAGCGATTATAATTGGGATCGCACATGTACGGCCTACCGTTGTGACTGCGCTGTCAACAAGTTGTATACAAGGGATATTAGAGAGAAATAATAACAAGCAACAGTGTGCAAGACAATTGCCAGTAGATGCTGACACAGGGCAAAGTAATAAAAAGGGATAACTTGCGAATAAAATGATAACAGTGCTAACCAAACGAACAATTGTAATAACCCAAATTTCATCAACAAAATTGGCTGCCAATCTAAAAAAAAAAACAAATTTGGAAAAACCCCACGTGTTTAACCAGCATGACCTTCACATATAAATGCTGACACAGCCACAATCATGAGTGCATCGTTAACACCTAAGTTTATGCCTACTTGACACATATACATGTAATAAGAAACCACAATATTTACACAGAGTTCTCAAAGTAAATTTAAAATGAGTTTTAAGAAGATCAGGTCTCTGAAATGATAATGGCCTCTGCTATAGATTTACGTGGATCAACAGTAGATGTCATGTAAAGTCGCATTAAATCACCACATTTTCTTTTTAATGTGTTGCTTCGTATCGTGGCAATACATTGGCAATGATGACATGATACATGAGGAGATTATATGTTGTTTTTAATTCAACATGCAGTTTCTCGATGAATGCAACCCATACAGCTACGGCTTCTTCCTGTTTGTTACGTGGATTGATTTCGTAATTTACACGGTTATATGGTGAAGAAACTCTAGAGAGAATTATCCATCTCGTTTAGTTGGGCTTTTCCGCCACATTAGCTTTTGTAGCAACCTCGTCCCCAGTGTAGTGCTTACTTTATTTCCAGCCACGCTTCCAATAGTAAGCCCTGGATAGGGGTGCAACCCTGCAAGTAAATTCCAATACACACTAGTGCTAAATGCCCTCACTTCAAAATTCTTTTAAAAATACTCAGAACTCTCACAGGTATTCAAGCTGCACAGAAAAATGACCCCCCAATTTTACGGCGCTCAGAACTCTCTAATAGAGAATATTTCGAGGGTATAACTTTTATTCATGAGCTCGGCAGATGGATTTAGGCCTATTTACCGGTGTGCACCCATAGGAAACATTCTTCCTGTATCCTGATTCGATACCGCAATTGGCTAGTAATGGATTTTTATATTCGCGTGTACTTGGTGTTGTTATTCACAACGTGCAGTACGTGTTTTCGCGATCATTCATCCACGCTTTCTCGAAAATGCTGATTCTCTTTCGAATTTGTTCATATTAATATAAAATGTGATACTGCATGTTGTCTCGATAAGATCGTAACAGTTTAATTAAATAAATCGTGTTTTCGTAACTCACGCCATGCTCGCGCTGCGACGAATCGACTCTGTTTTTACCCCAGACCCCGCATGCAAAAACAAACGCTAATGTAACGCATATCCAGGCACCAGACTATTCCTCATTTGCATACGTGTTCAAAACTCTTGCACGTGCAAATGATCCAATACCAGGGTGAGCGAGCAGGTAGTGATGGGCGCGTACTGCTCGAGACCCTGGGGACGAGGTTGCTTTTGTAGTTATCTGATACTGAGACGCAGACTAAAGCCTTACTGCGCATGCGTGACATTTGAATAATGTTCGATTGTTTTCCATGCTTCCCAGGGGTTATAGAAAATCAACTTGCTTGAGCAGACTCGACGAATGGTATATAAGTACAAAATCTAGTACCCTTCACCATTCAGTACCTTGTACTAATTTCCAATGATCTCTTTCGCCGTCTTATGCCGCATTAGATCAGGCTATACATTTTTACTGCTACTTTTCAAGACATCAGATTGATAAGATATGAAGCTAAAGCGTAATGGGATCATAACCAGATACGCTCTAAAGTGACACAAGACAAGTTTTGAATAAGAGAGTCTTAGGCTATCTCAGTATTAACTTCCTGGCCGAGTATCTCCAAGAAGTGTACGAGGATTGAAACGACAAGACTATTCTGAATCGAACCCATCGTTTGAGAAATTAGCCAAAGCAAACGCAACGGTGGACAGTTTAAAATCGCATTTGAGATTCATGTCCATTAATCCAGTCACGTACGTGATGAGTTCCATGTTCGGGCCACTCGAAGTTCAGATGACTACCGGTATCCCATCTCATATTCCTGCCACATGTTAGATGATGAATAATTCCCTTCCAACGTTACAGCGTGCATTTCGAGGCAAGTTTATGGAGGAAGTAAGGAAGCAAGCGCATCCGCAGGAAGGCATAATGATGAAGATGTAAATGAATACACACTCACTGCAAATTACACACTGCCAGGTATAAACCCGATACATCTTTAGATATGCGATGCTCTCGTATTAAAGTTAAACCACCATGCTTTTTTTCCAGGCATAACCTAAGTTATAAGACTTTTAAATGGAACATGGGACGAAAAAAATTCGTAACAGGTTAATTAAATTAATAATTTTGAACCGAAAGTGTCCGGCTCCTAATTCCAAAAGTTTTAGGCCTACATAATGAGATTTTTTTTTCAATCTTTTAAGCATGAAACATGCTTGTTTAAAGGGTCCATGTAATGTAATTTCTTTAATGCAATACTTGAAAATGCACCTTTGAGTCTCAATTAAACTTATTTTCAATTTTCATTTTGCCATTTTGAGGACAATTTTATGGGGTTTTATGGTAATGTAAATTTCCATATTCATTAGCAAAAATGTGATGTCGTTTCAGGCAAAAACCTCAATGTTACAGCCATTTCAGTACCAACATTTGTCAGAATTTTAGATATTTTGCTGTCGTAAATTTTCTTTTCTTTGATTGCTTGTTGTTTAGTAAGCCAATGAGCAAAGTTTTCTCACAAATGTTTTCAATGAGCAATTTGAACTGAAAACCCTCAAAGTGAACAGTGTCTTCCTGAAATGACATCACAGCAAGCAGCGCCCTCATTAAATGTTGAAAAAAGTGCACTTTTCAATAAAATTTACCAAAAAAAGATGTCACATAGTTTTCATACATTCATAAAAAGAAAAATTCATCGCATAAACCCTTTAAGACCAAAACAGAGTCTTATAAAACTTTTTTTTTTACATTCTATAGCACAACTCTGAGAAAAAGATGTTTTTCCACATAGCATTTGCACTATTCCTTTAAAAGCATTTGCTGCACTTTGAACATACCTTACCAGCTAGGAGTCCACACAGACCAATTACAAACAGGACATTAAACACAGCAGAGCCCAGGATGGTGCCTATCCCGATGTCGCCTTTGCTGATAAATACACCTGTTTCAATAAAAGCCAATATATATGTTTATTTATTCTTGTCTCTTTTTGATAAATTAAATGTAAGGATCTTTAAACTGTTGGACAAAGGAACAGATGTGCGGAACTGACCTATTTTAAACAGAATGCCTGAACTCGTTAAAATTGTTGAGGATCTGAAGTTTTTGAAAAGTTTGAAAAGAAAATATGTTTGGGCATTTCCTTAAACTTTGACATTGTCAATATTTTTTGGGAAAGCACACACAAAAATAGAACATTTTGCTTGTTTAAAACAAACTGTGTGGAAATTTGGTTCGTTACAAAAAAGAAACTGATGAAACATGGATGGTCACAGCGTCTCCCTAAAACCTGGACAGAAAGAATCAAGTGTCTAACCAAATTAAGTAAAACTATGGACTGATTTTGTTCTACTTATCAATAGACACAAGTGTTCGCACGAATTGCAGTATTACTTTATTGTTTTCAAAATTGAACTCAACCCAAAACTTTAACACAATCAACGAAAATATAGTGACTGTCTCTTTTGTACATAATTTTAAAGGCACTATCTAATCGTTGGGCAACAAGGGACAGAATCATAACACTCTGTCAATGAATTCTTTGGAAGTACAACAGATGCTGTCTTGAATCCCTGGAAACATCTTGAGTGACAATGAAGTGTTCATTTACCGACTATGGAGGTAAAAAGTTCAGGGGCGGAGCCGCCTATCGCCATGAAGGTTGCCCCAGCGACATCCTCAGACAAATGAAGTACTGGTGTTGGGAAAAAAAAACCAGGAGAGATGTTAAGATTACCACTGAAATATCAGCACTTGGGATGAGGGATAGAAATTAGGTATGGGGATGACATCACAGTGTTTCATGTTAGGACGGGATAAGGACTGAGTTTTAGGGTTATGGATCTGATGCTGGAGTCAAAGTCAAGGTGGGGACATATGGGGTTTGGAATTTAGCTGTGGGGTTACATTTTGAAATTCAGAGTTAACTGTTCGGACTTTGCGTTGACTTTCGGTGTTAGAAGCTGGGATTGGAGCATCGGTATTGGGCTGGGCTGGGCTAGGGTCTGGGATAAGGTAGAGGTCGGGTTGATGAGGCTTGGGTTGGGTTTGGAGTGAGTAGGTGTTTCGTTTTGGCTTGGGGTAAAGGGAAGTATGGAGGATTGTGAGCTTATGAATGGGTTGATTTTGGAATTCAGAGTGTTAACCGTTCGGACTTTGCGTTGACTTTCGGTGTCAGAAGCTGGGATTGGAGCTGGGTATTGGGCTGGGCTAGGATTTGGGATAATAGGTTGGGTTAATGAGGTGTTTGTTGGGTTTCGAGTGGGTAGGTGTTTGGTTTTGGCTTGGGGTAAAGGGAAGTGGGGAGGATTGTTGGCTTATGGTTGGTGTTTTGGGCTTGCAAGAGAGATGGGCACTCCGTTCCTGTGAACACAGGTTCGTCCCCTTTACCTTTACCTTTTTAGGAGTACGAAAATGTTAACTCATTCGCAATTGGAGCGAAGGCGATATAACTTTTGATCCGATTGGTTATACCAAACGGTACGTCCTGTATTTGAAATGATAGGATAATCTTCAATTGTAACTTGAATAGTCTTGAAGGTTTTTGCGGGGGGGGGGTGTAGTCAATTAAACTGTACCTGAGCATATTATTTCAAGAGCAGGCATAAAATAGCTGTCACACACAATGGCAAGGGCGCCGAACATGTAGACGACTACGATAAGATCAACAGCGAGAGCGCCATGCCGAAGCGCCTCCAGACTGAAGACTCCCTCGGGGAAGTTCTCGACAGAAGGCCGGCTGCAGTTCGGCAGCGTGTCCGGTGATTGCTCGGTGGGCATTAACAAAGTCGACACTGAAAAAAAATAGATGATACCAAGATTTAAAGTGCGGCATTTGGCAAATGACACTAGTAAGTGGTGCATCTAGCAGGGAGGAGGGGGCAACTTACCCCCGCTTAATGTTGCAATTTTTCGTTAGATGAAAGTTCAAGCATCTCAAAACCGTCACTAGTTACTCGATTTTGCCCAGGACCCAAAACCTGGATACACCACTGCCACTGGTAGTTTCTTTCAAAGGAATATAAATGGCTTTTATGCACAATGGGTATAAGGAGTGCGAATCCAGACAACTAATTGATACGAATTAAAGGATTGTCACGAGTAGTTTTATTCATAAGAACCCAGGCATGAAAGAGCAATTTTTCGTTATCTTCGGTCGACTATATTTTTTAAGTTCATTGGCATAATTTTTGTCTTGTTTGCTTGCCTCTCTCGTAGCCTAGGCACTATATCTTTTAGCCATGTCCATTTTGTTCTGCTTCAAATTTGAGTTTTTCTTGAACTCGTCTCGGCCGTGACACTTCATATCCCCTGACATTTGAGCACCACCCCCATTTACACTGATTAAATTACCACCGGTATGAATCCTTCAGTCGTCAACTAAATTGTTGAAGTCCGGCAAGATGCCACCTGATAAGCTGAGGGGACTCTCAATTTGATTGACACAAACCGATCTTTCCTCCTCTAATATTTGCAACACAAAGTGGGTTCAGATTTCCCAAATTCCTGCTTCTTCATCTTTACCTTCAAAATCATTTACTCCTTTACATGGATTGTCCTAACAAAATAACATTACTCTAAACTTTGGCAACAGATTCGAAACGGCTGCACTGCCCCCCCCCCCCCCCCCCAAAGCTCGGTGGTCGAGTGGTAAGACATCTGTACTAGTAAGCTAAGATCGTGGGTTCCAGTCCCACCCGAGCCAAGCTTGTGATTTTTTTTTCTCGCAAGCCCAATTCCTACATCATTCCCATCATTCAAGCAAAACCCAATTTAAATTTAAATCATTCTCTTCGCACGCAATTCCATGATAAGTGTGTCAATGTGCATTGACCGTATCGCATAAACACTTTAAATGTCATCTCATACACTACTGTGTATGGTAAACATATTGTCTCAATTTCTGCATTGTGTACATTAACAATGAACAAATAATAACTAATAAATATATCACACAAAGCTGCATTGTCCCCCCCCCCCCCCTCCACAACTGGAAATTAAAGCCCAAATCCCGTGTCCCTTTTCTTTCGATCCTTTCATCTCTTCTGCAACCCTGGACGGAGATGTGCTTGGCATGTTAGTTGTAATATCCAACCACGCGTCTGGTTTTCGAATTAAAATTTATACAGATTTTATATTTATGAGAGGCGGACAGTCAGGAAAAAAATTCCCGTTGAGTGTATTTAAGGGATTTGCAAAATCTCCACGAGGTTCATAAATTAGAATGTTCTTTTCAATCTTGGTTTTAATATTATGAACTGGAATAAGTAGTGTTTTTATTTTAGGATATGAATGTGTACTTCACGTGTGCACATTTTTTTCTGTGTTAAATAGAACCATTATTCTTTTTAATAATACTTAAATGTTTACTGCGACCGAATTGAACTATACCAACCGATGCCATGCGTCATTGCACGTTGCACAATGTAATTATGGAGCAATTAAATTTTGGCCTTCCTTCTGGAACAACACGTCATAATTCGACACATAATAAATTCCTGGGCCTGCGATATGATTTATACTGCGTCTGCAAGCACACGCTGCATGCAGTGCGTCATCAGTACCAGACGTGAATACACGCAATGTCCCTCATTATGATAAAATTATTCCACGACTGGGTTATGAAGCAGGCACGTTCACCATGGCAACGGATTGATAATAATGGCTCGGTGGGTCGCGTAGTACGAGAGTCAATATAAGGGTCCTCACGTGTGCAGTGTTCTATTCATTTTCACTGATATTAGCACGGCACCAACCTTTCACAATAAAAAAACATTACATTCGTTTATATTCATCGACTTTGGAAAGAATCGATGATCAGAAATATTTCACAAATTGTACAAACAGGCATAGATAAGCTGGAAGCTTCGACCGGATCATGTATAATTTATTCCGTTACAGCGCGACAGAAACAAATAAATGATTAACTGGTGATTCACGGTGGCAACATGAGGTACTGATGTAACAAATGTGGATTATTCTTGTCTAGTAAAATCAAGGCAGTACATTATAAATTAAAAATCGAATTTTCAATATTTTAGGTCTAAATATTATACAATTGATCGGTAACAATTATGTCCGTCTACTTATGTTTTATGCATTATATTGAGCCAAAAACTAACCATGCTTGTCATGAATAAGAAAAAGATGAAGGAAAATGATGTGCCTTAACTGGAAAATGTCGAGTTATAATTCAATCCTCAAGTTGCAAGGTCAACATAAATAATGTGCTTTATTTCATTTAGAATTAAATAAGTATCATTTGGATGATCATGCATGAAATATTTATTCCTACAGTACTGCAGTGAAAAATCAAGTATACACATGGGGTTTCTTTCTTTGGGTGCGCAATGACTTGTATACTACCGTTTAAAGCGTAAATATTGGAAAATCTACCAACTAATTTTTTGGGAATTTGAATTTGACACTATTTTTACATGTGCTTTTGCATGCACGCGTCATCATTGCAGGGGATTTATTCTGAAGCGAATTTGTACTTTTCAATCGACAGAAACAAAGGTTTGAAAGTACAGGCTAGACCCCAAGCTCAGCAGTATGTGACGTCCCATGTTTCAATATGTAACCATTCAATTTTCATAATAATTGAAAACCCCTTTGAAAATTACGGAGGAAATGACATCTTTGAAGCTCATGTTTTGCAACGTGTAATCGATGAAAGCGTGCGACAAACTACGGAGCTGACTAGTTGGACATATGAACATTTAATTGAATCCATTTTCCCTGCGAATGAACAATTTGCAACCAACGGACCTCTGCACAGCATGCCGCATGCAACCGTGGGCGTGTTCATCTATTCAAACCGTGGACGAAAAATACCACAGAACAAAAGAAAACAATATCGTCCACGAAAAAATTACCAGCATACGTCCACGATTGGGGTTGTATACAAAACATATGGGAGTCTTCCTAAAAAGTACAAACAAAAGAGGGACAATAGGACGTCCACGATCGACGGTGTGAACACGACTGTGTGTGCGAACTTCATCAAGGTTGAGAAAGCCACTTTGATTATTACACAAAATGTCAAGTCTACACGGTTCGAACACAGAATAAAGACTTTCCTTTCTGTTCTTTGCTATTCATAAAACACGTTGAAATAACATCATGATTGTCAGGCCGGTCAGAATTTTGAGAAAGAAAATTGCAATTCGGCAAATCGTGAAAAAGGCTTCCTCTCACAACGTCTTTTAACGGTCGGTGTGTGCACTTTTGCATCACCATTATGCACATTTAACTTGATTTGCTCTGATGTTCTAAGCATCCAGCTGTTAACAGATTCAATAAAAAGTTGACGTTTCTCATAAATACGGAATCCACCAAAGGCCATACGTAACGCGAGGTAACCACAGAAGAAGTACAATGTCACCAAAGTAAAATAGTATGGACAAGTGTGAAGACTGTAGAAGAAGCGATGTGTTAACATAAACCGCAAACAAAACTGTTTCATCAATATCAGGAATTTTTCGTTTTAAGCTCTATATATAAACCGTTTTGCTTCCTACGACAACTGAGATGTTTCGATTGATTTGCTGCTTCTTATTTTGGAGGTCACTTTATATGTTGTCGAAACCAGTAAACAAATCATTTTCCTGAGTTTTTTCACCATATATTTCAATTAATTTTGCTTTCAGCTTACAGCTAGACCTATTAATGACGCGTGGTATTTTATGACTCGTGTCGAATATGATTACAGTTCCGAGATAATACAAATCGCTTTATTTCCCCACCAAATGAATTCAAGGTACTGCGATCCTTTTATAATCAAAGGTGCATCAATAGTAACCAATCTGCATTTTAAGTAAGATTTGAGGCTTTGCATGGTGGAGATACTAAATAATGAAAGGTTTGCGGAAACACCATGTGCGAATAATTTTCTCAACTAAAATCTGCATTTTAAATAAACAATGTCGAGGGCTGCATAACCATATGGAATGACCTCAGTTAAAATGTAAGAGGGCCTAAATTTCGATCCCACGGCGGATTTATTTTTAAAGATTCTAATCAAAACATTTATCAAGTGAAACAGAGCGTATAATTAGAATTTGCCTTGTATCAAATGAGCTACAACGTGTGTTACATCCTATTTATTAATTTCCTAAGTGGGCTTATCCATTCAAGGGAAGTATTTCAGCTGTAAGGAATTTAAGGCATATTGAAAATATTGTAAACTGCTGACTATAATACAACGAAGGATGTTCACCTTAGCTTCGTTCAACCGATTTTTTGTGCAGCGGCGTAGCTACGGGGGAGGGGGGCGTGGGGGCTATTTGGTTTTAAAGAAGCCAAGTGTCCGGTTTAAAAACCTGTCTACCTTTGAGTAGTGATGAAATGGGCGCCGCGGCCACTCCACTGTAACATCAAGCCCCCCCCCCCCCCCCCCCCACTCGCCCCCTAGGATGAGAACCCTGGCTGCGGTGTTTTTATTTGCAGTACACACCGTCAATAGATCATGATTATTCAGCTAGTTAGATATGTTTATTTATAACAATTTGCAATAATGTCACACCTTTGCTATCAGTCAGTCATGCATGTATGTCCATTAAAGCCTTTCAAGGAACGGCTTTCGTCGAGCTGACACAGTGGCCTAGTGGATAGTGGAATGAACTATGGATCGCAAGATCTGTGGTCCGAACCCATGTCCATTTTTCATCAAATATTTTTGTTGGTTGGGATAACTTTTATTGAAGGGAAAACACGACGAGAACCTAAGTGTCTTCAATCCAATAAATATTCATGTTAGGGTGCATGATGTGATTGGTTAAATACAATGTATGCTGCAGAAAAAAATACGCATCCTGGCTACGCCGCTGCATAATTGGATGAATGCAAGCACGGGAGTATGTGACCTGACTAGTCAGTGTTTGGTACCAAGACGTTCACACGGAACGTTGCCCTTACGTTCTTTTAAAATTTCTGTGCAGCTGAACTCAAACTAAAACATCCAGAGCCCAGGGCATATTTTTGGGGTGGGGTAAGGTTATTGTTTTTTATTGTTTTTATTTTACATGATCTGTTTTGTAATGCATGTTGATCTGCAGTTGTTTATTTCGATGCATTTCCCGGGTACAAATCGCTTTCCTTTTTAATAAGAAGTGATTGTCATCCAGTGTCTTTCTTGTGATGAGTTAAAATTAAAATGGGCGGAAAAAACAGTGTTTCTATTAAAGCAATAACAAAAGTGCTGATGAAAAATCTGCTTGTAGGTAAAAGATTTGGGATTGAAAACATGAAATGTATATGCAGTTATTACCAGGCGCTCAGAATGGAAGGATAGTATCCTGACGAAACTGTGATGATTATGTGCAAAGTCAACAAGGAGCTTGAATATTTTATGACATTTCGAAATGATTTTTAGTCCCCAAAACAATTTGTAATCAACATAATGCTATAATTACAAATACCCTTTGTATGGCCAGTCATTTGCAATTATTGTATTATACTGATTAGGCTACAATTTGTTTTGGGGAGTGAAAAGCATTTCAAATTGTCAGAAAATTTAGTTTATGTTGAAAAATGGTGGTACTTTTACACATTTTACCTGAATATGCTCTAAAGCACATGGTTTGGATTCAATTTGTTTTACCTTTCTACTAAATTGAGATTAATACTGGCACATGAAACGTAAGTGAGAAAAAAAGACTATTAACATTTACTTTGATAATTCCGATTCCATAATGCCAATTTCAAGTAGGAATAAAATGGCGTGTTCGGTAATTCCTTCAATGTATAAAGGACCAATCGGGATAGTGAATGGCGACCAGTGACGCCCTGCCTCATTTTGCCTCTTATCTCTTGAATAACATTATCATCACAAAGGTGAAGATCATGGACGAAACGGTGTGTGTATGTAGCACGGCAAAATCCAACAGGTATTATATTATTTGACCCATGAAACAAACGCATGCGCAATGAGCGGAGTTCTCTTCATACCTGTACCGTTCCTCTTCCTTTAACTGATTGTGTGTTGTGTTGGTTTTGCTGTAACTGTGATGCGTACTACCTTGAAATCGAGTTTGTAATATGTTTTACGATCCAAGCACTTTAAATTAATCTGTTTTACTCATAAGTATTAAGAATTCGGTTCCTGCTTGCCTCACGCCCTACATCATCAATCATCTTAACCGTCTGTAATAGTCTAATGTGAGACTGCTACCTCAATGGAATGACATAATTACCTGTTTCGTTCATTGCCTCCTCCGGCTCCGTTGCCTCCCTTGCTACTCGCTTCCTCCCTGCGATCCTTGCATTTTCATCTCCAATCTCGATCCCTCCAAGATTAGCGACTATGTACACGAAGAACGTCAATAAGTAGACCACAAGGATCCCCGCGTATATCCGGAACACGATAGTTTTAGCGGCGGACGTGTGACGTTTGACCGTCCATATGGCCATTCTGACGGCCGGAGGCAGCGGCGATGTTACGGTGCGGTATGCAAGCAGCCCAGCAAACCCGGTCCGTTAGGTATTACAGCCCGTAATTATTATGCCCAAGTTATGTCCATGTCAACGACACAACCCGCATCATCGTTGAGGATGACATAGGCACACGCTGCTCGCATTATTAGCAGATAGTCAACACAAATGTGCGATCCAGCTGTGATCCCAACTGGTTGTGCACAGTCTTTCCGGGATGAACATCCCAAGTGCTTCTCCCGTCGTAGTGGCTTCGGCGGCATCTGTGCTTGTACACGATACCTTCAGAATAGCACGATCCGTCGCGCGCGCGGGCAGACAAATTAATTATTAACCCATTTTGCCACTCTTCACGGTTGCAGAGAGTTTAAAAAACAGATGCTGATCGTTCGTTGGCGTAGGCACGGTGCGGGTGGGCAGTGACACGAGACGAGATCGTCAGGTTACAGACATAACCTGAACAGGCAAAAACACACTGGGTACTACTCTATGATTATAACTTAACTGCGCGCCATAAAAGGCTTTTCACTAACGAACCAAATTAACACGTGCGTCGTATGGTAAGGCCACATAAAACAAATTCAGGTTTCTATTCACTCACCCGCATACGAAAATTTGCGCCACATTCATTTTTATTTTTACTATTTATACTATTTATTTTTTTATTATAAAGACTTTAAAAATAATTCATACTGCAGTATACGTTCAAACTGGTGCGAAAAGCGCAATCCCACATATGCCAGCGGCAACATCGTCCCAGTCACGTGCCATGCCACATTGCTGCTGCTTTTCGGCGCAAATATACATATAATAAAAAAAATACGTAAAATACGCTCGAAGTGCAAACTTTGAAATGAGAGTGAGTTCCGTTCGTGAAAAACACGTCCATGTTGCCCATTTTGTCTTATCAAAAACGCATCTCAATGACATGTTGACGTCATGTTGACGTCGTATTTCTTCTCTCACACCGATGGTGATAAGTGAGAGCGCATGAGGCATTGCCGAACCACTTTTCCCCGACGTCGACGCGACGTCAACCACAATTTGGTGACCCTCAAAGATCGATCTTGCTTATAAACTGGTTCCCGCCGCATGAAGATAGAAACGAACGGTATAAAGACGGAAACTAGCTAAGGCGGCAACTCCGTGAAATGAAACGATCTAAAAATGAAGATTTCAGCCAGTAGTTTCACAAAACTGGAAGTTTTATTTTCTATGTAGGCCTAGGTATTTTGTTCCCTGTTTCAATGTATTTTCAAGTACATTGGCGTAACTACGGGGTCAAACTGCTAGGGGAGCACCTGGGATGCATCAGGTTTTGAGGGACACTGAGGAAAAATTATATGTTGTTTGTGAGCAAATTTTAAAATGGGGGGGGGGCAACCCAGGGGCACGACCCTCCGCTGAAGGTAGCTGCTCCCTTCCCCCCCCCCCCCCCCCGCGTAGTTACGCCACTGACGCACGTTGCTGGTCGATACAGCTTACCCGGCAATCTTCAAAGCAACTCGAGCTCAAACTTTAGTTTCAACCTTGTTTCCAATAGTAATCCCTGATACAGCACATACACAGCCTTGCCTTCAAGGCCAGCATATAGTCTCGGTGGCCCGTTGGACAGGATTTTCCTAAAATATTAAACCAAAGATTTCGGTTCTTAATTTCTCAATATACCTCCGAGCATTCAGTTTGAAAATATTCCCATGTTCTTTTTTTTTTGTAGCTATAGCTTATATCTCTTGGCAAAAGTAGAGGGCTGTGGCAAAGATAACTACTTGCAAAAAAAAAACACTGCATGCCTTATTAAATTTATCAAAAAAGTTCTGATGCCGAGAAACTTCGAATTTTTTTTTAATGTGGCCTATGTACTTGAAAATTTGATATACGTCAGCACTGCAATGGCCCAGTGAACACCGTGGTTTCGCCATGGCTGTTGTGAATCCATTTCATAATTGGCTTGATGCTCCTAATTGAAGCGAACACAAGCACAGCTATGGTTGAAACTGCAAGGTGTGGTGACAATCTGCTGTGAACCATTTCCAGGTACTATAATTTACGAAAAATGTTCTACTATACTATGCCACCGCCCCCTTCAAAAAAGCCCTACCTAACATGAAACCATTTAGTCTCCAATTATCACGAGGCATAGATGCGTTAACTCAGTCATGTGGTTGCTAAGGCAAAGCGTCTGCCGTTTTAAGCAAAGCTAATCCGATTACGTACTTAAACGCTATGGCAGAGCAGTGAATTTAATGCACCACAAAATACATGGCCTTTTGAACGCCGTCATCGATGCCGAAACGTCAATACTGGTTACTGGTTTAGCTGACCTTCAAGTCTGGAAGAAATCGTTCGAAAACTTCCCCAATCTCTGTATTTATATCAATTTCTAAGAATTTCTCAAAATTGTTATTTCACGAGTAGTTGAACACTTACATCATCTAAAGTATATTCTGACTTTTTGCAAACGCTAGTGTTACAAGTTGAACCATCTCCATGGAAAATTTCGACGATGATTTCTGCAAGTGCCTTAGGCGCTACGGTTGACCGATTTCGGCCAAGCCACACAATAACGATTGTAGATTAGCATATTTATTAGCGTCACTCAGCGTGTTCTGGCGTGGGTCTTGGTATCGACCAATGGAAGCCGGCAAAAAGGGTGATATTTATCAATTAATAACTCGTGAAGGAGGCTTTTCTCAAAAATTTTACTGCACACCATAATGGATAGAAACTTTAGTAATACTCGTGAGGCTTGAAAAGATTGACAGCTTGCAAACGTCAGTGTTACAAGTTTCAAAAATGCACGTAGCCAGGCCTATTTTTCCAATTTTAACAAAAAGTAATTAATGAACATATCACAACGATTTTTAGTACATACTTGGATCATTATAAGGGAAATAAATTCTGAAAGTTGCATGAAGATACGGTCTTCCAAACTGGAGAAATTAATTTTCAAAGATTTCACCCGCCTGGGTGAACATGTCTGTGTACATGTAGTTTCATTCAAAATATAGTGTTACGTAACCTTTAGAAATCGCCCTTCGCAACCACTAGGGCCAAGTTCGGGCAAGGACCATTAGTCGACTAGTGGTTGATTTGTGACGTACCTTACGCCTGCGCACTAATAGCAAAGTGCAAACGTCTCTAGTCGAACGCTGGTCAAAATGTCATTGCAAAACGTCTGGATCCTGGTTCCCTGCTGTACTTTATGAACGCGCGCGGCTATGGTTACCAGCGAAGCAACCAACCCCAGTAGGTTGGGCCAAGTTCGGGCAAGGACCATTAGTCGACTAGTGGTTGATTTGTGACGTACCTTACGCCTGCGCACTATAGCAAAGTGCGAACGTCTCTAGTCGAACGCTGGTCAAAATGTCATTGCAAAACGTCTGGATCCTGGCTCCCTGCTGTACGTTATGAACGCGCGCGGCTATGGTTACCAGCGAAGCAACCAACCCCAGTAGGTTGGTTCCAAATAGTCGACTAGCGTAGTTAACCATCGTCGACTAGACAGAGTTCGGGCAAGCGTTAGTCGACCAATGGTTAATTATAGTCCTTGCGCGAACTTGCCCTAGACTGAACTTGTCCAGCGCTAACTAGGCTCTCTTTAGATGGTTTCACAGGTTTCGGACTGCATGGGAACATTATGTCTGAAGAATGAGGGCGTCCTCAATTTTACAAAAACTGGATGGCTTTGCTGTCAGGGAAGAACACGCATTGGGTATTGGGAGCAACCGTTCGGATCGTGCTAGTGACGTGGGGGTCGGAATTGTGGGTGCAGACCAGTAAATCGGTCCGAAATTGCCTGCGCCGGCCAAATAACGATTTGCATGCCCTCAAAATCTTCGGTATTTCAGCATGCTGTGGGCCATGAACTTGAGGGTTTGTAAAAAATATGGGTGGAAACCGTGCACAGGACTGGGAGCTTGCAGTTCTGTGTAATTTTGATGTAATTTGGACCCTAAAAGCGCTCTACTTTGCAATGGAGTGTAGGCATCGTTTTTCAAAATGGCGATGGGCTTCAGGACTATTTTCAGGGGTGATCATCTTCAGATGGAAATTTCTCCTAAAAGTCATCAGTTGACCCCCCGAAAATTGAAAAGAAAATGAAAGATGATGAAATAAGCTTTAATTTGATGTGTGTCTCGAACACCTTGGAGAGTTGTGAGTATTTTTCCCGAATTTTTGAAGTGGGAGCATTTACCATTGGGGTCTATGGAAGTTTATTTACTGGTCTGCTACCTTGTACACGCCACTTGGCTCAGCCATGGGCTCAGCCGATCAAGTAAGAAAGAATATAGCGCCCTCTGGGGAAGGGTGGCGGAAACGTATACTGAAAGGGTCAATTGAATGACTTTCACACTGGAGCGTGTTTGTAGCATATATCCATTCCTCTGAAATTTATAAAAATAATGAGACATCCCTTTGTGATAAAAACAAATTGCAAAGTGCACTTTTGAACATTTGAAATGTGTCATGCTTATTATGACAACTGAGGGCGGAGGCCGCTGTTGATGTCACTCTAGTCTGGTTCCCAGATTCTGACTATTCCTAATGAATCTTGAGTCAGATCAGGTAGCCTCCAGTAATACATTGTATTACAATTTATGTCACATGGCTAAAACGGGAGGAATTCCTCCTTTTTCCGAAAATTTCCGAAGTTTGCCGAATTCATTTCGTCGACAATCGGATAGTGCCTGAGTATTAATTTCCGAGTATAATATAGGTTTTATTAACTGCTAATTACTTGTTAGAAACTTACAAAACTTGTTGGTAATTAATATCAATTGCTTTTATTTAGAAAACTTGAAATTCAACGACGATTTTGTACTCGGATCGTATACGAGGGGCGAACTTTTTGCTGGGTCATGTAGTGATTTGAATTTGACGACCGTTACCGGCATTTTCCAAAACTCGGCATGATCTTTTTCGGCTCCGCCTGCTAACAGTGCTATTAGAATGCCTAGCTTTGAAGATTCCAGGTCAACATTAGTCAATATTTCTTACAGAAATATCCAACTGTATTAACATAACTGTACGATATTATGAAGCAAGTGATTTATTTAAAAATTTGATCGGAACATTAAAAGCTATAAGTGATAAAGCGAGCTCGGAAACGAAGCCGAGTTTTTAAAAAGGGCCGTCAATGTCGTCATGTTTATTTTTAGCCACGGAGGCTGCCTGATCTGACCTACAATTTAGACGTGAGCGTCTGGAATAATTGTCAGGTCTGGGAACCAGACTAATGTCACTCTAGGAACACACTCTTCAGAGTAGGGTTTGCCTCTTTAAAATGTAAACCCAAATTCTGCTTATCGGAAACATTTTGCAGAAAGTTTTCTCACTGCCTTATTTTCATATTTTGAAACATTAACGAACCACTGAAAAGCATGATTTTTTTTTAAACTGAAGCTTATTTTAATTGAAGTTTCTGCCCTGAATGACATCATAGTTTTGATCATAAATATGGAAATGTGTACATGTATAATCGTAAATATCAAAAAGGCACCAAAATGCTCTTAAAATGGCAAATAAAATTTAATTGAAACGGTAGTCCAACATTTTCAATGATTGTTTTTGAAATATACTTCGTTTCCGAACTCGCTTTATCACTTATATCTTTTAATGTTCCGATCAAATTTTTAAATAAAGTCGATTAGATGGGCCCTTTAACAGAAAGCTCGATCTTGCCAGGTTTAAAAAGTGAAGAAATAAAACGCGATAATTTTGAGAAATAATGCCTCTTTGTATCAACAATCGATCTCAAAACAGTTGATCTGCATTAGCAACATTGCCTTTTTGTCCTCGTTTCTCCGTGTTTGTATTGTAAAGTGACAACTTTATAACATTGTAATAATTATAGACAGAGTGACGCGGCGCTATATAAATAGCAGAAAAACGCAAATTAATTAAGGAACGAAAAAAATAACTCTAACCAGACTACTGTATGGCTAGCTTTGCTGGAACAAGTGAACCTCCAGAAGCAGATTCGATATCATAAGCCGAAGAAACATTGCGAACACTTGGGAGTTTGTTCCCAAGGGCTTGGGTTGATTCGCGATAAAGTCTCGAATTTCTAACTCTTGTGTTACTTAGGCCTATAACAAGCATGGCAGGTATTTGTTGGTTTTAATTAAAACTATTTTACGCCCGGAAATACCCGAGGGTCAACGAAACGCATCGGTAAAATTCGGACATATCGGAAACAGGATCCTTCTCGTTTTAAGTCATGTTTATAAGATTTGTCAGCAAAAGTGAACATTATTAATTTTGGTCTGGTAGCCATACTAGGATCCTACTCGTTTAAGTCATGTTTATAAGATTTGTCAGAAATAGTGAACATTATTAATTTTGGTCTGGTAGCCATACTAGGATCCTACTCGTTTAAGTCATGTTTATAAGATTTGTCAGAAATAGTGAACATTATTAATTTTGGTCTGGTAGCCATACTAGGATCCTACTTGTTTAAGTCATGTTTATAAGATTTGTCAGAAATAGTGAACATTATTAATTTTGGTCTGGTAGCCACACTAGGATCCTACTCGTTTAAGTCATGTTTATAAGATTTGTCAGAAATAGTGAACATTATTAATTTTGGTCTGGTAGCCATACTAGGATCCTACTTGTTTAAGTCATGTTTATAAGATTTGTCAGAAATAGTGAACATTATTAATTTTGGTCTGGTAGCCATACTAGGATCCTACTTGTTTAAGTCATGTTTATAAGATTTGTCAGAAATAGTGAACATTATTAATTTTGGTCTGGTAGCCATACTAGGATCCTACTCGTTTAAGTCATGTTTATAAGATTTGTCAGAAATAGTGAACATTATTAATTTTGGTCTGGTAGCCACACTAGGATCCTACTCGTTTAAGTCATGTTTATAAGATTTGTCAGAAATAGTGAACATTATTAATTTTGGTCTGGTAGCCATACTAGGATCCTACTTGTTTAAGTCATGTTTATAAGATTTGTCAGAAATAGTGAACATTATTAATTTTGGTCTGGTAGCCATACTAGGATCCTACTTGTTTAAGTCATGTTTATAAGATTTGTCAGAAATAGTGAACATTATTAATTTTGGTCTGGTAGCCATACTAGGATCCTACTTGTTTAAGTCATGTTTATAAGATTTGTCAGAAATAGTGAACATTATTAATTTTGGTCTGGTAGCCATACTAGGATCCTACTTGTTTAAGTCATGTTTATAAGATTTGTCAGAAATAGTGAACATTATTAATTTTGGTCTGGTAGCCATACTAGGATCCTACTCGTTTAAGTCATGTTTATAAGATTTGTCAGAAATAGTGAACATTTATTAATTTTGGTCTGGTAACCATACTAGGATAACTCAGAACATTTAAGAGGGTGTTGCACGGTGTCGTTTTAAATGCTACAGACGGTACATGTTATTTCACGACCATTAACATACGGAAGACAAGGAAGGGAGCCGCAACGCGCCTCGATGATGTAAATAAGAGCTTCATCTTGGCTGGCTTCCGTGCCTGGGACAACTTCTGGTGCCTCGTCCACGCAGATGACTTTGGACTGGCGCTTGTGGTCGTACTTGCCGGACATTAGGAAGCCCCTGTACTCCTCTGTCCAGTCCACGGGGCAGCCAAGCTTAGCTGGCAACACCAGCTGGGTTCCGCGATCCGTCAGGCGACACACGGCACACGGTGCATTGTGTTGAAAGATCGTCTCGGCATTTTCGTGGGAAAATGGATCGAAATTGTTGAGCTGGTACTCGACTCCGTAAAGGAGGGACGCCTGGGTATTAGCTCCATCTCTAAAGTCTTGTGACCAGTCTGGGTTATTAGGTAGGCATAGGAAGTCAACAGCGCCCCCAGAGTGTAGATGGTGGGCACCGGCTGCATAACCTAAATATAGAAAAAGTACTTCCATGGTCAGCGGATGGAATGATAACGCTTGCTTTTGTTTTGTTCGATTTAAGCACGTCTACCTGTTGAACAGCACTGTCTTTTTACAAGTGTCTAATACACAACAGCCTAGCTGTGTGTGAAGTTGTGTGACAATGATGTATTTTGTGCGTCTATTGTGAAACTATTCTTCAGCAGCGTAGCCTCGGGATCGCTTTACCTGAATACAAGAGCTCAGTGCCAGGCTGATCCGGACAAGTGTTGCGCCCCCATCGGACGTATGTATTTCCTGACGTACCCTTTGTGGAATCTGCAAACATTGAATGTATCTTTTGTTTTAATTTTGTTTAAACGAAGCATTCCAACGAATGTTTTATAGATGCATTGTTCAATTACAGAATTCTGGGACAGGTTTGACATGACACTTCCCGGCACACTTTTAAAGTCACTTTTTCAGGCCTTTTGACCCGGAAAATTATCATTTTGATACATATAAATTCCCTTTGACTAAGGCTGTCAAGCTTGTTCCAAAAAAAAAACGAGCTTGTTCCCGCTACCGCACACCGTACTCCTACTACAGTTGTACTATCGTTAGTAGACAAAGCACAAGCAAGGTTAGTTGAGGCCAACAACAATACCACTAGTACGTGCATGTGCGCAGCGGTGTGCGGTAGCGGGAACAAGCTCCTTTCGGGAATAAGCTTGACAACCTTTATCAATGCTATCATTTAGAATGAGGCCGTGTCTGGCCCATTTACTTACACATTGTCGTAAAAGTTGGTATCTCAGAATGTCTACGAAAAAAAACCCTACACTTGGGGTTTGTGTACAAAATATCAGACGGTTATTTATTATTCCCCACCACGCTCCATTAATTTCAGCAGCTGCTGCAAGCCCCATTTTAAAGAATAAGTTAAGACAGGATCAAGGTACCAACTTTTACGACAACATGCGATTGGACATTGTGTGGCTATTCACCCCTGATAGCGCGCTCCCCGGAACCCGTTAATAGGAAAATTAACGTGTAAAAATAAGTTTTTCTTTGCTACGGTAAGAAATTATTCTGCCAAAAATTATAGAAGGTGAAAGGGCAACCAATGTAAAATGCCCACAGGCTTATAGGTGGGCCACGCGAGGGGTCCGGAAGCCCTCCCATGTTCTTTTACTTTCAGGCTCTAGGGGTGCACCCATGTAAATAGACCAAAAATCCGAGAGAAAATATTAGAGAGTTCTGAGAGCCATAGATTTGGGCAATTGAAGAGATATGTCAATACACCTCCGACCCGGACACAGGGCTTCCAATTCAGAGCATTTAGGGTGCAATCGGGCCCGAAAGTAGCGCTATATTTAGCCATGTTGTGGATGAGTCCGTTTTCAAGATGGTTACTTTTCCACTTTGGGAAAACATCACTCGTTTTAGGGGTCGTCTTCTTTGGGTAAGAATTTCTCGAAAAGTCATCGGTCAACCCACCAAAAATTGAAAAGAAAATGAAAGATGACATGTTAAGCACCATTTTACAGTGCAGCCTGAACACATGTGAGAGTTTTGAGTAATATGTTTAAAAGCATTTTAGTATGGTCATTTATCACTGTTGTCTGTGGGAATTTATTTGATTGGGTGCCTTTGATTGTTTTCCTTTTGGCGCATTAAGATAAGGTGAACAGTCGTAGCCGAAGATAACTGTGCCTTTTTTGAGTGCCTGACTCACCTTGGTCTGCGTTCAAGCCGCTCGGTCCGGCTTTTCCTGGCGGTCCTGGTACTCCAGCTTCACCAGCAACCCCCTCAAAAAAAAGAAGAAAAAGAGGAACTAGAAAAGCGCCAGGTAAGTCACAATTAATTTCCAATAATTAGGAACAAAAAGCCTATATATTTCTTATTAATTCGTATTTCAATCTAAAGCAAGTTATTTTCACTCCATTGTCTGGTCCACGCTTTCTCCCTTTAAAATTAAGGGAGAACCGCGTTTTGGTGAGAAACTATCTTTTTTAAGGGTGCATTAGGAAACATTGCATCAAGATGTGTGAGATATACAATGAATTTGATGTGGAAGCTTTTATTCATTTGGAGGGGCAACCAGTACGCTAGTTCTCTCAAATCCAATTAATGTTGGGCTCAGTCGTCTGACCAATCTGCCTTACTTGTTCACCCTTGATTCCTGTTGGGCCGGCCGGGCCTGGTTGGCCCTGGGCCCCGTCTCGTCCATCTTTACCATCTCTTCCATCACGACCATCCCGACAGAAACACGAACCTCCGTAACGGCCATCTGATTGGATGATTAATTATAAAGGGTTTCATTGCAAATCAATTTCCTTCATTGTCAATTAAGTTCCCAATCCTACGATAGAACGCGGGTCTGTTTGTATTATTTCCACTGAAATGTGACCTGCCATATCAAAATGAGGAATAACCCCACTTTTGACTTTTTAAGTTACATCAATCATTTTCAAGCGCACATTATTGGCTTTCCAATGATACCAAATTTGTTTCTGTAGCTTAATCCAAAGATGTGCTACAGGAACTTCAACAGTGTCTCGCCGAACTTCGCCGACCTTATTTTGAAAAAAACCGGCTTTGAAAAATAATATGCATTGCGCCGCCAACGACATTGGAAAAGTTCTTCAGTTTGGGGGTGCATGTATTTTTGTTTCCTACCAAAAATGTATAGTATGTGGGTCTTGGATACCTTGGCTACTCAAAAATATTTTTTTTAAATATAGGCCTACAACTATGTTGACATAATTTTTCTAGTGTATCCGACTTCAGGCGTCGACTACTCAAAATAAGATTTTTGGGGGGACACTCCTCATTTCACCGCAGTGGGTCACAAATTGCTGGTAAAATCAAAGGAACTATTTCTTTGACTCCAAAGACAAGGACAATTATAAAGAAAATCGAGGAAACTATGGCAAATGGTTACCCTGACAACCGGAAAACCCCGTTTGGATGGAAGAAACACCGTAATCTGGTGACATAGTTGCCGCTGTGTTTTCCTGATCTCGTCGTTTTCGTGATTGGGTTTTCCTCCACGATTGGTCGTTGATCTTGATGTTGTCTTGTTTCAAACTGTCCCCATTCAGTGTCGTGCGCTCTTCATGAAGTTGCATACGATCCTATTGGATTGAATATCATAAAAAAACATCTCTCTGAATGACACAATTTTTGAATGAGTGTTTCCCAGACTTTGTTTCTCCTAAAAAGCGATCACACAGAGCCATTTTAATTAACATTTTATTTTGCCAGGGTAGCCCATCAGTTGTCACAATGTCAGTTTATTTCAGTGAAAAGTATATTGTATTCGGTGAAACACACATACAAGGGAAAGAGCATAATAAAGTTGAGTACACGACAGAGAATGAAATGATACTAATAGTTGTCATAGTTTACCATAGAGTGGTTGGGGAAGGCGTGGTGTGTTTTTCCTCTACCCTACCCTAGTAGATCAGTAAAATGAAGAGAGAGTTGAACCTGCGACATTGTCGCGCCACTTCCATTTATTGATTTTTTTATTTATATATTTTTATTTAATATTTATCCAGGGTAGCATATATTTACCATTCAGTGGTCTTCAATAGGGCCCTAACATCGATAAAAATGATTGAAACATAAATTTACACTTTATAAAAAAAAGTTGTTGTTAGATATAAAACAATTAAAATAAACCAAAGTGAAAAGAAGTAAAACAAGAATTACAGACAAATTAGAAGACGAATGATTAGAAACAAACCATCTTATAGAGAAAAGTAAGAGGCACTCAGAGATGGTGCACAAAACTTAGTGAAATTAGGCCGACTATAGGGTGAATCGAAAGATTTGGTTAAGTATTGAGCTTTCTGTTTTGCTGTGTTTTTCCCTGTACAGGGTGAGTAAAAAAACACGAAACCCAAATGTCGGGGTCATTATTTTAGTGAAATTCTGCATGTAGCGCTTACAAAATCTACAATATAAAAGCCCAATTCATAAGCTTTCTTTCAGTACAAGATTCATTCAAATCACTAATTTCCAAGTTACGGAATTTTAAACTCAACCACCGTTTTCAAGTTATGTACACGGATCACAAAAAGATAAGCGTTCTTTCAGCAAGACGAAAACAAATCACATAGGGATGTGTGTGAATTGTTTTCGTTTTGCTGAAAGAACGCACATATTTTTTTTGTGATCCGTCGACAGAACTTTAAAAACGGGGGTTGTGTTTAAAATTCCGTAACGTAAAAAGTAAGCTACGTAAGTGATTTGAACGATTATTGTACTAAAAGAAAGGTTATGAATTGGGCTTTTATGTCCTAGATTTTGAAAGTGCTACACATGCAGAACTGCACTAAAACAATAGTCCCGATATTTGGGTTTGGGTTTTTTGACTCACCCTGTGGAGCTTCTTGTTTTATAAACCACAACTGTCGTGATTGGAACACTGCGGTCAATCAATCCCTTACCCTGACTGTCTGCAGTTCTTTGTTGAAGTAGGCGACCGTCAAACCCACTGCGATGGACGTGGCGCACAGGTTTAGCAGCATTCCCGCCAAAAACCAGCGCCAAAACCTGCCATCCCTGCTTGCTTGCTTCTCTTCGTTGAACATTTCCCCCGCAGTAACAGATGCCTTGTTAGTGCTAGACATTGTGAATGTGTTGTCCGTAGCAAACAATGACAAGATAGTTCTGTTGATCGTTCATCGACGCAGTGCTTCGATTCGTAGTAATGGCGCCAAAGGTTGGTAATAGCTTATCGATTATCTTATACGCAAATTATGAACGGCCTTATCAGATATTAACTGCTCAAACGATTCTTCTCATTTTCGGTAAAATAAAAAATCGACGGGTAGAGGGCTATGTCGCTATTTTTTAACTTCGTAAAGAATAGCTTACTTGAGTTTAACACGACATGATTTTTTAAGTAACCAGACGATTAAAAAAAAAAAAATTTGCGTTTACAATGTACATGACAAACTAAGCGCAACAGACTAAGAAACCAACAGATAACCCTTCGAATTCCTCATTCGTTAAAACTACTTTAACGAAATCCTGTCAGGAACTAAAGAGTATAATTGTGCAAAGGTCATCACACTTTGAAGACAATAGAGGTTGGGTAAAGGTCCAAAAAAGAATACTTTATTGACAGTCATTGTGGACATTCAATGATGACTATCTGATAATTGGTGATATGACTCTAAGTTTTACAGATGGAACAAGGTCCGGAACTGCGAAATGTGAAACAAACAAGTTTATTGATGTTAACTTCGTATAAAGGACACAATTTTGTACGTGGAACATTATTTTGCCCAATATTGCTCAGTTACTTTTTTTAAAATTATTTTACTTTATTTCATCTCAAGGCATGGAACAAACAGTATGCACTTAGAAAATATTATTTTTCACTATTCAATAACTTATTTTAAACAAAAAAAATAATAAGATGACAATGACAGGGGAATAATAATGCCAAGAGACGCGGGGCCCACAAAAAGCACAGCTCTCCTAACAACAAGTAAGATACTGGGAATTACAGAACGATTATATAATTTATGAACAAGCACAGCAAAAAAAGCTAACAAACAACAAGGATAAAACAGCAATTAGATTAAAGGTGGATTAAAAAAAATCTTAAAGAAGGTAAGAGTGTAGTGTTCCGTATAGATAAACAATAATACAAAATGAACACGTCAAGAAAGTCTTAGCAGGAATTGTAAAATAATGCAATGAAAGAAGAAATATGCTTAAATCCCAAGGCTATTTGATAAACAATGAGGAAATTTCAACACAATCATTTTTACAATACTACTTCAAATTTAAAGTAACATACATTGTTGTGTAGGCCTACATAAACAAAAACACGACTGTAAAGTGAATGCTTAACACCAGTCTACACAAAGAAATATTTCGTGGAATTAAAAGTCAAAGCCAAATATCAAAGAAAAAAGTAGAAAATAAAGTTCAGAATGTTAAACGAAAATAAAAAATTAAATTCACCAATCATAGTAAGTTATTATAAAGAAATAGTTTGAACTTAATTTCGAAGGTATAGACCGGATAATGATTTTTTTTACAGTATTTTCAAGGGACTTTCAGAATGTAGGCCCTTCAATTTTTTTCTCAAATTTGTTTTCAAACACTTTTCTTTGCGAAAGTAAATCCTTATACATGGTAAATGATATTCGTTGGCCTGTAGAGTTAATAGCCAACTCTAGAAAAAAAAGAAAAAAACATTTGGAATTTTTGAAGGTTTATAGCCAACAAGAACTTGGAATCAGGAAACGTTTGAGACTTTTCTTTGTAACAAAGACTGCTAAGTAAATGCTTTATAAGGCCGTCATGGCTTCAATATTAGGTCATTTCATTTTATGAAACTGGTATTTTCTTGTATAGGTGCACCTTTAGGTGTTTTTAAATGCCACAGACTGTGCACGTTATCTCTCGTCCGCCGATGTACGGTGGGCAGAGACCAGAGGTACAACGTCCTTCAATTATACAAATCAAGGCCCCATTGCCACTCTTTTGACTGCCTGAAACAACTTCTGGTGCCTCATCAACGCATACAGCTTGAGAACGCTGAGCATGATCGTGGTCAGTCAAGACATGAGGAAACCTGTGCTCCTCCGTCCAGTTCACGGGGCAGCCAAGCTTAGCCGGGATCAGTAGCTGGCTTCCGTGATCAGTCAGGCGGCACACAGCACACGGCACGCTACGTTGGTCTAGGAACTCAGCATTCGTGAGAAAAGGGATCAAATAATGACTCTACTTTATACTCCATCCCGAATAGGTAATTTTAGACTGTGAATTGAGTCCGTCGTTGTAAGATGCCGACCAGTCCGGGTCCGTTGGCAGGCAGAAGAAGTCCACTGAACCCCCTGGATGTTGATCACCGCTACCTCGTTCAGTGCTCGAGTCAGAATCTATAAGTAACGGGGAAAAGTATACCTCATGTAGTGATAGAAAAAAAACATATGGTCCGAGTAAACCTGTTGCAATTTTTTTTTAATGGCGATAAGTGCGTTTCAATTACATCAAATAGTTACGTTTATTATAAGGGGCAAGTAACTGGAATCAAAACGATTTTTATTTCGTTTGTTATAGTAGCGTCGGTTGTATGTCTGTCGCTTGGTCGCTTGATCAGTTAGTTGGTTTGGTTGGTCTCTCAGTTGGTTGTTTTGCTTGTTTCGTACATTCGTGCGTTCGTTCTTTAATTCGTTTTTACCTTTCTGTCGGAGTTTTCTTGTGGGTAATGATTACGAAGACGCCCACGAAACCCGCCAGTCGTTCATTCTTAAAAAAAAAATTGAATGTGGGAAAGGGCCTCGCGGTGGGGGGGGGGGGGTGATTGATATAATGAATTTTGCTGTATATTTTCTGGACCCATCCCTATAGTTTCAGTTAGTGTGAGTAAAATCTTCACTCGAACACAGTGAATTTTCACTCTTTGGTAAAAAGAAAGGATAACATTTTACTGATGAAAGTGCGATTTCTATTGTTGGTTCTTAGCTGTGAATATCACCTTTTTGTAATGAGTGTATTTTGATATATTTTACTGAATGTTTATTGCTGTACAATAGGAAAACAAGTGTCATGTGTCTCACATGATGAATAAATAAATTGAATTGAAATTGTATTGAAAAGTGAGGAAACAAATAGCATTACCCTCGTTAAATGTAGAGTTGTCGGCCAGGTCTCCGTCCGGCATTTCAGGTTCCATCGTTCCTGGTCAGTGACTGTTGACAACAAACATTCTCAGCTTCCTCGAAGATCAATATCCAGTAGAGCTTAAAATGCCCATTAAGAAACCGTAATTGTGTTCTATACTATATCATCGAGAATACCCAATACTCGGTTTTACATAATCACACGTTAATACAAAGTAATTCCATTAGAATCCATCAGATAAAACGAACTGAAGTTTGTCTGTGTATTTTCCTTTTATGGTTGCAGGCCAGTAAATCGGTCCGAAATCGCCTACGCCGGCCAAATCACGATTCGCATGCCCTCAAATTCTTCGCTATTTGAGCATATTGTGGGCCGTGACCTTGAGGGTTTGTAAAAAAAAATATGGGTGGAAGCCGTGCACAGGACTGGGAGCTTGTAGTTCTGTGAAATGTAGATGATATTGGAGCCCTAAAAGCGCTCTATTTTGCAATGGAGTGTAGGAGTCGTTTTTCAAAATGGCGATGGGCTTCAGGACCATTTTAAGGGGTGGTCATTTTGGATGGAAATTTCTCCTAAAAGTCATCAGTTTACTCCACAAAAATTGAAATAAAATGAAAGCTGATGAAATAAGCTTTAATTGGATGTGTGTCTCGAACACCTTGGAGAGTTGTGAGTATTTTTATTGAATTTCTGGAGTGGGAGCATTTATCATTGGGGTCTATGGCAATTGATTTACTGGTCTGCAACCTGCCAGTGAAAAGCAATAGTGTGCATGATCGTCTGGTTTGAACAGCGCCCCCATATGAATATGGTACAAGGCCCGAAGACTTGATTTAGTCCCCACTGTAACCCACATACAGAACCCAAAATCTGACAGTGGAAATAATGTTTCTGCCTTGCCTAATATTTGGAGCATTGTTGATTTCCTTGCATAGAAAATGATAGTTTCAGTAAAGCATGCATAACTTTGATAGTAACAGCAATGATCAATTTACTCCTTTTTTTTGTCTGGTGAGTGGAAGAAGTAGTTTGATACACTTAAGTTTTTACAGTGTTTAAAAGTTCAATATATGACATTCAATTAAGAGACCCCAGAAATTGTGTATACGTTACTTTTCTCTTTTTCTCAAAAATTAAAGTATCTATAGGTGCAGTCTTCATCAAGTTAGTTGTTGTGCGCCCTTCTCGAGATTTTGAGCATTGTTGTTGCTTCAAACTAAGAAAAAAATGCACCCACAAAGCACAAACTATCCTACTCTTCTATTTGTAATTCTTTTGTAAGCAGTTTTATGCACTGGTACGATAACAATGATACACGTCCGTAAGCAACCAGGGCATTGTACCTTCACATTTTATTGCATTTATTGTCAAAACTGTACAATCAGCCTTCGCCTGTGTACTACGGTGAATCTTTCAACTACGTTTTCCCTCAAATGCGACTGCCTCAAAAATGCCAATTTAACAAACAGGACAATTTACAGACAACTAAACATGCCATGGTCCATAATTATTATTTTCATGTGGTTCCAGGTTATTTCTTTGGGGGCTACCTTAAATATAGTTCATTTCTTGAGATTTCATTTTTTACACCAGTTACTCTTCCAAAACCAATCTTCCCAGATATTTACACTTCCCAGCAAAGCTTGGAAGTGAATTTTTGAAGCTGTTGTAAATTTACAATTCCCGTCATTTGCTCAGGCTCCGTTTCGAATCACGAATGGTCGAATTGCATTATGCGACGCTCAAAATGTTGTCCAAATGGTCCGCAATGAAACAGAAATCACATCCGATATGGAATGTGCGCATTTCTATGGGAAGTTTTCGGATAGCATTTGCGCACATTGTATAACTGCGGACTTGAACAGCTGCAGCCAGATGCTTCATACATAGGTCATAGGCCACTTCCTTCACAAGATTCTGTGAAGCTCATCAGAGTATCCCAGCGTCCTGTTTGCAGGGCGGGGGTACGAGCGAATTTCTATAACTGCATGTCTTCTCAAGTACATCCTCCATTTACATGACTCCCATATCTTCAAGCCCAACACAAACACGCCCTACCCGATCTATGATTGGGTAAATCAGTTCGTGCGCTACTACTTTAAAAACTACTACTTTAAAAATGAAGATGAACACAACTCGACAATCACACAGTCAATGAACAGAAGAATAGCCTTTGTATTTGCCTGCTGAACTCAATTCGATTTTATTTGCCAAATAATTGTTTGTTTATCAATGACAGAATAAAATGTTTATTGCATGTATATGAAGTAAAATTTCACTTCCGTATTCCAGTGCATAATTTTACTTGATGAACTATCCGCATTATGCATGACATAGTGGGAACCAACGAGTTGAAGAAAAATCTGGTTTAGTGCGTATAGTATTGTTGTACATTATCTTTTATCTTAAACTCAAAAATACCACAATGATTTATTCTTTTATACGGTATGATTGAAATTTACTTGAATCGATTGATAGGGATACAATAACTTTTACATTTCAATTCAATAATAAATATTAAAAGAGTGTAAAATTTCCTTTCATTGTGAGTTTTAACTCCACTCGTAAGTAGGGCCTACGCTTCACATAAATTGTCACAAGAGAGTCTCTACGTGATGGCAGGTATGATCGCCAACTTGGTATGTACAGCGTGTAGCATGTAGTTCTACTACCAGTTAAAGGAGATATGTAGCATATATCAACACGATATAATCTTCACTGGAATTTAATCAAAATTAACTTTATAAAATTACCATAAAGCAAACAATTATATTTGAACAGTTTGGGAAATTGGCTCAAAATGAACAAGATTTCAGACGGAGAATGCCTGCCGAAACATAATAGGCCTACATTATGCTTCCGGTTGCTGTCATAATGCTGCAATTTTGAGAAAACATTTAACTCATTTGTCACGGTGCAGTTCTACCTCCCCGTATGCAAAGGCACTGATACTCTCTAAATTCTAAAGAGTGAAAATTCACTCCATTCGAGTGAAGATTCACTCAGTCGGAGACTAAGGACTAGACGTTTTTAAAGTGAAATTCCTTAAAGAGCGAGTTTTCACTCGAGCTTCGACTGAAGTGGTCTTTCTTCAGACTCTTTCAATCTAAAATGAGAGTGATTTTCACTCTAAAACGTCTAGTCCATAATTTCACTCTTTGGACTTTAGAGAGTAACATATAGCCTACCTTGGGAGAGAAAATTGTCTACAGACGACGCGACGCGTTGAACCCACCCCCTTGGAACAGAATACTTGTTTGAATGGATGTACTGCGACACAAGTACGGAATTAACCTTGGATGTACTGAAATAACTGTTCATTTCGAGCCTGTATGTTATCATACATGTTACAGGAATGCGGTGACGTGTTTTTTGCAGACACCTGTTGAGCTCCAGCTGCAATTGATGTCGTTGTAGTCACCGTTACCATAGATGACACCGCAGTCCTCCCCACCATTGGACTGGGCGTCATTGGGCTCTCCAGCTCTCCAGTTGGTGTAAGTACTTACTGTGCCGTCACAGCAAACGAAAGTACCTGCACAAATTCAAATACAGCGCGAGTAAAAAAAACGAAACCAAAATGTCGGGACCATTGTTTTAGTAAAGTCCTGCATGTAGCACTTCCAAAATATAGAATATGAAAGCCCAATTCATAAGCTTTCTTTTAGTACAAGAACCATTCAAATCACTCGTGTACTTTTGAAGTTATGGAATTTTAAACACAACCACTGTTTTAAAAATCTGTCCACGGATCACAACAAAAGATGTGCATTCTTTCAGCAAAACGAAACAATTCACACACATCACCTTTTTGTGATCCGTGGACAGAACTTTAAAACGGTGATTGTGTTTAAACTTCCGAAACTTCCAAAGTGCATAAGGGATTTGAATGATTCTTGTTCTTTAAAAAAAAAAGCTTATGAATTGGGCTTTCATGTCCTATATTTTAGAAGTGCTACATGCAGAACTTCACTAAAACAGATGTCCCGACATTTGGTTTTCGCTTTTTTTTTTTACTCACCCTATAATGGACACATGTCAACTATTTCGGCGTACTTTACTTAGCTGATACATTTTGTTCTGTTTTGTGTTTGCATTTAAAAGATTTCATTTTGCAGTCGTAGTCGTCCTTTCGGGCCGATAAAGAATCTTTGGTTCCGTTACCAGAAAGAAACATATAACATTCAGTGATGAAGTGATATGCTTACCTTCGGTGTCAATGTCATTACAGCCAACCCACAGGTACGGATGGATCATAGTGATCATGAAGTTAGCTTCGTCGGCATCGTGAGGGGCAGCCAATTGCGCACCCAATGCAGCACAGTCTGCTTTGGCATCCATGTAGGACTCGTATCCAGTTCGTTTGTAGCAAAAGTCACGGAACATTAACCAGCCTTCTGGACATTCACCGCAATCTGTCATGCATTTAACGTCAAGGAGAAATTGCTTCAATTTCTAAGAATGCCACTACGTGTAAAAAAAACATGGCGTATACTTTTGATTCTAAATAACTCTGTTGTTTATAAATTAAATGAAACCAAAATGTCAGACCACGTAAACAAGGCATGACAAATTTTATGGAGCAAGTGTCATTAGATTTGTACAAGAGGGTGAGATTTAGGCGCCATACGAAAAAAAAATACTTTCAGAATCTGCTACTTTTGACTTGGCGTCCTCCAATATCGATACAGCGCTGGAGACCGTGGCGGATCGTGGCCGAAAGCTTCTGAAGGTATGTAGGATCACCCCTGATGTTATTGCACACCGCCTCGATCGTGTGTTGTGCCAAACGACCGAGTGGGTGTGCAATGACATCAGGGGTGATCCTGCATTCCTTCAGAAGCTTTCTGCCGCAGCAACGCCTTCCGTCACCGTCTATAGCAATTTCTATTTTTACTATTGAATTTACTTGAGTTTTACGGTCTTTTTTTGTGGATCTAAACGAATTGCATTGCACTTATTAACGCAATAGGCCTACCGGGTAAGATCAATTAATTGTTTTATTTTACGCTATTTTTTTTTTTAAGTGATTTGATTCGACCGACAATTTTGTTCTTAATAAGTTCTAAATTTTCAACGAGTTATATTTTTTTCCCGAATTACTTTAAATTAACGTTCATGCCCAAGTCTTTATGTCCTTTTCTTGATTTATGTTAAACATTCTCGTGTTGTTTTGCACTTTGTGATATCAATCTTAGTTTGTGAATCGGGTGCATGCTACGTTAATTCAGAATAAACTCTGTATTAAGTTGCAATAGAACGTTTTACTTTATCCACTTGAGACATTTTGTTCTAAATTTCCATGTCGACAACATTGACGGCAAAGAACACTGTCAATCTCCTCTGTTTGTTAAGCTAGTTCTCGGTCCTACCTAATATTGAAATTTAGTATGAAATAATTACCTTGTATTAAAATTTAATATGAGATGCTTATTTGCTATTAATATCAAAGACCCCCCCCCCCTCTCGGATTCCCGCCCCTGGAGGAGAAGAGAGATTTACAAGCATAAGCCGACTTGTTACGAATGATTGGTACAGTGTAACTATATTACATAATTAACTTTTGCTATCATTATTCTGCGTTAAGGTTTAGGTCTCGTCTGCAACATTTGGCAATTATGTTCTCTCTCTCTCTACCTCCTTTCAACGCCACACACAGAATTGAATTTGTTTTATTCTCCTAGGGGCCTATGTCATGCACTGTGTTTCTTACCATTTTCGACGACCATAACTGGCATAATGCAAACTAGATAAGTCATTTTGGTTTTTCAATCGGGACATTTCAACCAAGACGGAATTATTTAAAAAATCGCCATTTAGAATATCTGTAGTGGTAATTTAATGAGTAAATTATGCCACTTACCCGCGGTTGTTTGTCCAACAACGAAAGCTAACGATGAGAAGGTACAGAAAAAAGCAAGAAATTAGAAAATAATTAATATGAAAAGTGTTTTGCTATTACCAGTTGGTATAGACCAAAAACAAAAAACAAAAAAACAAAAACAAATACCGAAAATGACTCTGACTTGATCGTTACTATAATAGGCCCCCTATGCATTGCAGGACATGCATGTACATGTATATACAAACAGCTTATGAAAGTATTCCGACATCTTGTCATTACATTTTCATAAAACGGTTAGTCTATTTTCAACCAAAACACCCTCTGACATTACTCCCCACATTTTAAACTCCAACACATAATACGCCCTACGCGATCATGATCAAATCAGCTTGTTGTCATTATAAGAAGAAACTTGAATCTTCCATTGAAAATAATACTCTTGCCTTCTACAAAGTAGTATAGGTTTTTCGAAAGACGGAAGTCTACATTAGTTTTGTGAATGCCCTTGTCAGACTGACAAAAACAAAAAACATGAAATGTCAATTATCTCGTTGGATGGAATTTGAGATATTATTTTATTGCACTAGCCTTGCGTGCAGGTGCTGTGGGAGTTTCCACACCTATTGGAATACAGTGGTGGATCCTGCTGTATCGTTAATGGACTCTAATGTAGGCCTGGTCTAAAGAAATGTAAAATATCTTTGTCTTACGCGCTGTTTTATTTCAGAAAAGTTATATTGTGATTTGCGCGGGAAGCCAAAAGAAACATTACTACTAGGCGTAAAAAATGTCCTACTTTTGATCCTAAATAACTCTGTTATTAACCAATGGAATTAAGCCATCATTTCAGATCGTGCAAACAAAACATGACAAATTTTATGCAGCGAAATTTATCAGCTTTGTGCAAGAGGGTGAGATTTAAACGCCATAAATACTTACTTTCAGATTGTCGATACAGTACGATTGTCGAGACGGTGGCGGATGGCGCGTGCTGCGGCTGAAAGATTCTAAAGAAATGTTGTCATTGCACACCTCCTCGATGTGTTGTCCCAAGCGATCGAGGAGGTGTGCAATGACATCAGGGGTGATCCTGCATTCCTACAGAATCTCTCGGCCAGCGTGTTTTTTCGTGTGGCGTTTAAATCTCACCCTCTTGCACAAAGCTAATGAAACTCGCTCCATAAAATTTGTCATGCCTTGTTTCCATCATCTGAAATTTTGGTCTAATTTAATTGGTAAACAATTTTGACAGTATCATTAGACATACACCAACATGCATCACAACCGCACAAAATACACGTGTGATTATGATCTTCACTTCACTCCTTGAAGGTCGAGTGCCTCATGTAAAAGCCAAATATTAAATAACCCGTACTTATACCTTGGCGAAAAAAATTGAGGCTGAGAAGTGTCGAGCAGATCCGTGACAAGGCAACTTACCGAAGAGGAAGACTCCAAGAATGCAGAAGTTGGCCATTATGATGTGAGTTTGCTTCTCCGTGGAAAGTGAGGCAATTCGCTTCATGCAAGCAACTTATATACAGTTGGAGGATGCCAGCACGTGCCATCATCTGTTATCTGTATGTGTCCGTATGCTACAATTGACAGTTGTGTGGTAATATAAGTTACCTGTCAATCTTCGCCTATAATATAGGACCAAGTTGAGAGACAGGACCAAGTCTATGGCGTGGGAAACTGTTCAGTTTGAATGTGAAACTCCCAACGACCTATACCAATGTGGAACAAGAACAAACAATTAAATTAGTTATTCATTCCTTTCCCTCCCGACGGGCTTTTATCAAAGCTTTATTCCCCGCTCTATTTCCAAATTTCACCCCGGAGAAATTCCTTTTCTAAATTATCTTCTTCTTCTTTTTCTAGCAATACAAAACTTATTCATTTTTGAATGAGACATCGACCGAAAGTAAGTTCGTCTTTGGCAGCTTACTTCTTCAAAAACTTTCCATGTGTCCCGTGCCTGTTTTTCCTGACAGACTCAAAGACAGATGCAGCGCCCCAAACCCGTGTAAGAATCAAATACTGTCAGGGCTTCTGGTATTTCTGGATTTGGTTGGTGCAAAACACCATGATCTTTATATGCCATTTTCTAGTGAAGAGAGGGGGATAGTGAGGTAGACAGATACATCGAATTGGAGGCGAGTGCATCTTGTCATGAACTGATCCGCTGAAAGTGGCGACGCAACGGGCGAGTAAAGGGGGGGGGGAGTAGTGGTGCCCCAATTGTCGTCCTTTCCTCAGTCCCCTCCCCCCCCCCCTCCCCCCAGAAAATAAAACGAAGAAGAAGAAGAGAAATGAAAAGTAAAAGAAAAGGTAAACAAGAAAAGAATGGACTCGGAGTCAATATTTTACTGAACATTTGAAGACTAAAAACCCTTGGAAATGGCCATAAAATGCGACAATGATTGGTTAGAACACAGCGCACCAAGCGTCAAATGATTTCCAGCCCCCCCCCCCTGCCCCCGGCCCCACCCCTTAAAAAAATTGCCCGTAAATGTAACAATCTGGTGCCGTCACTGTCTGCTGTGTATTTGTGATTATGAGATCACTCTGGAATTTAGATGAATATGATAATAGAGGAACTTGTACATGTACAACCTTTGGCTGTAAATTGTAGCGTTACCAAATGATGTCATATAGGTAATCGGCCAATCAACATTGTAAGAAATCGGCCACAAAAAAATGAAAATTACAATTGTGGGCACAATGAGTACGCCCCTCATTTTCAAAAATGGCTGCCACGCCTCTAAAAGGTTGAGTTCGCGATGGTTCCGCATCTGAATTAGTTTTCTTTCACGAATAATATACGTCTGTAATTTAGTGCTTTTATAAAAGATAGGCACAATTTTCCAGGGTGGGCATAATACCTCTACCAATTTTTAAAATGAATGCTTCACATCTGAAAAAAATAATCATGAATAATTATGTCTGGGTAAAAGTGTAATTCGTTTATGAAAGGTAGGCACAATTTTGTTTTGCTGGGCATCATGACTACCCCGCCCCCTTTTTTATTATGGCTGCCACACCCCTAAAAGGGTGATTTTGAGATGGTTCCACATCTGGAAATGTTGTCCTTACGAATATAAACGTCTGTGTGAAGTTTCATTCGTTAAAGAAATGTGGGCACCATTTTTCCCATGTTAGTTTGGCATGACAACCCCACCCCCATTTTTTAATATGGTTGCCACGCCCCTAAAAAGGTGAGATGGCACCGCATCTGGAAATGTTTTCCCATGAATATAAATGTCTGTGGGAAGTTTCATTCGGCACAAATTGTCCATGGTGGGCATAATGAGAGCACCCCCCCCCCCTTTTAAATGGCTGCCACGCCTCTAAACGCGTGCTTTTGCGACATCTGAAAATGAAAATTCTCATGAATATACACGTACATGTCTGTTTCAAGTTTCATGCTTTCCGAAAGGTGGGAAGTGTTTTCACGGTCGGCATAACGAGGTACCCCCTTTTTTAATAGGCTGCCACGCCCCTAAAAGTGTGACTTCGCGATGTCTCCTTTTATGAAAAAGTGCACAATTCATTTTGTCACATATCCGCTGGACTAATATTTACCTCTCTCAAACTCAATTTTAGTTCTGCCCCCACTTTTCTGTATGCCAGAAAGTTGAGTGGCATTCGCTTTTAAAGATAAATCGATTCCTGATGAGAAACACTGCACGTGGTTGAAACTGTCCTGTCGAATTCTGAAAGTCAAGTGGAAGGTAATTAATTGTTTGTCTGTTGCAACAATGCAACAGATAGTTTTTATAATTAATCAAATCAGAGGGTTTACGCCCAGAAAGTCTTATCATGTCGTACAGCGGTAATTGATTATTTTGGCAGCATTGTATCTGTTGAAACTGTTTGTAAACGAAAAATGTTAGATATGAATACATTTTAGGCAAATCGATCATAAATTATTGTAAATATTTACACCAATTTGTCTGTCAAGTGGCAATGTCGTCGCTTGTTCAAATGTACATGACTGTTCGTTATCCCACTATGTTAACTTTATCAGAGTAGAAAGTGCATCAAACTCACAGGCCAACCAAACTTATTTCTTTTCATGTGCAGAGAGCAGATGGGGGTGTAGGAAGGAATTAATGCAGAAATAGACGTATTGAATTTAAAGTGAAGAAAACAGTTCCTCAATAACGTTAAAACACAAACAAAAACAGGATGAAGAAACACCGTCTCGCTTTTTGGATATTCGGCCGGTTGAAATTTGGGTGTCAAGATATCACACACATTGGCCCCTGGGGGCTCAGATAGATAAATGAAGGGTCCTGGCAGGCGCGGTTCTAGAGCTTTTTTTGGGGGGGGGGGGGGCTAGCAGTAGCAGGGTGGATCCAGAATTTTTTTCAGGCAGGCGTGCTAAAATGTAGACCGGTTATTTTCTCCGGACACTTAGGCCTCCGAAAATCGATAGGAGGGGGGGGGGGGGGGGGGGGGGGGCGGTCGTGCCACATTTTCAATGGAGACCGCTGATAAATCCTTCAATCAGGCACACTATATTAACTAAAAGTGTACAAATGCACCCTTCTCACGACTATTTATTTAGGGGGAGACCGTTCGCATGTACGTCACATTCTTACATTTTGCTATAGTGCAATTTTTGTTTATGGATTTTTTTTTAGGGGGGGGGCCTAGACAAAATTAAGGGGGGCTAGCGCCCCCCCCCCCCCCTCCCGTAAAACCGCCACTGGGTCCCGGCTCTAAACCGGTCTCTGAACTTGTATTTCTGGGGGGAAATTGGGATGACAATGGAGCTGAAAGTCGCTCTATTTTACAATGGGGTGGAAGGATCGATCGTCTTTCAAAATAGTGACGAGTTTCAGGATTGCTTTTAGGGGTGATCATCTTTTGGGGGGGGGGGGTTAACCCCCCCCCCCCAAAAAAATACAAAAAAACACACACACACAAAAATAGAAAGAGGGTAAATTAAATATAGCTCCAAGACATTATGACGTAACCCTATGTTAAATTTGCACTCTTTTACGGGGCCGGGAGCCAGGTGGGGCCGGGAGCCAGGTAGGAACGAGGGCTGACGCCCCCCCCCCCCCAAGAAAGAGCACTTGAAAAAAATTAAAATCATTACATCCCAGGTTTATTATTCACTTAAATGATGCTGATTGATCACCGAGAAACGTCTTATTTTTGGAGTACCATAAAGAGAGCTCACCAAGGGGTCATCAGGGGACGCGACTCTCTCCCACCCTTAGTTTTTTTATGACAATCGGCTGTGAAATTTTTAAGAGGGTGTTTGTCAACCAGAATGACAATCACAAATAAATCTGTATGCTTGCAAAGCTTTTGGTTTTTATTCACATCTCAAACTTGTATGTAATTTAACTGGAAAAAAAATACACTTTAGCTTCAAACATCAATCAATTAGACAAAACAGACAAATATGATTCACACTCAATAAGAAACCGGTGGTTAACCTTGTTAACATCCATTTTTCAAAACCCTTGTGTTTAACTTCAGCAAACTAGAAGAAAATAGAAGAATACGTGTATATTAAACATCAGAATACTGTTTATAAAAAAACAAATACAGTTCTTGTAAAAAGAAATTGGAATGTTTAAAATTCATTGCACTAGCTCCTTAGCGTAATAATTAAGGGCATTCCTGGTCAACTGTGGTACATGTACATATTCAGCCACTTTTAACAGTAAAAAAACTTCAACTCATCATCCAATATCGAAGGGATGGAGAACCCTTAACCAAAGCTACACAGCATCTCCACGCATGGCTACCCTGTTAAATGGTTACATGTATTTTTAGATAATAGTGTTACACTTACGTACATGACTTACTTTCCATGCTACAACAAATTCATGTTTTTCTCCTCATAAATTTAGACAGTTTGGTGTTCTATTTTAACACCCCACCCCCCATTTAATTTTTTTTTTTAATTTTGGTTTCTGCAACCCTCTGAACAAAAAGATTTCATTTCGGGTTGGTTTTGGGCTCAAATAGACCACCCTGCTTGTAGACTGGTTGCTGCTCCCCGATATTATCAATTATGAAATGGGCAGCAGGGATTTGGTAACCAGACTACCAGTCGAGACCTGAAATACACAAAATGTGTATGTATTGTCAGGCTGCAAGTAATGAAAAATGTAAAGTACTCATTCCATAACTTAATATGGACCGATTTGTGTGGGTTAATGTCTCATTCAAAAGTGTATTGCTAGAAAAAATAGCGATATCGCAATTTTTTTTTGGGGGGGGTGGGGGTTACCCTTGCAAATAACATGAACAGTGCATTTTTAAAAGGTATGTATGTACTTTTTCTGATGAAAAATTGGGGTCAACTGGCCACTTAGCATTTCAAAAATTGATTTAAGAATACACAAAAAAATCCTTAGTACCAATACTAATGTTTCAAATTGGTGCTTACTTGCATTTGTTTAAAGGTATGTTGAAAGTCAAAGGTAGAAAGTAATGCTGCATGCCAACTCTATCTGCACCTCAAAAATCCATCTTTTTTTCTTGGTTGAATTTCATGCACATACCCCTTTAATGTGATTTTTTAAACCCAGTTTAAGAGGTGATTACTTTACTCAAATTTAGGGTCTGTAATTATCACATGTACTGTATTTGACCGTAATTCAACTTTCAAACATGTGTACATATAGCAAATGACATTTAATATTAAAAACATCAACACAATTAACAGTGAAAAGGGATGAGTGGTTTTATAACTCTTGTATTGCTTAAATAAATCTCTAAACCTCTAGTAGATCCTCAGGACTACCCTGCTAAATCCAACAGTGTCCAACCGGACTTTCCTGCTCAATCCACTGTGCCTCATTTTCAGTTGTCTGCTGGATCCAACAGAGTCCAACTTGGCGTTATAATGCTGTTCAGTTGCCTGCTGAATCCAACATTGTGCATCAAGAATGTACACATGGGGTTTACTGCTCAATCCAACAGGCTCCATCGGGTATATGATATGGGCTCCGTGCGCCAATAAAAGAGGGCGCCCTTTTACCTAGCAATGACGCCCCATGGGCAGGACACATACATTTCGCTGGATGACGTGTGTGCACCATTCCTTGTGTGTGACGCACGTACACCAGGGGATTTGTACTATGTACACGCAGTGGCCGCGCTTCGTGGCAAAATATTGCAGTCAGGCAAGATGGCGTCATTCGGTCACCCCCAACTGTACTTTCTTTGCCGGTGAGGGGTACTTGTGAACGGAGTGGAAAGTTGGATCCTGTTGGATTCAGCTGGGTTAGGGTTAAGGCCGGTTCAAACTCGTCCCAAAAGCGAAAAGGAATGCAAATAAGTGACCTCCGGGCAAGTTTTTGCACTACAAATTCGCAAAATTTGAACATATTTCAACTCCAGAGAATTTCACAGCAAATGCTTTGTGACATCAAATTCTCTTCGCAGTCACATGAAGTATGAATTGGTCTTTAGTCTGACAAGTTCTACAATCTAATCCACATGCATTCACATTTTGGTATGGAAAGCACTAGACACCTGACAAAGACAAATAATATAGCAAACAATGAATGCTAAATATATTGCCAAGAGACTGCAGTGTCATTGATTCATTGGAAAACAACTGCTTTGGTCATCTATCGACAAGTGAATACACATACCCACACACCCATATCTTTCTAAACACCAGCAATCGTGGACCCCACCCCCCCATTGTCCCTAATCCTCATTCCTTGTTTGTACTCTTTTTAACAACAGCTCTCATTGGTTTTGTACACAAATTTCAATCGTGGACGTTTGATCAATCGTGGACGTATTGTTTGTGCCCTACCTTTTGTCCTAGGTCCACGACTGCTGGTGTTTACATACTCACACATTCTTGTTCCATAGTTGTGGGAACATACACTTGTCATCACGAGGTATTTGTGGGGACTGAAAATGCTGTGGGGACAGCAAGTCCCAATAACTCGGTCCTAATTTGCCTAATAAAAAACTTCCCCATAACGCAGTGTAGGCCTACCCACACACACAAGTGGGTATCTGCCTGCAATCGGGGACCCCCTATTGTCTCTCTTTTGTTTGTACTCATTAACTTTCTAGGAAGACCTCCCATACGCTTTGTACACGATCGTCAATTGTGGACTTTCTGTCAATCGTGGACCCTATTGTGCTCTATTGTTCAACGTCCACAATGTGAATGTGTATCATACATGTACACAAAAGCACTGCAAGTGATCCACATAGGAGTAAACTCATCCCCCCCCCCCCCCCCCCACCCACACGCACACAAAAGTAGTTTATATTAAAGCAGCCTGATTTGTATGAGCCTGATTTAGGAAGAGTAACTCGTCTTAACTCGCCCCAGGATCAATTTCACCAAATTTAAGATGCGTTCAACACATCTGAACTTCCTTAGCAATGCTGCTGAACTCCTCTTCAATTAAGCCTTATTAAGTGCAACTCATCATTTCTTGTAAAAATCACATTCATATTACAAAGCTGTAGTGACATCCACTGTCATAAGCTAATAATGAACTGTTTGAAGGGCATATGACATTACTGTCCACAGAATCAAACAACATATCCCCTAAAAGCCAACCAAATACAGATAAATACGCAAAGAACTCCAAACACACCTCACTTCTGTCATGTTCATTTAGAATGAAAATCTGTCGTTCCATTCAGGTCTTTGTTTGGACTCAGCTGACTGTGTTCCTCTTGACCTGGAATGACCCAATGATGACGACAGTCGCTGACTACCCTAAAAGTCATAACAAAGATATAGAAAGATAGAATTACATGTATTAGCAAGAAAACCAGTAAAAGCTGACATCAGTGTAAAATGGCCCGACAGAACTTCAGATTCCCGAATCTTGTCTCAGGGCTCAGAAAGATGAAAGAGGACCCAGGCAATGGGGGGGGAGGCCGGGGGGGGGGGGGGGGGGGGGGAGGGGGGGGGGGGGGAGGGGGGGGGCGGGGTGTTATCCAAAAACTTTTTTGAAGGAATACAGAGCAATTGAAAAAAAAACATGTGGTTTTACTTCAGAAATATTTAGCCATTATGTTGGTTGAAGTGAACATTTTCAACCATCAGGAAAACAATAACTATCATTCACTGGTGCCATTTTATACCGTAATTTGTGTTCTTTACAAAAGTAATAAAAGCTGATAAGATTAAAGTTACACATACATCAGCACTGTGGGTCTTCCTCTGCATTGCACTAGATGTTTTGCTGGTCTTCATCTTCTGAGACCCTCCTCCAATCTCAACTGAATTGTAGATGCGTCGCTGTGTGACGGACAGTCCTTTCTTTGGATTGATGGGTGGTAGTGATGCACTGACAGCATCCCCTCTCCTACCTACATCGTTAGCTGGTCTGCGCTTTGAATTCCTCATCCCATCCCTCCCCTTCCTTTCTTCCAGCTCCTGCCTCCTCAACTCCTCCTTGAGTCTCTTGTTCAGCTCTAGTGCATCACTGAGCAGTGATGCTGTCTCTTCTTCAGTCAATTCAACATGCTCCAACTCGCTACAAATGGAGTCAATGTCATCCACAGGACTGGCTGCAGTCAAGTGTTCGCAGGGCCCAGCAACCTGTTCAAGGTTCTGTTGATGAGCATCCATCACTGCTACTTAGTGCTAGGGCGTTGCTCATGCATTTTCCTATACAGGATAAAATTAAACAAAATTTCTTTGGCTCATTCAATTGTGTGGGCGGCCATGAGGTAATGACTGCTGGATCTGTGCTGACACTCTATCGCCGAAATACAGAAAGCCACTCTAATTTTGTAAAATAGTTTTCTTAACTCTCAAGCTTCATACATATTTTAATCATATTGTTCTACTTATTTAAGTTGATTTTATTTTCTTCTTCGTTATCCGTGGCTTTGGGCATGTTGGAAGAAAGTTTTTAATTAGCCTAAAAAAATGACAGCCATTCAGTTGAATGGTAGTCTGGTTCCAACAGCCAAAAGTCCTGATGTTGAACCTAGGCTAGGTCAGGGAGCCAGATGGTTGACAATAACTGTTAGCATTGCATTGGTTAATAAAAATTGCATTGGAATAATAATTCATTAATTGCCTATAATTCAAGCAAAAAATCAGTCGGAAAGATTCCCATATCTGGCAATCACTAATTTTTCCCTTCAGTGACCTATCAGCCATGTCAGCCATTAGAAAGTGTTAATGTGTCCTGAAAAGTCAAATTTAGCAGCGAAAATATTGAAGTATTTACTGACACTGACAGACTGAGAAAACACTTAGAAAACAGTTCAGACCAGTCTCATGTTCTCTCATACAGTTTGTGCACAGGTGACAAGTGATGGCCAGATATGGGAATCTTTTCAATCAGTCAACTGCTACAACCGCCCTCAAGTTAAAACTGTTCACGGGAGAAAGGGTTGTATCATACCCAATTATAGAATTTGAAGATCAACCTGGATCCAACTCTGCATGCTATCAGGCTATGCATGCAGCGCCAGCAGTGACCAAAGATCCGCAACTAATTCTGACGGCTTCTCCACTCGTCGTAGTAATAGTATTACGTACGTACGTATACGCGCAATTTCAACCTCGTTAACATGTTCAGTGTACACCGACTTTTACCGCATTTCTCTACAACGACCCTGAAAGAAAGGATGTGCACCTGCAGAAGACTGGTGTATTGTAAAATTTTGACTCTCTGAAATACGGACTCTTAGTTGTTTGCGCATGCCTACGTGCAGACCCATGTGGCGCAAAAACTTCTTTTCGAATTGTTTGGTTTTCGAAAAAGGAGATACCGCCCCAGTTAGGCCAAAAAAAAAAAAATCGGTCTCTGGTCAGACCAAAGATCCGGAATTGACGCGGCCACGCGGCTTTTTTTTTTTTTTTTTTGGCTTTTTTTTCTTCTTCAAGCTTGGATTGTACAGACAAGGTGGGTCCTATTTGCTTTTTTGGTGTCCTCGTGTACATTAGTGACCTCCTTAATTTGCCTTGGTGCTTTCGATCATTTGCCTTGGTGCAATTTCCCATTCCTTGGTGCTCTTTGGTAAAAAAAAATTGAGGAGGTGCGGAAATAGAGGGCGCTGTTGGAGCGTGACCGCGGAACATTTTGAAGAAAAAAAAAAGATCGACGCGCATGATTAAAATCGACGCGCGCGCTGACCAGAGACCGACTAATTTTTTTTTTTGGCCTTACTAAGGAAAATAATTCGGAAAGCTGTGACAGGTCACGCGTGAGTGTTTCAGAGTCCATTATTTTTATTCATAAATACCTCAGACAGTTTAGCCATTCCTATTGGTCGAGAGCCCGTCACGTGGCCGGTATTAAACGGATGATAAAGACATGGCTAGCTGGTCTTAAACACTTTTCCAGTGTCACAATAAAATGTGGACTCCTACAAATCCAGTGCCTCTTATCGTTTCATTGGTTGAACGTTCACAATCCTCACGTAGGCATGCGCAACACTACCAGGTAGTTAGAATTTTATAGTTCTAAATTCAAAACGCAACGCGCCAGGTGCGTTCTGCGCGACATCGCGTAGAACATGATACGCGCGCGTCAATCTCCATAAAAGGGTTGTTTTCATCTTACTCGCCAGCTGAACACTCCATTATTTTGCAGGAGGGATGCTTCAAAAAGCATAAAGTGAATTTGTTGAACAAAATCGGGATGTTTTGAACGAATTATATGATTTTTTTTTACCGAAAAGGTATTTATGAATGGGAATAAATATGTACTCCGTCGGTATTTATCACTCTGTTTAATACCACTTAGAGTCTGGGTGCTGATAATTACCCTCGCCTCCGGCTCGGGTAATTATCAGCACCCAGACTCTAAGTGGTATTAAACAGAGTGATAAAAACCTCCGGAGCACACATTTATTCCCTTATTAAAAGCGCTAGGGACAAGGTTTTTAATTTAAGGAGTCCAAATTTATATGACACCTAAAACATGGCGTCGTCCAGTCGTTTTCGAACGTGATACAATAAGTCAAAGATTTTCCTGTTGAGTTGTTTTATGTCCACGTTGGAAGTTTGTTTACACTTGCAGTGATCATCATCATGGGAAGATCAGGAAAGAGGAAAGAAATGTCGCGTTCAAGGTCCAGAGAAAGGAAGAAACAACGGGACAAAAAGCATAAGACTAAGAGCCGCAGGTAGGTTGCCCAGTTTCCGGACACAGTTGGTTGCGTTGTACAACTTGTAGTTTATGTAGGCTACTACTGGCCTATCGGAAAATATATTGCATTTGCAACCTGTCGCCACTTTTTTCTTCTGGCATCTCAATGAAGGTCATTCAGTGCTGAAATAATGATAAGACATGGATCTGGGACTGAGAAACATTTCCAATTTTGCTTGTTAATTCAATGTTATCTGGTTATGCATTTTCCAATTGCATAACCGATAACAACATTAACAATTAAAAAGTTCCCCATAACGTGGTGACAGCCCGCCAACACATGCTAACTTGTAAACTTGAAAACTAATACACACAAAAATGTGTACACGTGTTTGTTTATGGTGTACATCGAGGACACACACATGCAACATCTTCGATGAATCGAGTACTGAAACGGAATTTAGGACTCCTCGGTTGGAAAATGTGTATAAAACCAATGAGAGCTGTTGCGAAAAAAAAATAGAGTACAAACAAAGGAAGAGGAACATAAGAAAATCCTCGATTTACACCATAAACAAAAGTGTGTGTAGGCCTACTTGTTTATGTGTACATTGTATTGGAATAATAGAACGAGTACATTTTGAAATATCTTGTTTATTTATTGTGACTAGGTTCGACTTCAAATTACTGAGTCCGTATTTTTTCTTCCATTCTAATTCACACACCAGTGATGATTGAGAGTAAGTGGAACCTGGCAAATAAAACCATTGACTTCATTTAATGAAAAACAAATTAGCTTCATTGAATTGGCACATGTTTTGATGTTTCAATTCATACTGTGAAAGATGTCCGCCTTCCACACATACAGTTTGGCATTCATACAAAGTGGCATGTGTACAAGCGTATTGTGTATGAGTTAGCATGATTACAAATTGAGATTGGAGAAGCAAACTTCCTCCTAGGTCGTCTATGTGACATACTGCTTGATGCTATTCACGTAGGGATGAGGTTGGTATTTTCAAGCATGGTCTGAGTTTCTCAGACATAGACAGTGTACAATGTAACTCTGACATGGTCTCAGTTACTCAGGTTTTTACTATTGATCCTGCGAACAAACTTATTATTTTGCTGAACTGTCTTCATCCATCAGATCACACTCTGACTCCAGCAGTAGTGAAAGCAGCAGTGATGATGGCCACAGACATCGGCATCAAAGACACCAAGAACTCCACCGCCATTCCAGAGACAGAGACAGGTCCAGGTCCAGATCCCCTTCCAGATCAAGACACAGAGAGAAGCATCACAAGCACAGACGAAGAGCAAGGTCCCACTCTAGGTCCAGGTCACCTATCCGTGGACGGAGAGATGCAGGATATGATGAGGAACACCGTGAGCCAAGGCAAAGGCCATTGACCAAGGAGGAGAAAAAGTAAGAGCACAAGATCATTAATTCAGCTAGCATGTAGCCACATAGAATAGCTCCCTAACAGTGGGGATCTACATGTAGATCAGTCAAAGTAGGCCGCCCAGTCAGCAGATCATCCATGCTGGAAAGTACATGTAGCCAGGATTCCCCCCCCCCCCCCCCCCCCCCCCCAGTCACCTGGCTGCTGCGAAATTACAAATTGGGGCAGCTGGGCACCACCTTACTATATGGGGCGCTATTCAAAGCACTTCTCCTTCTTTTTCGTTTTCCCTTTCATTTTTTTCCCACTCACAAGTGCCAGACACTGGGTAGTAGGGTCATGCCTACCCCCTCCCCCTTGTGCCTGCCACTGCTCCTGAATGTTTGTCCTTGGCAGGATGACCTGAAATATATGTGGGAAATGAGTAAAGGTGACGTAAGAAAAATCAGCAATAAGCCAACTCTGTAAGAACCATTATGGCTTTGTTGTCTTGGAGACACCTGAACACTTATGTATCCCGAATGGCCATTGACCATTTGACCTGCTAACTTAACACATATGGTTTGCTCCATGCCAACTGTCCCAAAGGTTGTCAATGACGTGGAGCTTGCAGCTAAAGTATCACAACCATTGTTTACTTTCTAATTAGGTACAGGAAGCAAACCGTGTAAAATCTATTTCAAACAATGGATTTGATCGATAACAAAAATTCTTTGTATTACACCTTAGGCAAAAGAAAGAGCTAGTTAAGCTGACCGAGACTGTAGAACAGAAAAGATCCCGGCGACTGGCCAAGAAACTAGCCAAGGATCGTAAACGCAAGGAAGAGATGGGATGGGATGAAGAAATGATGGTAAGAATTAATAGTTGTGTATAATTTTGAATTTCATTTTTCTCTTATCTTCAAAGGGCACAAGATTTTACGTGATGCAACTTTCTGTATTTGATTTGTAATGCTGCAAAATATACCATTGTTTTGCTGATTGAACTAATGTTGATTTTGTGGACAGTTTGGAAACCACACTTGTAAATGTAAGTTGTAACCATGGTTTGTAAATGACAGGCAAACATTGCAGCAGACTTTGCATTGAAAAAATACAACCGTGAACATCTCTGTGCATTCGCAAGCATTAGGTTCAGATCAGATCATGAAATACGCACACGTATGCAAAAGGATAGCATGGCTTTCTTCAACACAAACATGACACAAACATGACAAAGTATTTCAGGATCTGCTGATTTCCTGGTTTTTTACTTCTCATGAATGCCATTACAAATTGGAAAATATTGTACCAAGTCTTGTGTGGTTTTGAGTTTCCTCGTTTTTTTTTCTGAATTCCAGTTGCATGCCTGGTATTTACTTTGCTAAAACTGGCTGTACATGTAGTTCCCAAATTCTGCATATAATGGAACAGAGCATGCTGTTCAAAAATCATGATATGTGATATTTTGTAAAATCCAACACAAGTTAACAATTACATTTCTTTGTGTTGGGTCATTCCACAAATTTGGGGTCCAATTTTTGTGTCCCTAATGTTTTACATCTGACATGTACATGTATAAGATTTTGTAATTCATGACACATTCTTTGATGCCTTCTGTCTCCAAGAGTGATTATGTAAAAGCACACTACCTGCCAAACAAATACAAAATAGTGTAAAGTCAATGTGAATGCTACGTGAATGGCAGATTGCACAGGTCAGGTGTAACAGTGACATTTGAACTAAAGCAAGTGTTTGTCAGAATTTTGTGAAAATCATCAATAATGGTAGGCCCTAATTCCCCAAGACATTTGCACAGATAATCATTGCCAAGTGTGCCATCCTCTCAACAAGTTTTGCTATGTTTTTTTGCCAGGGTTATACTAATGCTGATAATCCCTTTGGTGATCCCAACCTCTTGGACACATTTGTATGGCACAAGGTAAGCTCTCTCATTTCATTAGTTTCCTATGTGTGTAGTGTATCTTCATTCAATTTTGCATCAACAATGCCGGGATAATTCCAGCAGTTTAAATAAAAGGTAGAGTAGATCATTTGTCAATTTGTGCATTTGTTTCGTTTGAAGCAACAAAAGTGCTCAAAATCTAAAGACGGGTGCTTAACAACTAACCTAGTGAAGTTTAGCTCAGTGAATGCTGTATATTCCAAGAAAACAAATTCTAGGATCTCGATTTCAATTCAAAAGTCGCCGAGTCATATTTTGAATTGCACCTAAAATCAGCATCTGGAACATGTTCTAATTCAGCTGATTGCAGCTACATGTACGCGATGTCATGCACTGAACCGACGAATAATAGCAACCGTGCCCGCGTGTGCGTTGTGTCAACGCTTGTGAGCACCCATTCACAGATTCGCCCAATTACAAGACAATTTCTAATGGAAATTTCCAAAAATGCAACACTTGACTCATCTTCGGAAATGACCTTCCTTTATTGTTTCCTTTAAAATGAGCATGCCAGAAGGAATTATTTCACAGTTTATTGCCATTACTATCTTTTAACTAAGTTAGCTTGTTAACAAATACTTTTTGGATAGCTGCACATGTCAACGCTATGTTTAAGCTTCATGAAAGTAATCTATTTCCATTCTATACCATGTTATTCTATATCAGTTATTTTCCTGTCATGACTCTTGACTGCCATATTCTTGGGCTGTATTACTGCTTATTGTGACTTGAGTAAGATTTCTACATTATAAAGCCACATCGGGTTATTTGAAATAACCAGAAAAGTACCTACAGATGTTAATGACAGAAACTTTGCTCAAAGTGAAGATTAAAAATGGTACTATCATATATACATGTACATTTGTACTAGGGCTGTCCCGAATATTCGAATAGCTTTTTGCCGATTTCCAACTATTCGAAAAACAAAAAGTACGCATATAAACCCAGGACTGTGATGTTATTTTATCGTGAAGTTGCTGCGCTTAAGTTGCTGGTAACTTTTTTTGTCCACAGCGGTTCGTCGTTCACATCATTTATAGGACGTTAAAGGCAAAGCCCTTGACAATTACAAAATACTTGCTGCAAAACACTCATGCGCCCAATATCGATTGCCACATACAAATGTTAACTGCCACTCTCTTCGTGCAATGTTTTACCGGCGCAGCACGCAGTTGCAGCTGGCAGTTTCAAACATCCGAATATTCGGTCCTACGCAGTTTTGAGTAATTGAATACTTAAAGCTATAGTCCATCATTTGCAGCCATCCGAAAAGTAACTGGCATAATTATTGTTGAAATAACATACTTGGTTGAAAGATAGTAAGTGGACTAAATTCCCTGTGAAATTATTCTTTCTGGCAATCTGTCATTTTTAAGTAATCAACGAAAGCAGTCTTTCCAACGGTGCGTCTTAAGACGCACCGTAGGAAATTTAAATTAGTAGTTCGTTTTGTTATTCGGCGAAGCGCGCGCAAGCATTGGCACGACGCACACATGCGTGCGGTTGCTATAATTCGTCGGATCAGTGCGCGACATCGTGTATACATGTAGCTGCAATTCAAAACAATTCAAAACATGATTTAGCAACTTTTGATTTGAAATTGAGATCCTAGAATGTTGTTTTTCTCGGAATATACAGCTGAAGCTGAGCTGAAACTTCATCAGGTTAGTTGTTCAGTATCCTTCATTAGATTTTGAACACTTTTGTTGCTTCAAACGAACAAAATGCACAAATTACAAATGATGGACTATATCTTTAATTATTCGAAAATGGACAGCCCTAATTGGTACTATAAATGTGTTCTCCATGATCCTACATGGACGCACCTTAAAGTGACACAGTGCATAGAGGCTTCTGACTGTTGGAACCCAACTTAAATCACAAGTGAGTGTATTACAGAGGTTGCCATTGTGACTCTTACGTCACTGAATTATTGCTGACTTACATTGAAGCCCATTCAGTCAGAATCAGCTTAAGGTCAAGTCTAAACGTATTCATTGATTTGTGTGTGTTTTTTTTCAGAAAAATGAAACCGATGGACTAGGGGGACTGGAGCATGAGCACTTGAAGGGAATGATGAAGGGCAAACAAGTGGAGAACAGGGTAGGCTACAGCTTGTATCATTGTTGTCAAATTGCCTGATTGGTACCGTCATACAGATAGTGCATTAATGTAGAACTAAATACTGGGCTTTGGGGTATCTGTGGGGTATCTTGACACCTTGTCCCACATGTACTGAAAGCAAATATACCCACAATTATTGAATCTTTAATTAAACAGGCAATAACTCAAGGTTCACCACAAGTTTCTACGATGTTTGGGGAATACTTCAGTGTTCAACTTCAAGTTACCGCTAATTTAATTTTGCATTCTTTTCTAAATTGTTTTGTACACTTCCAACATTAAGCCAGTTTGGTATATCAATGAAGTAGTCCATGTCGAAGGTCATTCGGGATAAAATCGCGGACAGGATGATATGTGATGTTACGCGGACGCCCATTCTGCTTGTAATTAACACACAAGCTTCGTGCGCCTGGGTCCGTGCGCATTCATGCGCCTTCGATGAGCGTTCGATTATCCCGAATGACCCGTGACCAATATCATTCTGCGCATGCGCAGTTGAAATACCCAACTGGCTTGTATTGCCTTGCACACAAATCTTGACCTCCTTGTCTCCATCTGTGATTGATTCCATCCTTTGCTTCTTGTTTTTCTTAATTCAGCTTGAACTTCAAAAAGTAAAGCAGCGCAGAATAGAGCGAGAGAAAGAAAGAGAACAGAGGGAAAAAGAACTGGTAAGGACAAAGGAATGCAGTCTGTAATTATTTTGCAAATTGTTCGTGTGGAAAGTGAATGGAATATTCGCACCACATGCGTATTTTTCGACCGGAATTCATTTGTTTGTGCCACCGAAAATAATATAAGCCTCTCAAAGTGATGTAGCGCTGTGGTCCAATGGTTACAGTGTTGGACTGGTGCCGTAATACGTGGTTTTGAATCCTGACGGGGAACATGAGGCTTGTGTTGTTGGGCAAGACACTTTACCACAATTGCCTCTCTCCACCCAGGAGTGTAAATGGGTACCTGTAAAGGTAGAGACTGATCTTGAGCTGCTGCAGAAACTGGTTTCATGGCCTGATGAACAGGGGTAATAATTGTGAAGCACTTGAGACCTTTGGTATAAAGTGCTGTATAAGCACAACATAAATGCTTATAAAAATTGCCTTAATTATTAAAGTAAAAAATAATAACGGTCAACGATACTTGAAAGTAATGGAGAATTTAAGTCGTGCACACCACTTTACACAACGTTAGTCATGGAGGGAAATTGGCCAACACGCACACAGTCCATATATCGCACAGTATCAGCGTGCATGACTGCACTGTGTAGCAGAACAACCATGTACATGTGATATGCACCGGCAGCAGAAAATTTGGGAAACACGATATGATGTAGTCAAAGCATAGCAAGTTAATCCTGCTTTATGTAGGCTAGGAGCTCTTAACTGTTAAAAACAGTCACTTGTTTTATTTCAACTGAAAGAACAACTTTGCACAGAATGTATGTTTGCATAGGAGGGTTAATAGTAGCATTTGCTAATACAGGAAATTTTATCTTCAAGTAAACTTGAATCCTCGATCCTGATTGGTCGATCCATGGCAACAAGCCGTGCTACATATAACCATGTAGCACGGCCACGGTCCATACCGCACTCTGCGTTTTGCGATATTCCAAGATGCGCGCGCCATTCCGTACAAACCACGCACGTGTAATAGGATAAGCACTTTGTGTACAGCGTACTACGTTTCATCTTTATTGTACGTCAAGTTTGCTTGAAGATAAATCCGTTATCACGCTCGCGCTCGTGGAACACGGAAACTGTAGTGCGTCTGTGTCCCACATACCACGAGGCTGAAGGCCGAGTGGTATGTGGGACACAGACGCACTAGATTTTTCCGTGTTCCACTCGCGCTCGCGGGATAACTAATAAATAGTAACTGAGTTTAAGAAGTTGTCAGTCAATTTGTTACTTGTCATCCTTTCTTAACATTCTTGTATCCCTCAGGAGGAACTACAGAGGATGAGAGAAGCAGAGTCATTTAAAGAATGGGAGCAACAAGAGGACAGTGTAAGCATATGGCTGGAATATTGCAGTGGAAAGACAATCAGATTATTGTGTTGAAATATACAGTAGAAAACCGCTATATATCAAACACCACCATGATCACCCTACAGAGCATTTGGATGTAATGAACATCCCATAGCTCCTTAGCGTTGGCTTTGGAAAATGGCTATAGAAATGACCACGATACTAAACAATCATTTGTGGATCCCATTGTAGTCATTTTAGTGAAGTTCTACTGAAATGTTGACAGATTATTACAAAAAATAAGGTAAAAAAATTTACAGTTGTGGTTGAGATAAAAATAAAAAACAATGTGAACTCTTTGAAAATCTAGTAGTGGAATAGTGAATATGACGAAGTGTCAATGTGAGGTATAGCAGAGAAAACATTGAATAGGAAATTAGCTTTAAAGTTAGGATAGGATACATGTCCAAAATGCACTCAAGTTTGTGTTTTTTCCTTTTTTGTTTGCAGTTCCATTTACATCAAGCAAAGCTGAGGTCCAAGATAAGAATACAAGATGGCAGAGGTAAAAATGTGTGTGAATTCACTCAAGCTGCAGCCAGTGATGTATGACCAGGGAATCTCCCTGCTATTTTGATGCACTGTTTAAAACTACCAAAAGTCCAGTCTTCCAACAAGTTGTGCTTTATAAAGAAGTTGCTCACTATGAAGTTTTGTAATTTTGATTTTAGATAAGTACAACCTGTACAAGTGATAGACACATACCAATTCTCTATTTCTGTGTAATGAATGTATGTTTTGTGTGTATTGATTTCAGCCAAGCCGATTGATTTACTGGCTCAGTACATCAGCGCTGATCCAGATGATGACCTGTCTGTTGAGATGCAGGAACCATATAACGCTCTCAGGGTAAGTGTATACTACAGGTCAAGGACAATGCCTGTAAATGCTTGTGGGGAGTATTATAACACCTCACCCACTGATTCTGTATCTTGATTGGCTGAGAGCGAGTTACATGGCATTGGCTATTTTTGCTATCTTGCTGTGCACGGCCCAAAATTACTATACTCGTAGCAACCAGAGTACTGTGCATAAGAACTGGTATTGTGTGCCAATGCATGTATAAGGGTGTGCATGTTGCACATATTGTTCCCAAGCGATCACGCTAAAGAGCTGGGTTCAATCATTTCGTTAAGGAGTAGTCTAGAAAAGTGCAAGTAAATTTTCAACTAATTTCATTTTCAAATTGAAAAACACTTTTTTTTTATTTAGAGTAAATTAATCAGTTATCGCTTAAAATCAAGCAGAATCTGTGGGAGAGGTGTTATAAAACAAATATTGACTGCTTTATCTCTTGTGTAGTAAAACTAGCCTCCCTTGGTGATCCATGGAGCATTCCGATTTTCCCGCGGCTTCACCTCAGGACAAATAGAATGTTCATGGATCACCTCGGAAGGCTTGTTTTACTAACCACTCGAAGCAGTCAATATTTGTATAATATCCTATGAAACAGGATTGATCTGATGGGCTGGATTTTATAAAGTCGTTCAGTATTATATGATGGGGGCGTTTTATCTAAAGTTCAGAATTTGTTGGAATTTATGACAATTCCAGAGAAACAAAATGCAGCAAATGAAATGTATGTTTTTGTCCTTTGATGTAGTATTCAAAAGTGTTTAGGGCATTGATTTGCATTTTAACAATTAAACTTTGAAAAATTAAACATTTGAAAAATTTTATTTGTATTAATATGACCTACCATATGACAATTCAAGTTGAGTTGAATTAAACACTGGATTTGAATGGATACGTCACATGCAAGGACTTGATTCTTCTGAAATATCAATTTATAATTACCTGCTATTGGTTGAGAGCCCGTCCCGTTGGTAGTCTTTAACCGGCTACCATTGGTTAACGTTTGCCTATTGACTCCCCCCCCCCCCTCCCTCCTCATCAGGGACTGACTATCAATGATCTGGAAGACTTGATGGAAGATATCATTGTATACAAGGAATTGGAGAAAGATAGTAACCTGGAGTTCTGGAAAGACATGACAGTCATTGCTGAGGATGAGTTGGCTAAACTCAAGAAGATCAGCCCAGAGGGACAAGGTAAGTTGCAGTACAAAGTCATCATCTCTACTTGCCTGAAAGGTGGATGCCTTCTTGCCAATGAAGTTATTAAAGACTAACCATTCTGTAAATGTTGAACGCTTTATCGCACTTCAGACTAAGTACCAAAATAAAATTGCTACGTATGTGAACCATGTTTTAACCCTTTCCTTACTATGGGCGACTTTTGTTGACAAGGAACTACCCCCTGCTTGCTCACCATAGGTGACTTTTAGTAGTCGACTAGGAAATCACACACAGAACACCCTCAACACAGATTTATTCACTGCTTTTCAGAAAGCTGGCATGTTGGTATGTTTGGCCGCCCATACATCAACCATATTCTAATGGTGTAGTTTATTGATTGTGTTACCATTACAAACATTTAAGAGAAGTGCTTCAGCAGTATCCACACGCATTTTAGGGTATGGAGTGCCATTTAGTCATGTGGTGAAATGGCTTACAGTTTGATAACTGGGACCAGATCAGCAAACAGGCATAACTGTCTTATAATTTTGCACATATGACCTTGACATTCACATCACATGAAACAGTACAGTTCAAGGAACAAAGTTTACCCACAACACATTTGATTTTAATCACTCCTTGGCAGTGAAAATGTGGGTTGAAAAAGTATAGTTTCCACTGTACTGATTTAATTTTAGAAGCACCAGATAGTTAAAGGGAAGATACAACATTTGCAAACATTAAAAAACGAAATGATCAAATTATCACGAAATACCTTACTGGATTGTTAGAGAATGACAGTCTAAAAGCATTCTGTAAAATCGTGGCTCCTGGTGTGCTGACACTTTCAAGAAAAGTTGTATTTTTCCAAAGCTGGTCGGCCGACCAGTGTAAACTGGCTTTTTTCAAAGACTGCTCCTAATTTTCATATTTAGTTATTCCGCATTTTCTTTGCAATTGATTTCACACCTTCGAAGGGGTTCAAGCATGCTAGACTGATTCTCTGACCTTACAATTCCCCAAAGTCTATAAATTGCTCCGTTTCATCTTAAGTGGGGTCAGGGAACCAGACTACAAGAACATGATTGGTTTTCTTGGTTTTCTTGGTTTTTCCAGCATCTACAAGCCCAAAACGTGAAACAAGTCAGTTTAACAATATTTGCTATAACATACTAATCCTCCAAATCCATTTATTTCTGAAAATTGCAGCAAAAGCAAATGTTGTACATTCCCTTTAAAGAAGCACATTATTTACAAGTGTACTCTTGTCAGCTTGTAAAGCAAGCTCGGAAAGACTTGTGAAGTTTTTGGCTCTCAGAAAACATTGAACACAGTTGTATAAAATGACCCGGTGAAAGGCAAAAGATACTGGAATACTACTTTGTCACTTTGTCTCAGATGGTGCTGATCGACGGGAAGGCATCAATGTATCTGTAAGTTATGAGGTGGCCTCAGTATTCAGAGGCAAGAAGCACAGTCAACTGCTGGCCTTGAAAGAACAAATCATGCGACGGATCAAGAGTGGCGATACAGGCGTGGATATTGGTAAGATCATACAATTTAGTTGTCTACTTAATGACCTGTTTTGAGTAACCCTATCTATCCTGAGCCCATAGACTTTATTCACCAGTTGGCCATATTGAATTGAAAGCGAGGTAAACTCTTCATTTTTGGAACTTGCGAGTAGAAATGAAAGCAATGAAATAAAAGTTTAGTACAATTTACTGCTAATCTGCTCTGATGAATAATTTAAAATTCGTGATTAAACATACCCTATATTTTAAGCCACATTCATGAATACCTTAGACAGTTTACCCATTCCCATTCAAGAGCCCATCACGTGGCTGATCTTAAACGGTTGATAAAGACCAGCTGGCTGATCTTAAACACTTTTCCAGTGTCACATGAAATTTGGACTCCTATGAAATCCAGTGCCTTTCACCATTTATTAGTTGAACGTTCACAATCCTCACGTAGGCATGCGCAATACTACTAGTGAGTCGGTATTTCATAGTCCTAAATTCACAACGCACTCACTACAGCTGCATCTGCGCGTCATGCGCCCGCCAATCTCCATTAAAGGAGTTGTTTATGTCTTACTCGCGAGCTGGATACTCCATTATTGTTGGAAATGTTTAAGTTTTGACATGTTTTGACTTTTGGACCGAAAAGTTTTGATTTTGTTTTACCGAAAGGTATTTATGAATGGGAATAAATTTGTGCTTGGTCGGTATTAAACACAATGTTTAAGAGTGGTTGGAGTCTGGAATGCTAATAATTACCCTCGACTTCATCCAAACTCCAACCAGTCTTAAACATAGTGTTTAACACCGACCAAGCACACATTTATTCCTTTATTTAGCAAAAATTTGAAAGTGAGGCTCGTAGTGCACGCTAATCATAAAATAGTCTGGCACCATCCCATTCGCTCATTGTAGCGTGTAGACTTAGTGATTCTTTTAAAACTTAATATGTTTCCTTTTTGGCTTGATTGTCAAATGACAGGCTATTGGGAATCACTACTGCAGCAGTTGAATGCCCACATGGCAAGGGCACGGTTAAAGGAGCAACATCAAGACAAGCTGCAAAGAAAACTGAATGCACTCAGACAACAGGTAGGAAATCAACAGCACATTGCTTTAATGCAGTACCTGTATACAGTATACATGTATTTACCCGAACGCCCTACTGTCTTTAAAGTACTGGACCAAGGTCGCCAAATCCATCACTGACCCTGCTTCACAGTATCTGCTTCACAGGATCATTGTCCACTATACCAGTCAGATCAGGCAACTTCATCTTCCTTCTTTGTGCAGTTATTCTTACCAATCAACTCCTGACCTTACAATTCCCTGACGTCTATACAGTGCTCCGTTTCATCTTAAGTTGGGTCAGGGAATCAGACTACAGGAACATGATAGTTTTTCTTGGTTTTTCCAGCATCTACGAACCCAAAAACGTCAAACAAGGCAGTATAACAATATTTGCTATAAAATACTAACCCCCCCCCCAAAAAAAAATCAATCCATTTCTGAAAATTACAGCAAAAGCAAATGTTGTATATTCCCTTTAACCATTTAGTTCACAATGTACAGGGTGGCCCCCCAAAAAACTTACACTTTTACAGAAGCAGATTTTTCAAAATTGGGGAGACATGTTGAAATTGTTTTAAGATATTCTAAAAATACAAGATATTGGTGGTATATGGTAAAAACTGCATTGAAAATAAAGCCTAAATTAAGAAATGGCAGCCATTTACAGAAAAATGGTCAAAACCAGTTTGTCCACAAGCGAGTCTATGAGACATAGTAAAAACAATACTGGTCTGTGTAGCGCTACGTGCACATAAAACTGCAATAACAGTGACCGTACATGTATCTCCTACATGCATGTGGACAAACTGGTTTTTGACAATTATTCTGTAAAATGCCGCCATTTCTTCATTTAGGCTTAATTTTCAACGCCATTTTCACCATATACGACCAAGATCTTGTAGTTTAGCAATATCGTAAAGCAATTTGAACATTTCTCCCTAATTTCGAGAAATCTGCGTCAGAGAAAGTGTAAATTTTCTTTTGGGCACACTGTTCATGTAATGTGCTCCCTATAGTCTGACATTTATCAAGGGTCAAAGATATCTACATTCTCTAATTGATGTCTTTCTAATTTTGTTCTTGAGCAGCAAGGGGTGGTTTCTGATCCTAGAGATGCCTCCTCTAAGGCCGCTGCAAGCCAAGACCCAAGCCAGATCCAGCTACCATCTGATTCAGATGGTGAGGACCATGAGATTAGGAAACGTATCAAGAAGGAACCAGAATCAGCTGAAGAGGCCGGCCCTAGCCAGGCAGAGAGTGCAGCACCAGGCCAGTCAACTGAAGCAGAGTAAGTCAGGAACGATCCATTGTGGAAAATCATTTCATCACTAATTTCAACAGACTTGCGTGTCAATTGCGAAACATTCGCTGCGAAATTCACCAGGGTTGAAATGTGTTCAACTTTTGTGAAGTCACAATGCAAAAACTTGCCATGATGTCACAAATTCACGTTTGCTGTTGTTGCTTTTGTGCCAAGTATGAAAAAGCCTTAACCCTAACCTTCCTCAATCCTCCAAAATCCTCCTGGGGTTTTGGAGGATTGAGGATGAATGGTGTTTGAAGAAGAGGAGGATTTTGGAGGATTGAGGATGAATGCATTTTGAGAGGCAGGATTGTTGGCGGATTGTGCAGGATTGAGGCGCTGGGCATCCTTCATTTGGACATAAGTGCAAAAGTTGGAGAATTTTGGAGGATTGAGGATGGTTCCTAGCAAAAAGGGCCTAAGGCATAAAAATACACGGTGCAATGTTAAAGAATGTACAACATTTGCTTTTGCTGCAATTTTCTGAAATAAATGGATTTGGAGGATTAGTATGTTGAAGCAAATATTGTTAAAATGACTTGTTTCACGTTTTGGGCTCATAGATGTTAAAAAAAACTAAGAAAGCATTCATGTTCTTGTAGTCTGGTTGCCTGAGCCCACTTAAGATGAAACAGAGAATTCATAGACTTTGGAGAATTGTAAGGTCAGAAAATCAGTCTAGCAGGCTTGTACCCCTTCACAGGTGTGTAATCAATTGCAAAAAGTTTTTGCAGTTTTTGCAGCAAAGACTTTGCAAGCAGTTTTTGAAAAAAGCCAGTGTTGGAAAAATACCACTTTTCTTGAAAATATCAACACACCAGGAGTCACGAATTTACAGGATGCTTTAGACTGTCATTCCCTAACAATCCAGTAAGGTATTTTGTGACAATCTGATCATTTCGTTTTGTGATGTTTACAAATGTTATATCTTCCTTTTAAAAGTGCACTTCATGAAGCATTAATCCTTTATCTTGGTTTGATTACAGACCAGAGTCTGTCTTGACTCAAGCAGATCTTGAGGAAGAATGCCTACTAGAGTTTGATAAGGGAGGCTACAGCCCTAAGCTGATGGACATGAAAGCACTGCCTCCAGAGACCTTGATCTTTGACCCTGAAGAAGACAAGGCTAAACTACAGCGTATTAGGCAACAGCTCATCACCACAGGAAGTGTAGAGGTGAGTGCTGGGAGTCTCATACAGCGTACATTCTCTGTATTTGTCTGCATCTCTCTGTAATTACTACACCTCTGTATTCTACAGAGTAGCTGTAATTTGAAGAAGAAAAAATGAGTAATTCAGAAAACTCCCATTGCGTCACATCTCAAGGGAACGGTTAACAAATTTGAGATATCCTGACTTCGAAGTAAGCAAGGTTCCTGATTTGTCGACAGTCGTGTCATGTAGGGTAGTACACATAGGCTACATTTATGTACATGAATGGTTTGCACCAAAACTCGCTATGAAATGGACACACTTTTCGAAACTTTTCTTTTATATTTTTTCGTTCTAATGGTGTATATTTTTAGTCACATATCATCATTGTACTTAGATTTCATACTGTTGTTACCTATAAACCACAGATTGTGTAACTGCGCGTAGCAAATCTTTATTTCGTGTTGTTTGTTAATCGATATCGACGCACCACGCTCAGGGTTTTCCGATGGGCGGTGCAGTCACATGGCCGGTCCTAATTAATCGATATTAGGGCGTACCAGCTGCAGCTGGGCCAGTGGTAGCGATCAGACTACCTTGCAGGCATCCTTAAAGGGTTCCCATGCAGTCACATGGCCATCGCAAGGAGCCAGCATTTGGACTGCCGGCGTGCAGGCTATGCAATTGGGCCAGCGGTAGTGATCAGACTAACTCAAAAGCCAGTTTTTGTTGCGGTTACAGGCTAGAGTCTGATCACAATGCACTCTGCATCCCCATGTGAAAAGACAAAGTGTGTTGGGCAATAATGACTCATGAAACAAGTTTCTTGATGTTTTTTACGCTTCTTTGTGACTGTTTTGGTGATGTTTTCTATGGACTGGCTGAACAAAAGTTTGAGATAAACGGAGGTATCGGTGCGGGCATTTCAAGTTACTGGGGTATTCATACACAAAATATCCTTGTGACGGAAATACTTGGAGATAAATGAAGTTTTGAGTTATCGGAATTTGAGCTAAGGAGAGTTTACTGTAGTACTAAACACATCTCTTTCAGATTTTGCATCCTGATTGGCTAAAACATGGATTGTCAAATAAGGTTCATTCACAAGTCTGTGCATGAAACTGGGTATACATTGTTAGGCATTCATTGTGTTTATCAGATAACATATAGACCGGAACACCTGCTATACGTATCCAGCAATGAGCCCTGCACATACGTCTGTTTAGAATTATAGTCTTGCTGTGAAGATTGAACAAACTTCAAAACCAGGCCTCCAACACAGAGTAATTTGTATATCCCTAAACAGCTGCCAGGATTCATTCCTTCATTGTTGACAAACCATTCTGATCCCCATTCCATAGTTTAGAAAAGAACACTGAAAACTGTAAAAGCCTTTAAAATGTTTCTTTGGATTCTTGCATACCGCAGAACACAGTGGAGGCAGAGTTTATCAAGAAAGCTCGAGCTGGTATGGACTCAGATGAGGCAACATTTGCTGTGGAGGTGGACGTGCAGAACAAACCCTACCTGTGGTCAGATAAATACCGCCCTCGCAAACCACGCTTCTTCAACAGGGTGCACACGGTAAGGCAGGCCATTGACAGCAGTCAAGCCTGTTATTATTTTTTTTATAATGGTCTTCTGAAAAAGACCTTATACTCATAATTGAATTTTAGAACCCAGTAGAGTGTTTTCTAGAGTTAGACAAATTATCAAAGGCTACAGGTAAAATTCAACTTGAGGCCGTTTTCTTGGTTTAAAGAAGCAGCATTAGAGCCCACAACAATCAGACAATTGAAAACTTCATTTCTTCATAGAGCATTATCAAATTGAATTCATAAATACCTAAGACAGTTTACCCATTCCTATTGGTCGAGAGCCCCATCATGTGGCCAGTTTTAAATGGATGATTAAGACTGGCTGGCTGGTCTTAAACACTTTTCCAGTGTCACATGACTCCTTTTGGACTCCACATTTGGACTCCTTTGAAATCCGGTGCCTTTTAGTTACTGTTTTATTGGTTGAACGTTCACATTGCACATGTAGGCATGCGCAGTACTACCAGTGAGTCAGTATTTCATAGTCCTAACATGCCTAAATTCACATTACACTGGCACAGCTGAGTTCTGCGCGACATCACACATTATGCGCGATGCATGCGCCAATCCCCATATAAGGAGTTGTTTATGATATTGACACCACCATAATATAGCTACAGGGGTGTTTCGAAAAACATGAAGTAAACTTGTTATAAAAAATGTTGGAAAGGTGTTTTGACTTTTGGACCGAAAAGTTTTGATTTTCTTGACCTAAAAGATATTTATGAATGGTAATAAATATGTGCTTGGCCGGTATTAAACACTCTGTTTAAGACCGGTTGGAGTCTGGAGGCTGATAATGACCCTCGCCTTCATCCAGATTCCAACAAGTCTTAAACATAATGTGTAAAACTGGCCAAGCACACATTTATTCCCCTTAGTAAAGGCTGGTTTTGAAGGAATAAGATAATATACCTTCACCCCAACCACCCCCCATAAACCAATTCAATCCCTTACCACCCCTTCCTCCCACCAAAAAACCCCCCCAAAACAAGCTTAAAGCCCTTTTAGACCTGGGAATTGTAAATCGTTTCTGAAGCCAATTTTGATATTTGTTTTGCAGGGTTTTGAGTGGAATAAATACAACCAAACCCATTATGACATGGACAACCCTCCACCCAAAGTGGTTCAAGGGTACAAGTTCAACGTAAGTATTCTTAATAGAGCTGTTCATGTTTTACAATTATTTCAATTCTAAACAAACCACAGACTACGTCTTCCTGTCTCCCATGCTGGATTTCACTACAGAGAACCACACAATTAAAGACAATTGTGATGTGCTCTTTTTGGAGTGAATGAAGCAGGCTCAAAACCAGGTAAATGATGGGACAAATAAGAAACTGGGTTCATTTTCATTCATCTACAGACAATCAAAGAATGGTTCAGTTTTTCTCCAACTCATTTTTGGTAGATTGTTTCTGTACACAACTAATCCAAACAATTTTAATGGCAAAGTGCAAAGAATGGTTTATTTTGATCTTATTAGCAGGAGCACTCGTCCCCCGAATTCTCAAAAAGCCATAGGTCCATTGCCTGTGTCAATTGCCACAATACAGGAAACACATGACATCCTTGTATCGATATGGGCAAATTACAGGCATGTGTGGTTACGCTAAAGCAACTTTTCAAAGTGCATCATTTTCTTAAACCGTTGTCAATATGGGACAATTTACAGTCTTTGGTAGCAAATGGGGTATCAAAATGTAGCTAACAACATTCCCAAAGGTCTATATAAATGACGTTATCATAAGACGATCAGATTCAAAATTATGACCCCTCCAATTAGTGTGGACTTTCTTATTTTGTGGTGTTTACTTTAAAAAATACTGCATCTGCTAGGGTTACCTTTATACCTGAAAATACACCACTCCCACTGTTGATACACATACCTCATGTATGCATATTAGTTTGATGGCTTAGTATCCTCATATATAATTCTGATGACCGTATGTGTTATTTTTCCCTGCAGATATTTTACCCTGATCTTATCGACAAAAGAAAGACACCAGAATACACCTTGACACCATCTCCTGAAAACGAGGATTTTGCAGTCCTGCGATTCCATACAGGCCCACCATATGAGGTAATCAAACCCAACCATTTTTCTGCTTTTTGATTTTTTGAATGAAAAGTAGTGATGTCCTGACTTGAACAAATTGAAATGGTGCTACTGAAATAGTTCTGCTTCCGGTTACCCTACCCACCCTATTTTGACAGCCCCTACCTTAATATTAGTCCACAGTCTGTCACGTGGCCAGTCTTAAACTGTTGATAAAACACCGGCGGGATGTTCTTAAACACTTTTCCAGTGTCACATGAAATTTTTACTCTTATGAAATCCAGTGCCTTTTACTGTTATATTGGTTGCACGTTCACAATCCTCATGTAGGCGTGTGCAATACTACCAGTGAGTCAGTATTTCATAGTCCTAAATTCACCCTACACCAACAAAGCTGCGTTCTGCGCCACATCGGGTAGTACGCGTCACGCGCGTGCCAATCTCCATATAAGGAGTTGCTTACAACTAATGGCGAGAGGCACATGCCATAACATACATGGAGCTAGAGGGGTGTTTAAAAAAAACTTGGAAGTAAAATTGTTGGAAATTTATATTTTTTACTTGTTTTGACTCTGACTGAAAAGGTATTTATGAATGGGAATAATTATGTGCTTGGCCGGTATAAAACAAGTCCTTTTAAGAGCGGTTTGGGGCCTGGTCGCCAATAATATCCCTCTCCCTCGGCTTGGGCTATTATCAGTGTTCCTTCCCTGGCCAGTTAAAAAAACAGACTTGTTTAAAACCAGCCAAGCACACATTTATTCCCTTAATACATTCCAATTTGTTGTCTTTACAGTGTAAGAAGATACAGTACTTAACTTGCTCAATCAATTTGTTGCACAGCTATGCAACGTACATGTGATAGATGCCATGAAATGGTATTCAATGCTAGATTAGTCAGAATAGAATATTTGGGTAGCATCTGGAAAAGGAAGCTGTATTGAGGCTGTTTTGTCATGTGCCCATGACCAATCAGTAATCAACTGATCACTATATTTGGTGTTGTATTATCATTGACTCCCATTCTAATCGATCCCCTTTCTCGACCTCTAGGATATTGCCTTCAAAATAGTGAATCGTGAGTGGGAGTATTCACATCGTCATGGATTCCGATGTCAATTCAACAACAGCATCTTCCAGCTGTGGTTCCGCTTCAAACGTTACCGCTACCGAAGATGAGATTGACAGAGACTTCTCTGGGATGATATCAAATTGGGGGTTATTGTTTTGAGGGAAGGCTGTTGAGAGTGAAGCTGTATTAGGGCGTCCCTGGTTATTTCTTTAAATTAAAAAAAATAGTGAATACAAAATACTTCAGTGGCAAACAAATATGAGAACATAGAAATAAAAACGGACACCCTTTTCATGAAATCATGACATTTAATTTGAATGATGGCTTACTGTTAAAGATATGCCGCCATAAATGTGCATAATGTACAGGTTGAACTTGAACTCAAAGCTTTGAACATAGAGGAATTTTTGCTATGTGACTCCATGTATATAACTACATAGTTATCTAATTCTACATTTAACACTGTTGTAATGTGGGATATGACGTTTTTAGCACCCGAGGGGCACATAGCACCCGAGGGGCACATAGCACCCGAGGCGAAGCATTTCCAAAGATATATGGTTCCAACTTATTGTGCGAGAAATTAATTGAACCACTGCGAAGTAACCTCTGATAACTGAAGATTTTGATGTCATGCCAGACATGAGACTGAGCAGTTGACGTTGCAGTTCTCATTGCGCAAAGCTAGCGCACCGGCAGGTTCCATACGCGCATGCAATGAGCACACTGTCATATCACAGAACGCCACGTAAAAAATTGATAGTGTGTGACATGTGCATTTATAGACCAGACACATGGCCGTTCTAGACCAATGAAATTGCAGTATCCAAGCACACGATATAACAAATGGAATTATCAAACCTAACAACTTTTGTGCCTTCTGGAAGTTTACAAGCCAGTTGTTATAAATGAGCTGTTCGTATGATTGTACTTACATGTATTGCCATCTGCTTGTGTGAACGTGATCGTACATTTCGAAGCTGATCCTCGTATGGTTATTTGAAATATTGAACTAAAAAAGTAACATTTCTTGGAAGGCCCATAAGCCTTAGTGGGTCTTGGGCCATGACCTAAAGTGGCAATGACCGAAGCAGTTGGTATGAATACGCACACCTTTCCACATTGTGCAAACTTGCTACTCTGTTGGTTGTCACATCTAATTATAATAAAAAACAACCCATATGGAAAGCAAGAATGTATGCACATAAATGATGTAAATGTAGTTTGTATTTAAATTTTAAGATCTTTACTTTTTGTTTCTGTTTTTTGAAGTAATAAATGGTGTGCTGTCATGGCACGACCACATTTTGAGTATGTGCGTGGCTGAATACAATGTTTGTGCGAACCCTAGACATTGAACCCCAGTTACACCACTGCACTTAGGTCAGCTAAATATTTCACACCGTGGTCCTTGTCAGTGTTATTGGGTGTGCATAACGTACAAGGGATGTGAGCAGGGTTAGCTGATGTTCTTGGTCTTCGTTTCTCGGTGACTGAAGTCTAGTATGACTGCTTGTCCTGGGTTTTTAATTTCGCAAAACATGCATCTTGGGATGTATGATAAGTTAATGGTTGCTTCTGCAGCAAGATACATACATGAACATACACTTTAACCATTTATAATTCATTGGACGAATATCAAAATCTTTAAAACAGCCATCAAAAATATGGGCGTTGAAAAAAAATGGATGTTTTGCTTGGGTAATAATGTCTCTGGCTCTTATCCACTACCTGTTCCAACCCAATTCTTTACCACAAGCTGATCTTGGTGCATGTTGCCATCTCCATGTCTTTGGTCTAGCGAGGGAAAATTCATAAGTACAAACCAACCGTTCGACTTTCTTAAAAGGATTTCTTCATCTGACATTTATTTCATGCCCTGAAATAGTTTCTCTTATTATGTGCCCAATTGTGCTGTCAGTGCAAAGTGAAAGTTCAATGATTTCAAGACAAATTTAGTCATTACAGATGAGCCATACACCAACGTTAAGTTTACCATGTATATGGCCTGCATTACTGTAATATGTGATAGATCCTAATCTTGGCATTATCACACCTAGGAGCCCTCACTTATGTCCCCCTCATACATGCCCTCGACCCTTTCCAGTAGCCGAAGCAGAGGTGTGATGGGGTAGGGAAACAAATTGCTCCCACTGATTCTAGCAATTGAAAAGCGAAGCCTTATTAGAGTGGTCATCACATCATCTAGAGGTTGGGACACAATGTTAGTCTGACTACACAGCATCTCCAAAGTCTGGTCATTGGGAGAAGTGGACAAGGCCTCCGAAGAGTCCTGTGCAGGAGTCCTTTTTATGTCTTCAGCATCTGTACGTTTACATGAGTTGCAAGAAAAATTTCCAGCTCCGGCTGGTGATGAGGTGGCCTGACTGGATGAAGTGTACTCCAGCTCGTCTTTTGGTCTCGCAGTCTCTTGGTGTGTATCTCCATCAACCTGAGTTTTCCTTCTCTTTGTCTTTATGCTAGTCTCCACACCTTCCTCTCGTTCCTGGTGAGTGTGACTGCTTTCACATTTGGCAAAATATGGCTTCTCATCAACGGGAGGTTTGATGGATGCCACATCTGCCGAGTTTTGAGAGTGTGATTTGGAATCCATGGAGGCAACCTCTTGAAGAGAACTGCAAAACGAATCCCAATCTCTGAGAACAGTGTGTAGGTAACAGACCAGATACTCCAGGAATGGGGTCTCGGATGATATCAGTAAATCCAGAAGAACACTGGGATCATAGGCAACAGTGTCTAGGAACCTGCAGAAGATCCGATGGGGGTTAAGCTGGCCTACTAAGAGGCTGCAAGGAGGATGCAGTGACTGGGAGGCCTTATAGAGATCCAGGCTGCAGTGCATGACCCACACCAGGCCGTCGTCCTGTTCAGAGAAGAGTTCAAATACTAGCCAGATGTGAGCATCAGTTGGGATGATATGGTTGAGCTTGCAGCAGACATAACCCCAGAGATTTCGAAGACAACCTCCAACATCTGTCCAAAATATATTCAACAAAATGAAATAAGATAATGGAGGAAAGTGATTCAACATAAATATTGGACAATGTCTTCATGCAAAACACCAATGTGTTTTGCTTCCTAATAATTTTTTTGTTACAGTTGCAATCATTTGGTCACATTTTTTGAAGCATTTTTGGGATCATATGTGCCACTTTTTCACTCCATAATGAGAACGTTATCACCAATGTTATGAGGTTAAGATAATACTGAAATGTTTCGGGATGTTTCTTACATTTTTAGAAAAAAAGGTTCAATTTTCAGCACGATTTTCATTAATGCTATATTAGATTCTATTCAGAAAGAAAGTGTTACCTGATTCATCATAAATCGTCTTTGACTTATGACAGTTGAGAAGTGTCTTCACTGCACACAACGTTGCTTGGTAAAGCTTCCTTAGCAGTGGGTGATCACCAGACTTATCTTCATGGTTGCTACTGCTAGGATGAAAATGACCACCTCCAAATCCAATGGGGCCACTCCTATATGGAATATGCTCAAGAAAGCTCCCCTTGGCAACCATGCTGACAAAACCTGCTGCCGTGGTGATTAAAGCATCATCCAGTGTGGCAACCAGAGGATGACTGGAATGTGATTGGCCAGAATGTGGAATACATGAAGTCACTGGTGAATAATCCGTAAATAATACGAAGATGTCTAGGAGTCTCTTCAAGATGATGACATCATGGCAATAGTCTTTGAAGAGATGCATCAGTGAGGAGCCTAGCTTGGAGGTGAACCCTTGCCAGTGTTGCTCAACATGCCTGTGTTTCAGCAGAGCATGTACTAGATCTAGGAGTGATGCAAGGATTAGTATGGTGTCTTTGGTGTCCATGTTAACCCTGTGTGGTTCATCAGCTGGTAGTGGTAAGGCAAAGTCTTGCAATATGCATGGTAGATCCCTGCATAGCAGATGTCGTAGCTCCTTTTGACAATCTGGCAAGAAATCAAACATGGAAATTATTTAACAAATTGTTAATCTAATTCTTTACCCAAACTTTTAGTGTGAAAATCAAAAGGTCATTTACACTTGCCAAACCTTTTTCTTGATAGAACTGCAAACAATGTTTTTATTTCATCTAATTGAATTACCTGAGCATGAATATGTCAAACTATGCCAATATTTGCCTTTCTGCAGCTGATGGGTATTCTGGATTGATTGAGATTGGCCTAATTAGCTGATTATTGGTGCACAGCTATGAACAACTCACTGGAGCCAATGATGAAGGGCCAAGTTTACATTTTTTTGCAATTTTATTTACACAAAGTAAAAAACATGAAGTCATCTTTTTGTTCTATTTTCACCCAACGACCACCTTCATTTTCACAAATCTCCTGTGTGTACACGAATTTAAAAAAGCCCATCTTTATATTTTTGAAAGAGTCAACTTTACAAAAGCACTACCTGAGGGTGATTTTCTTATGAACTCAATGAATCTGAAATATTTTGAAATTCTAGAACTTTCACATTCCCATTTGAGGGTTCCGGAAGCACACCAGCAGGGTGAACTTTCATGCTCTATTTTCAACCAAAACTCTGTTTTTTTAATAACGTAATTAAGCGGGCAGGAATTTGTTTTCAAACTCAGTTTAAACCACATCAATTCACACAGTTGAAAACACTTTGAAACCCCACTTAAACTACAAACTTGATTTATAAGTAAATGACATCGTTGATCTATATCAAATCATATTACTGAATTACCTTGAAGTCTTCCAAATCCCGTGTCTGCAATGGAGTGTGCAGCTTGTATGCAAGATGGCTGTTGACTTCCCTGCGACGTTCCAGTATTCTCTGACTTGACCTGCCGACTCCCTTCATGACAGATCTTCTTCAGTAGTAGCCGACAGAGGTCCAAGGTGAAGACTGCATGGTTGACTTGACCAAGATGGGTCGTGCTCCGATCCAGGTGAGATTGGATCTTGCTTACATTCCCCAGATCACGAGTGGCATGGCTATGACCCGTACTCTCTTGACCCAAGTATGACTGAGCTGACATCTGACCAGACCCAACCAGACCTTTACAGACTTGACTTGAATCATCTGGATTCAAATTAACCTGATCTGGATCCATCTGCCCTTTACTGACCTCTACTGGACTGACCTGATTCCTTTGTTTCTGACCATGGTAATTAGGCTGATTCTGTCTACATTGACTGGGAGAGTTGACTAGACCTAACGTTTGGTGGTGGTGACCAGCATGTCGTATTACAGTCCCAATCCCGAGAAGGTGCTGATGAAGGAATAAGACAGCTTTTTCCTGTTGGGTTAAAATTCAAAGTGCAAAGTAATTTAGTTGCTTATTTCCCTCATAGACATTTATTTATCACAAATCATGACTGATGTTTATCCAATGTGTAGCACATGCATACTCAACTGGCCTGATATACACAATTTGTCACCTCAAATTCAACGAGATATTGAAGCTGTGGTTTTAACTACCAGATATTGGTACCTTGTCAATTGCAGGGGATGACAACACAGCCTTTGCCATTTGACATGTCATGAATGCTGTAAGCCTATCCTCAGATGACATCAGTGTACCCTGAAAGTATGCACAAAGCCAAACAAAAGATTTCAACTATCTGTAAAAATAATCAAATATCTTCAATGTTCAGATGAATGTTAAGGACGTACATGATATATCAGTAAAAAGAGCACCACTTTTAAACTTTTTCTTTTTCGAATCGATCTAATCTTAAATCCACATGAATTTTTTAAAATTAATTCAGGATGTGACATTTAAATGTTTAAACCTTTAAACGAAAAAAAATATTCTTAATCCATTTACATATTTTCCAAAAATTTCAAACAAACCCTGAATTATAAATATGGGACCTTCGTTCACGCGAACTTCCTTCGAGTTAAACATACATAGCACAAGTAATTAATGATGTTTTCAAACCTTTTTAATTTACAAAACCTTAGAAGCACCACCATGACCACAACACTTTATAACATTCACGGTACTCATAGTTCAGTTTTTCCCTTTTTCAATGACTGCCCGCTATTTATTACAACGCAATGTCAATCATTGTTGATTTATCGTGTCAATCACGCTGGTCTGCAGATGTAATGGGCAGGCGTCAGCCTTCGTGAAATGGCTAAACGTTTAAACATTCTCCAAGCATGTTTTCAAAATTCCTCATTCTGCTATCTTGTACTTTTCAAAAACTATTTGATTTTTTCATATATTTCCCCCTCTTCCGAAACAAAAACTAATGCCATCGATGACAAGTTTCTATCTACAGGGTGGATAAAAAAAAGCAACCGAGATATTATTGCTAATTGGAACAGAAGTAGGGCACATGTGAATCAAAGGGAGATATCCTCTGTTAGGGTTGAATCTCCTCTTTAAAATGACACCCTGATCATGTCATTGCATTCATGGTTGACTGAGCAGCGACCAATTTTATGAAAGGGTCTATTTAGAGAATTGCGCCACTTTTCATGATGAAATCTCTTTTTTTCCCCACCTGCCTTGAATGGCAACCATAGCCTTTCACTCTGTGACAATTGACACCACAAAAACTACGATTGAAAAGTAGCGCAACTCTCTAAATGGACCCTTTCATAAATTGGTCACTGCTCAGTCAACCATGAATGTAATGACATGACCAGGTTGACATTTAAAGAGGAGATTCAACCCTAACAGAGGATATCTCCCTTTGATTCACATGTGCCCTACTTCCGTTCCAATAAGCAATAATATCTCGGGTTTTTTTATCCACCCTGTATATTACCAAATCCTCTAATAAAGATCCTGAGTCCACCATCTGGCGCTGCAGGTGTAGCACATGAGCACAGTGTGTTGCCTCAAACAGATGCTTGCTGATGGTCAGACCAACCAGCATCCTATCCGGTTTCTTCATATTATTCTCCAATGTATCCTCAAGCAAACCCTCCAGTACGTCTTGCACATTGTCTTCTCCTCTCAGCCAGCTCTTCAATGCAGACATCCCTCTTAACTCACTGGCTTCATCCATATCACATAGGCAGGTATTGTCCAGGAGATGCTGGTTCAGCTTTATGACTGCAGCATCCAACTGTGCCATTGTGCATAACTGAATCAGCTTAACTCTGAAAGAATACAAATTACCAAATTTTAATTAAATAATTCCATACTGCATGTAAATATTATTGTACATTCATAAATACCTCAAACAGTGCACCCATTCCTATTGGTCGACTGAGAGACCATCACATGGCCAGATGAACACGGTTGATAAAGACTGGCTGGCTGGTCTTAAAAACTTTTCTAGCGACAAATGAAATTTGGACTTTTATGAAATCCGGTGCCTTTTTCATTGGTCGAACGTTCCCATCTTCACGTACATTGTAGGCATGCGCAATACTATAGTGAGTCAGTATTTTAAAGTTCAAACTTCACACTAATCCAGCACAGCTGCATTCTGTGCCACATCGCGCAATACGCGCGACACGCGCACCAATCTCCAAATAAGGAGTTGTTAATGACTTCTTGCTAGAGGCACATACATGTACCATAACATAGCTAGAGGGGTGTTTAAAAAAACATGAAGTAAACTGTTGAACAAAATCATTGGAAATTTATAATTTTCGACTTGTTTTGACTTATGGCCCCAAAAAATTAGATTTTTTGACCAAAAAAGGTATTTATGAATGGGAATAATTATGTGCTTGGCCGGTATTTATAAACAGTATCGGCTCAGGTAATTATCATTAACATGACTCCAACCGGTCTTAAAGACATGTGTTTAAAACCGGTCAAGCATATTTATTCCCTTATAAATTAAAGGCTTATTGTAAAAGTGAACAGGTCCTTGCTCTGCTCACAATATACCAGTTAGGTTTGTTTTCTACGTATTCCATTCTGTTCAGGCGCATATCCGGGGGGAGGGGGGTGTTTGGGGGTCAAATTTACCCCCCTCCCCCCAGCTCATCTGTCAAAAAAAAAAATCATAGAAATTCCTTAAAAATAATGCAAACACCCCCCCCCCCCCACTCCGACACCCAAAAGAATTATACTGGTAATATTCTAATAATAGCCCTAGTCTATGGCAGTGCAGGCCATAGTCATAGACTAGGGCTAAACAGTAGTAATAATGTGCGCCTTTGCACAAAATACGGACAGAGCCAGCTTGGTAAGGAGTTATTTGTACACTATTCTGTAATTACTCTTAATAATCGTCTGATCTAGCTCCCCCATTAAAAGTATGGTATGAGCCCCCCCCCCCCCCCCCCTATTGATTTTTGGAGGCCAAGGCCAAGTGTCCGAAGAAAAAGAACTGACTACATTTTAGAATTTGTTTCTGTTTTAACTAAACGCAGTGGCTATCGTTACGGCAGCCGTAACGCATTTCCCATTTTCTATCGTTACGGTAGTGCAACTTTTATAAAAACATGAGAAGAAAATATAAAATCAGAAGGGAAAAAAGTGAATTTGAACGTTATGAAATTCGGATTTTATTTCCCTTTTAAAAAAATCCTCCAAAGCCTCAGGTTAGAAAAGGAAAAAAATTCGAGTGCAAAACTGAGAGGCTAACCCGCAACATCGCGGTGCAAAATCCTAAATCGACTGAGCTGTCGCACTGCTCGCTCCAACGTGGGGAAACAAATAATTATATACCTGCGTGCGTATCAAAAAAAGTATCGTAGAGGGCGCTAAACAACGGCTGCCGTAACGATAGCCACTTCGTTAATTAAACCCCTGGATCCGCCCTAGCCCGACTGCGTCTGGCCGTACTATCGCAAGCTCTGTAGTACTGTCACGCCCCAACTATCGCATCGGTCCCAACTATAGTTGGGACTGTCCCAACTATAGTGCGGCAGTTGGGTCGGCCCAACTATAGTTAGGACTGGAGTTGCGCCGGATGCTTCATGCTTGATAGATCTTGTTGGATTAAATGTTCCGCGGCGCTGGCACCGTGTATTCGTCGTGCATGCATGCCGCAAGGCTGGCCGGTCACGTGGTACTGCCTAGTTGGACGAGTTGTCCAGCTGCTGGGTTTTATTATCCAGCAACATTTTGCAAAATTCAAAGATTGCCATGGCCGGCCAACTATAGATGGGCCCCACCCATAGCTAATGTCAAAGGTCCTAAGTCGGACATGTAAGCCAATGTAAGCAGAGCTGTAGAGAATGTTTTATAGTCGTACATCAATTCTAAACTATAGTTGGGACTGCCAAATAAAAATATTGCGGTGGTCCAACTACAGATGGTCCCCACCCATAGATCATTTCATTGGTCCCCAGTAAAGTCAGATGTGAATTAGAGTTGTAGGGAATGTTTTATAATCGTACAACAATGTACACTATAGTTGGGACCGCAAAATAAAAAGATTAGGATGGCCCAACTATAGATTCGCCCCATCAATAGCTAATTTCAGTGGTCCCCAGTAAAGTCAGACGTGTATCAGAGCTTTAGGGAACGTTTTATGGTTGTACATCAATGTAAATTATAGTTGGGACACCGCAAAATAAAAAGATCGGAGTGGCCCAACTATAGATGGGCCAGCCCAACAATGGAACTTACAGTTGGGACCGTCCCAACTATAGTTGGGACAGGCCCAACTATAGTTGGGCCAGCCCAACTGTGGAACTACAGTTGGGCCTGTCCCAACTATAGTTGGGACCGATGCGATAGTTGGGGCGTGACAGTACTACAGAGCTTGCGGTAGTATGGTGGTGTACCCTAACGTGGCGCACTTCGAAGCATACCCAAATTTCCTCGTGTAGTGTTGCCAAACCTCTTTGTTGACAAACCTCAAATTCATGCAGTGAAATACTGGTACTTTTACCTTATTAATGCTTGCTGTTTAACCTCTGTGAACAATTTCGGTTTCATAAAATTTAAGCCGAAATTAAAAAACGGTGGCGTCCGGAAATTGGGCACAATTTGGCGGAGTGTTCCCTAACGTGGCGCACTTAAATAAATCTCGGGGAATTCCAAATTAACATTTAAGAATTTCTGAAAACTTGATAAATTCTGATAAATCATTATTATCTCTACTTACATACCCAGCCAGATGTTTGTCACAAAATTATTTTCTTATTTTTCGGGGCATTTTCAAAGGGTTCACTTTGCACTTGAAAATAAAATCGGAAAATCACGCCAAAATAAGTTTTTCTTTTAACTTTGTAGCGGGTAAATAAATTCGCGATTTATGAACGGGAGTGTTTATAACTTGATGAAATTTCACTTTCTGTGAAATTTCAGTTAAAACTTTTGCTCTAGCTAGGCGCTACAGGCGAAAAATCAAAGTGCGCCACGTTAGGGGGCGCGCCACGTTAGGGTACATCAACAATACTGTCATGACTGTGTACGGCCAGACGCAGTCGGGCTATAGATCCGCCCCTGCTGTTCCATTCGTATTCCTACTTTCAACCTTACAAGTTCAGGATTTTTATAGAAGTAAAATGTAGTTAAAAAAGCAACAAACCATAACGTGACGGTGTAGTTATTCCTGCGCGAGACTGCACAGCCGGCCGACGATCGATCGTGTAGTGTCCGTCACACATATAGATGTTGTGCCCATTCTTGAAAATCACGCATTCTCGAGAATGGGCATGCACATTCTTGAGAATGTGCAACTGGATCCTTGCTCAATCTTGGCAAAAAATAACTCTTCCAGATTGAGCGCACATTCTCGAGAATGCGCGACAAGATAACGGTCTTGTCGATGCCGAGCACCGGCTGCGCTTGGCAAGTCTAGCTGAATCCTCGTTCACTGATTCTCAATAATTATACTGTTGCAACGCAAGGCTCTGAAAAGTAGAGTGGATATGATAAGTAAGGGTGCATACCTGCAAATAAACTCCCATAGACACTAGTGCTAAATGCCCATACTTCAAAATTCTTTTAAAAATACTCAAAACTCTCACAGGTATTCAAGCTGCACAGAAAAATGATGATCAATGTGTCATCTTTCATTTTCTTTTCAATTTATGGTGGGTTGACCATTGACTTTTCGAGATATTTTCACGCAAAGAAGACGACCCCTATTTTCCCCAAAGCGGAAAAGTAGCCATCTTGAAAAACGATCCCTCCACAACATGGCAAAATAGCGCCACTTTCGAGCCCAATAGCATCCAAAATGCTCAGAATTGGAAGCCCCAAGTCCAGGCCAGAGGTTCACTACCATATCTCTTCAATTCCCCAATTTTACAGCGCTCAGAACTCTCTAATATAGAATATTTTGAGGGTATAACTTTTATTCATGAGCTTGGCGGATCGATTTACCGGTATGCACCCGTAAAGGCGTATTAATATGGGGGGGGGGGGGACCGGGAAAATATAAGAGACATAATAATACTAGTGCAAAGAATTCTGATTTTTGGGATAATAAAAGCGGGGGGAGGGGGGACGTAAGAATGAAGAATGTGAAGAATGAGAATGAATACTGCGACATCCCATAGTGCTAATGCTATTTCCCATTTAAATTGCCACCAATTTATTGTTCACATCCCACCATAACGTCGCAGAGCTGGATTCTATCTAGTCAAAAGAGCAATTTTGGCAGCTTCTGGACATCGGTTTTTTTTTGTGGCACGCATATGATACATGCAGGGACTTGTAACTTGTCTAGCCTAAATAAAGCACTTCCCAGACTAGTTCCCAGTCCTCCGTTATTACAAAACTTCCCATAGTGGGCAGAAAAAAGCAATAATAACAGGTTTAATTTGATTCAAATTATCGTAATTATACGAGTACAGAAGCATAGCACATTTTCTTTCCTCTTTATATGAATTGTTTCCCTTTTAACCGCTATACAATTCATTTAACATAATTATGTCGTGCAATGTTTGTTAAGATTGGGCAAAATTCATAAATTGTGCACGTGATATTCCCAACCAATCTTAAGAATGAGCGCTCATTCTTAAGAACGCGTGCTCGTTCTTAAGAATGGGCGCTCATTCTTAGAATGCGCGCCCATTCTCGAGAATGTGCATGCCCATTTTCGAGAATGCGTGATTTTCAAGAATGGGCACAACATATATAATGCACGTGCAGACGACAAAAACGTTCTTCAGTTAGTCAACAAGCGCGCCATCAAGCGGTAAGCATAACGGCTATGTGCACGTCCAGGCCTCAATTTTTTTCCATACCACATAGTCGCTATGATATAGAGAATTACGTAGAAGGCGCAGCGCACCTGACTTGCAACTCGACGTACTTCGATATACGCCCATAGCGAGTGCGTGGTATGGAAAAAAAATATCGCTTCCGGGCCAGGCCGTGGCCCGGCAGTACGCCTTTATTCATGTGGCGAACGATACGAAAGGTATGTCAGCATTTGTTTTTTTTCTTTTATAAGTCCTTGAGGAAAGAATGTTGCATTGCTGACGCAATTTTTTCTCATCATTATAGGCTTATTATCTCAATGAAGGTCAGTCACAGAAAAAAATGTTGAAAAGACATGAATCTGGGACCAATTTTGGTAAGCCTAGCCTTAAATTAAAACTGTAGTGTAGATAAGGATTGAGAGTGTTTGAAAATGCACTCGACCATGTCATTGTCAATCATGTCAACTCTCCATCATTATTGTCCATAGACTTTGTCATGTTTGTACACAACCAAAGAAGCGGTGTCTGGATACTTTTTATACGTTCTTTCCTATATCCTAGCATGCCTAGTTTGGGACTCAGTTCTGTCTTTTTTAACTATCTTTCGTGAATACCAGGTTATTAGTTAAGTGCCCCACTTACATTTTTGTAAGTTAGCAGGGTGCTTAGTTTTTTTGTTTGACCATGCATGGTTTGACTTATATTGTCTTATAAAACTCTTAAGTTTGAGTTTTGTGAATATGCTCCCAAGCCTTATGGTGATGGCCTGAGCAACTAATGAGCAAGGGCTATACTTCCAGCTTTGACAGTTCTGGAAGTCAGCATGTGCGATAGTGGATCGAGACTCTGCTCCTACAACAGCACCCGATTTCACGAAGCGTATGGGACACATCGCAACCCCAGTTACGACATGTAACTTGTCGCGTAACACGTCGCAACTCGCAACGAGTCGTATGATCCATTTCATGAAACTTGCGATGTGTTCAACGCGTCGCAAAATGAAAAGCGTCCTTTTCTAAGTCAGTTTTATGCCAAAACAATTCTATAAACGAGACTATACCGAGACTACTCCTAGAACTATGAGGCTCCACGTAGTGGAGCCTCATAGTTCCAGGAGTATACCGAGACAATGTTTGTAAAGTTGTAAATGGAAAATGCATTGAACTAATTATGAATTTAGCTTGGAATATTGCAGTTGCAATTTCAAAGTAGCTATACAGTCTATCACGAGCTTGTTTTCCTTTAAATCTGCATTGCGTGTCTGCCATTTTTACGTTTTAAAAGCTTTTCGAGAGGAGACGACTCTTTGTTGAATATCAGACGAAGCGCTGCGATGCATTGTATGTTGCGATGAGTTTCATGAAATCTGGTGCTGGATGAAACTCGACTTTAAAGGGAACACAACATTTGCTTTTGCTGTACATAATTTTCAGAAATAAATGGATTTGGGGGTTAGTATTTATAGCAAATATTGTTACACTAATTTGTTTGAAGTTTTGTGTTAAAAACCAAGGAAAACAATCATGTTCCTGTAGTCTGATCCCCTGACACCACTTAAGATGAAACGGAACAGTTTAAGACGTCGAGAATTGTAAGGTCAGGGAACCAGTCTAGCTTGCTTGTGTAATCGTTTGCAAACAAAATGCAGACTAACTAAATATGGTGCATTGGGGGCAGCATTTGAAAAATGCCAGTTTTGATACAAAAATACAACTTTCCTTGAAAATGACAGCACACCAGGTGCCATGATTTAAAGGGATGCTTTAGACTGTCATTTACTAATATTCCAGTAAATTATTTCATAATAATTTGGTAGTTTTATTTTTTGATGTTTGCAAATGTTGTATACATGTTTCTATTCCCTTTAAGGTTTATTAAACTCACCTAAAGTCCACATAGTTGACAATGTTATTGTTAAAAAGCACCATGACAAGGGAAAGATTTTGTTTTTACAGGGAAATTAGGGGGCAAGGCCAAGACGATTGTCTTGATTGTGAAATTTCAACCAGTCTTTTTTTTTGAAAAAAAAATGCCATATTGTGTCGATTTCCAGTTAATGCCTAGCAAATAAGTGTGTCGAACAATGCATGGCGCGGGTTGCCCTTTTTATTTTCAAGTTGCAATTTGCCCTCGTCATTGTTAGCAAAGGCGGGATTACGTCAAACAATGAAAACATGTATTTGTACCAGCAACCTGAATTGACGTATCTACTGTTGCATACTTAGGAGTCTAGGAGCTTAGCTCGGTTCCTAGATGCTGCCAACCAATAGTGGGATAGCTACTTTAACCCCCCAAGATTTATTGGAAAATTGACAATGAAAGGAGCACGTTTGACTAAACTATATTTGAAGTGTAATAATACCCAATACATGTGTACTAATGCTTCCTTCCATTTCAAATAATGTTTAATTCCAACAGATCACCCCATTAAAATGCAGCAGTTGAAGCATAACTTTAATCAGTGCCTTCATGTCGTCACTACCATGAGAACGCTTGCTTGAAGCTGTCCTTGCCTATAGACAACTGCCTTGCACTGTATGTGCCATACTACATCATCAAGCTGCATGTGTCTGCATTGATGGTCAGTCATCATGGATCGTAACAGCATGCTTACCAAGTTTGTGGAGGTTACAGGCTGTGATCCTGGACTAGCTGCAGATCTCCTTGCTGGTATGGTACATGTAGTATGCAAATATTGAGTGGCTCAGAGTGGAATGGGAGGAATATTATCGCAAGGTAAAATCTGGACTTTTTTCTTTCACGAGGCAAAGCCGAGTGAAATGGAAAAGTCCAGATTTTACCGAGCGATAACATTCCTCTATTTCACAATTTAAAGCCACTCAATATTTTGTTTTATATAACTGACATAGATCCTTTTCATTTGATTTACGGTTAAAATGAACTTCTATACAACATTGGTGGCAAAGAAATTTTTTTAAAATCACGATTTTAAATATTGCTACAATCACAGTCTTCAATTTGTTTTTCATTTGTGAACACAATACATTTCACTGTGGTCTTAATCATCACTGCTGTATGGATCCTGCACAATTTAATTGCATACGTACATTTTTGTAGTGCCGAAACTGCCGATTGATACATGTCAATAGAAATGAGAAACCTGAACATTCACACATATAGGACTGTATAATATTGTTCATTGCGTTATGTCAATTTGAAAAAATAGAAATTTGATGTTCATTCACAATTTAACCCCCCCCCCCCAAAAAAAATACAGCATGTACGCAATCGTGTTGACATAATAAATGTCATGTTTACATTTTTTTCTTCTTCATATTTTTACTAACTTTTATCATTGGTTGATGTTGACATGGTTGACCCAACTCGGCCATAACGTGAACATGTGCATGTTAACCTCTTGGTGCCTTCAGGCCAAACTTTGGTACATACAATGTATACAGGCTATCATTCCAGGAATACCAAGCATACATATTTTGCAATTCCTCCATATTTTGCAACCTCCAAAAAGTGCACACCCAACTGTGTAGTGGTGAATAACCCGTGAATAACTTGCTTTATGGTCCAATGCATATCAATTGGTATTGATGTACAGATTGTGCAGTACAAATTGTGCAGTGACCGACTCAGAAATGATTCAGTTCACAATAATTGAAAGCTTTGTTACTTTGAGGTTAACTGATGATTGTATGCCCTTCAGTTGTTTTTCATAGCATCACTTGCCCAACCATGCATGGCCCAACCAACTCCATGTACATGTACATGTATATATCAGTGTTAATTGTGCTCTGCAATGTGCCCTTAAATACATGTATGTATGAGGCTATAGAATCTTTGTGAATATCAGTGGGGTAAATCTGTGTTGACAATTTGGGGGTGATGGTGAAATTAACCAAGTCAAAAGTCGAAAGCAAAACCTATGTTGAAGACTAAACAAAAGTCATGAGCATTATTAACAATGATTTATGGTGTTGTGCCCATATCCAAACTGAAGCAACTTCCACAAAACCAAGAAATATCCTTTACACACGTTAACAAAGGTGGAAATTCCGGGGGTTTTCAGTTATAATTCGCGTTGTTACTGGGTATAATGTTTAATTTTTTTATAACGGAAATATTTAAAGGCTTTTTTGTTTGTTTTTTTAAATTGGGTTAAAATGGTGAATACATTACTCTTTTGGCAGAAGCACATTGTTCAGTTGTGGAGCACTGTGGCCCAATGGTTACAGTGTTCGACTCACGTGCCATGGTACATCTGTACATGGGTTCGAACCGTGATGGGGAACAAGGTGCTTGTGTTCTTGGGCAAGACACTTTACTACAATTGCCTCTCTCCACCCAGGAGTATAAATGGGTATCTGTGAAGGTAGAGACCAGAATGCGCTGATCTCGAGCTGCTGCAGAAACTGGTCTCATGGCCTGATGAAGAGGGATACTAATTATGAAGCGCTTTGAGATCTTTGGTATAAAGCGCTAAGCACTATATATTATTATTATTATTCCATCCGTGCAAGATGTTTCACTACAGCTATCAATCCTAGATGTGTTACTCTCTTTTGGAATCTTTGACATCTTCAGTTGTGTCAGTGTGGCAAGAACTGCCAGATTATTTCCCAATAGCTGACCTTATGGCCAGTAGGGGCGGCAGAGCCAACGGGTCGTGAGCTTTTTCTGCATTTGCTGAATGTCCATGCAAAAGCCAAACCCTGCCTCAAGAGATACTGAATCTCTCTGATCACTTTGTAAAAGCTTGGTGTTGTGGCCCATCCCCCCCCCCCCAAAAAAATACATATATCAATACAAAAAATCCATAAATTAAAAAAAAAATTAACTTATAACATCTCTGTAGGCAAGTAAGATATGTCAATTTACTGTGTACCTGTACTGTGAGAATAGAAGGTTAGCATGGTGGAAGATACTAAGACAAGATAAGTCCGCGGTAGCACCACGTGAACAAATCTCCCCCGTGAGCACGTGTGGCCCCGAAAAGAACCGGAGGGACCCAACGCCCCGAACAGCATGCTCCGCCCGTCGTCAGGAGAATGTTCATTCATAGTTTCCTCAGAAAAAAACTGTTGTTGGACTGCTGTTCCTTTTTTGAGACACGCTGTAAATATTTTGTTATTGTTAGAATCATGTTTTGAGTTGATATTTTGGATGTTGATTGTATGACAGGGAAACAATGGAATTGGACTGCTGCAATGAATGATTACAACCAGTTAACTGGTAGTCTGCCAACCAGTGCACCATCCACCCCATCCACCAATCCCCCGCAAGCACCGGTCATACCCTCACAAAGCAAAGCCCCTAAATTAACACAAGGTACCCATCATGCCCCCACCACCCAGCAAGATACAACCCAGCATGCCTTACCTGGGCATCAAGTGGTACAGTCCAGTGGCATGACTACATCAGCAGTGACTTCCTCTATGAGTAATGCAAGTGTGGGTGGTTCATCAAGAAGTGAGGGCTCTTCACCATCATCAGGGGAACGGAGCAAGGAAGCGTCATCACAGTCCTCTACACAACGCAGCCTTTCCATTCCACAGGATGAGAAGGATGCACCTCCTAGGTCACCAGCACGTAAGTATTGACTTTGCCTTCACAGTTACAGTACTACACTCCACACTTGTACCATTGTATGTCTACAGGTGTACTAAGTCAAGTTTACGTTGGAGTGGTTGGGGCATTTTTACCATTTTTTTTCAGTTGTGTTACAGTCAGTGGCAGCTCCTTATTTTCAGCATAACATCAGTGATCTTACTTCTTTCTTACTCACCGGTCTCACAGCATGAACTATCTGTTCCACCTTGCCTGGTCTTGGTCTCAGCACTCCATTTCCAACGATGTGACCTAGAAATTCAAGAGATCTGAACATACAAATGTAGATCTAATTGAACATGTACATTTAGGAATTTTCATTTTAAATTTTCGGTACCATTCTCTGCTTCAAGGATTACAGATCCCGAAATGTGTGAGTACACATCCATATAGGCCTGGATGTTACCACTTATGGGATGTAGCTGATAGTGGGAAAAGTGACCCAGGATATCCCTGCCACAAGATTGAAGGGATTAAAATACAGATTAACTATCTGTCCAAGCTGTGTACCGCCTATCGCACAGGATATAAGCAATCAGGCTGCTGGCTTTAATTGTAGAACAGCAACTGAATCTTGCCAAAATCTGAGTCACTCAGTTAATGTGATATTTACTATGTTGGGCAAGTTAGCATTTGTTATAGGGAAGTTCAAAGTCATCTTGTTTACCAGCGCATTGTTTATATCAAGGCATAATATTAAAATTCAGTGATAAACTTTGCAGGAGAAGCAACTGTCTAAATGTCTTTGAGTTTTCATCTTGTGTGGTAGACAAATAGCACACTACCCCACAAATTTGGACAAACTTGGGTTTATTGTACACATTTTGACAAACTTTGATGATCTTTGTCTTTGAGAATGACATGCAGGCATGAAGGGACACTAGGCCCAATTAACCCTTACCCCTTGGCCCTTTTTGCTAAGAACCATCCGCAGTCCTCCAAAATCCTCCAAACTTTTGCACTGTTCAAATGAAGGATACCAAGCATCTTAATCCTTCAAAATCCTCAGAAAGTCCTGCCTCTCAAAATGCATTCATCCTCAATTCTCCAAAATCCTCATGGTTTTCAAACACCATTCGTCCTCAATCCTCCAAAATCCTCCCAAACCGCCGTGAGGATTTTGGAGGATTGAAGAGGGTTAAGCAGCAACAATGCAGCCATACTGCAGCACTTGATATTCCTTGAGGAAAAGAACAGTGTTATGCAAGTTAAGCTCTGTATGATGTGTGAGATAGAGCTGCTACATCATCTGTGTTTCATGAGCATGATAGCAGTACATGTATATCTTCTCTCAGACAGTTCATCAAACACACATGGTTACTCTCCTGCATTCCGGTACACGAAGCAGCAATAGGGCTCCGGCAAATGTGTCCACTTTTTGCGCCTGAACTGGCCCACTTTGCGTATAAAAACGTTGGCTTTCAGTAACCGAATCATGCCGTGGGGCACTCACAATGTGACCTACTGATGGGCCTACATGTTATAGACTGATCGAGACAGACCGAAAACCATTTGCACGAAGCAGCAATAGGGCTTCCCTCATGTGCAAGTTTTCAGTCTTCATAAACATGTATTATTTTGTCCCCAGCAATAAAGAAACTCCAGCGTGGCATATCCAAGGCCAACTGTGCGCTCGTAGATCTGAGCCGCAAGCAAGTCACAGAAGACAAGCAGGAGCACGCGCATCATCTAGTAGACACACCCATGTATACCTTCATTCTTCCAGACTTGGCGCTCTTCCCGGCTGAGTTCCGTGCCTTTATGGAGAAGGACTTGCTGGAGGTGACCACTATGGCCAACCTGGAAAACACTGGTATGGTAAACATAGGACCAGCATGCAGTATAAATTGCTGTTTTGTAGGTGGACAGATATTTGAAGATTCAAACGTGTGATTTGAGTTCAATTCCATGCTAGGGTATACATGTAGTTAACAATTATCGACTGCTGTGATGTGGGATATGACATTTTTAACACCCAAGGAAGCATTCGCCTCGGTGATCTGTGAGGGGTAACAAAAGGTCAAACATATAACATGTATAAAGATTGTAACTTAGTGTTCAATCAATCACTTCAATCACTGAGGTGCAACCTTTTGATTACTGTGAGCTTTTCTGCCACATATGATATTGAGAGACTGTTGTTCCCTGTTGCAAGGCATGCAGGCCCTAGACAATAGACCGCTTGCAGACGCGTTCGATAATCGACGCGCGAAGGCGCGCGACGCCATGTTGTGGGACAGGCGTATATCAATTCACGCACATTTTGTCCCACAACATGGCGTCGCTCTGCTTAGCGCGTCAATTATCGAACGCGTCTGCAAGCGGTCTATAACAAGACCATATATTACGCAGGATTCAAATTTCAAATAGCAGCAACTCAGTCATGTTAGGATGCCTGTACTTGTAATCTGAAGGTCTGCATGGTTGGAGGTTTCATTCTACTCAAGGCACTCAAAATCACAACATCATGTTGAACTTCATACATGCATCTGCATGTACAGACATATTTCAAATTAACATTGAAAACGAGGGGATCCATGGTGATGGTGCTGGTACTGGTAGACATGAAAAGGTCTCCAATGTCACAGAGTGCTTAGCTTCAGAGCCTTGGCTTGACTGATAATCAGACATTTGTCTATACAATATACGTATAGTCACAGTACAGTGCAACGCAGCTATAACAAACATCGCGGGATCCACAGAAATTGGTTGTAATAGCGATCTTTCGGTACAGCAATTTTAAGCTGCCGGTGCTCCAGTACTGACTTTTCAATAACTAGCGCTCTTCAGAACTTTACCATGCATGCCCTTGTAGTTACTAAGAGACAACTTTGAACACGTGCCGACTATTGAATAATGTAATTAAATAATGTAATTACACAGTTTTGAGCTTACTACCTACAGCAATGGGTGGCTTTCCCCTTCTATTTGGGGAAATAATAGCCACTAATAGCTCTTCTGTTGACATTTTTCAAACAATGTTTTGTACATTGTACACAAAAATTGGGACTGATGGATGATGTTCAGTTTAGCCGAATATTTGGTGTAGCGATGTTCAGTATAGCGACTTGCACTGTACAATAACTGTACATTATTCCTCATTTGGCTGAAGACTACTGTGTTGTTCAACCAAGTTTTCTGAGAAGTTTATGTTTGGATTTGTTTGTATTTGATTACAGGCCGACTCAATTGGTGGGCAGATGGCAATACGTGTAGTCGCTTATGGCCAATGGCAACTACTGGTGATGGCAACTGCCTACTGCATGCTGCATCTCTGGGTATGTAAGCGAGATCAATATCATTCAAAATAGGGATAGAAAGGGGAAAAATATTTCAAAAAATGAAATGAAGGATATGCTTCATTTCTCCGTTATCTTCATTTCTTTGTTTTCTATACAGTTTTTAAAAGGTTATCGCAGTGAGATCCTAAATATGCCAGTAGTTACAGCAGCAAGGTGCATGTGACACTGCAATAAGTTACTGTCGTGCAGTGCTGCGTTATGACATCATCCTTCACACAAACCAGGTTTTAGTGAGCGTTAGCTTGTAGGTTCATATAGAAGAGACAGCAGAATTGGCAGAGGCATTGCCAACCCCCCCCCCCCCCTTAAAAAAAAAAAAAATGCCCCACAACACAAACATAGTCTGGTTTTATACTCTATTGAACTTTTCCTCGACAAGTCCCATAAGGTTTGTACATGGAAATCTTCTGAGGACTTGGGGCTCAGGTCCTGAGGGTTATTGTTATCACAGGGAGCACATTGTTCCTAATCCTCAGATGTAAATGATAACCAGGTACAAATGTGTAAACGTATTCAGTCTTGTACCTCCTATTGTCCTCCTTTTCACAGATGAAACTTTTCCGATTTTATTTCAAAAAATCCAATTTTTCTGACGATCTTTCCCCTGCAAAGTTTGATTTTTTTTAAATTAAATTTCAACGAATTTAATGAAAATAGCACCATGATATCTGCTATGCGAGTGCTATTTTAATCTGTTCTACCAGTCATCAGTGCACAGATTGTCTGGTAGACGCACATAAGTAAGCCCGGATTGGAGTACAGTTTATGGCTGGAAATAAGTTTAAGCATTAGCATATGACATGATTGAAACTAGTAGCTACGTACAGAGAGATGATACATGCAAACAAAACACGATTTACATTGGGTACAAATGCTGTTAATCCTATACATGTACATGTCTGTTTCTAGGTATGTGGGGCTTTCATGACAGACAGTTAACACTGCGCAAGGCTTTGTACCATGCACTAACAGAGAACCCACGCAGTCCACGCATGCAGAGGCTGAAGAGACGATGGCGATGGCAGCAAACTGAGGTCAATCAGAAGGTACTGTGTGCAGACATCATTAACAATATCAACAAATAATGAATGTTTATGAATGCAATGGTAAGAGTAATTTCATGAGGTGACTGATGGAATTTCCATTCCATGATTGCTACAGCAGTGGCAATCAGGCTAACTCGAAAGCAAGACACGCATCTGCAAAGGTTTCCAATGCGGTCACATGGCCACCGCAAAGAGCTGGCGATTGGACTGCCAGTGTGTGGGTTACAATTGGGCCTGTGGTAGCGATCAGGCAGGATTTGTTGCGATTACGGTCTGGAGTCTGATCACAATGCAGTAAGCATGCTGCATCCCTGAGTGAAAAGACAAAGTGCATTGGGCAATAATTACCATGGGAAAAAAAAGCTTCACGCTCTTTTACACTGCTTTGTGACTGTTTTGGCAGTGTTTTTTTTATGGACTAGTCGCACAAAAGTTCAAGCTAAACGGAGGTACCCGTGCAGGTATTTGGAGTTACGGGGGTATTCATGTACATAATATCCTATTCTCTTAACAGGAATGGAATATGACTTCGAGATGAACGGAGTTTCAAGTTATCCGAATTGAGTTCTCGAATTTTACTGTGTATTTGTGTATAAAGAGAAAATTGTTGTCTTCACATTAAGGTAACCATAGAGGTAGGAAATAATATTGCACAGTAAATGTCTTCTGTGTATTGCATTGTGTTTACTTATACTCACTTTCTGATATGGATTTGTCTGTTTTGTCGTGTAGTGTGGTCTTGTGTACTCTGAACAGGAGTGGGAGGAGGAATGGAAAGGCATGCTTCGTCTAGCCTCAGCCGAGCCAAGAACACCACAGCCTGGAAACTCCAAGTAAGGAACCACTTAAGGAACCACTAACCCTGCAAATTAGACGTTTTTGTCCTGGAATTCAAGCCCTGATGTTTGATAAACCATGATCTTTGATTTTTGGTGATTACAGAGGGCCAGCAACAACAGAGTGGGCTGAATCCGGCCCATTGTGTATACAAAGACTTTCAGTGAATGGCCATTCTGAATCAGAATAGAATTCTCTGCACTCTGGGACCAATTTTACTATGCTTGCCTAATCTAAATATTTTATCACTTTAAGGCAATTTACAACATTTGCAAACATCACTGATGGTCTAAAGCATCCTGTAAAATCATGGAATCTGGTGTGCTGTCATTTTTAAGAAATTGGTATTTTTGTATCAATTTCCAATGCTGGTTGGCTGACCAGAATTGGAAAAATCTTTTACCAGTTGGTCAGCATTTTGTTTGCAATTACACATGCTACAAGCCAGCTAGACTGGTTCCCTGACCTTACAATTCCCCAACGTCTATAATTTGCTCCATTTCATCTTAATTGGGGTCAGGGAACCAGACCACAGGAGCATGATTGTTTTTCTTGGTTTTTCCAGCCTCTACGAACACAAAACTTCCAACAAGTCAGTGTAACAATATTTGCTATAAAATACTAACCTCCCCAAATCCATCCATTTCTGATAATTACAGCAAAAACAAATGTTGTATATTTCCTTTAACATATTTCCTTCGTTGTCATTTCCAGGAGTCCCCTACCAACACTGTCAGAAGACAAGCCTCCTACCCCCACAGATAATGAGGAAGAGCTGACCTACGAGAGCCTAGAAGAGTTCCATGTATTTGTCCTGGCCCATATCCTACGCCGGCCTATCATCATTGTATCAGACACCATGCTACGTGATGCTGACGGCGAAGCCTTTGCACCTATCTCCTTTGGAGGCATCTATCTGCCTGTGGAGGTAGCTCATAGAGAGTGTGAGGCTTCCCCATTGGTCCTGACCTACGATACAGCTCACTTCTCTGCCCTGGTGCCTATGGAGCAGGACTTGGAGGACTATGATCGCCAAACTGGAAGCACCAACCCTCTACCTGGTAGGTTTGGTCTGTAAGAAACACAACAAAGGTTTCTGCACAATATCTCAATCAGTCACGCTATCACATTTTTCATGTATTTTGCTATTAGTTAGTATTATGATGTGGCATATCCCAGCTGCTGTTTGATAATACCGGTGTCTTCTTAGAGAGAGTGCAACCCTTTGTGGCGCGCATTACTTGCACTGTTTGTGTAACAAACTTAACAAATTGCGGTATTTGGGATATCAAATAGGTCTCGTTCAAATGATGTCATTACCTACATACCATTCACGTGCATCGGCATTTTGAGCCTCAAATTGCATAACGCGCATCGACTGCGTCGTATTTCGCACATATTTTGAGCAACAAGCGCACGTGTTTGGAACATTTGTCCACACTGCGCAATACGTGCTTGATTGCATAAAATACGCAGTTGCAGTTCTCCTACAGAAATGGCCGTCATTGAGCGAGTAAGGATTAGTCATGAAATGAGCAAATTTATCATTTCAGCTGTGTCCACTTCATAACGAATTGTCATTCTTTGGTAAAACACGAGTTTTACCAAAGAATTATTGTGGAAATAGCTGGAAAGGGTTCTCCAAAGTTTATTATGCTCAGCCAAATGTGCTCATTCAAACTTCACTTGTGTTCGTGGTCTAAGACTTACAGGCTTAATGTTTTCAAATACCAATATGTGTATTGAAGATAGTCAAATGAATTGTCTTATTAAGAATGTCTTTAGTGAATGACAGTTGGTTTTGGTAGATGTGGAGTTTGAACTAGGAAATCCTTGCAGTTCTTTTATTGGATATTTCTGTACCAGTAGTAACACTAAAACAAGTTGTAATTGTGATTTGTTTGCAGTTGTCATACCGATCACGGACTGTGACCACAAGCTGCTGCCGGTGCATTTTGCAGTAGATCCAGGGCCTAATTGGCAGTGGGGCAACACTAAGAAAACTGGCAGCCAGACAGACAAAAGTCTAAGCGTGACAGACAAGCTCAAGCTTCTACATCAGTATCTGAGTCTGGTGAAGATTCCAGTCCAGAACAGAGTCAGTGAAGATGCTTCGTCAGAGCAAGAGGGACAACAATCTCTAAGGACCTCATCAAATGACCTCAAGTCTCAGGTCAACCGCCCAAAGTCCATGAACCTAGATAAAGGTGACAAGGGACGTGGGTCATTCGGTAAGAAACTCAAGTACTTTGCCAAGCTTGAAAAGCACAAAAATGGAGGTATTTCTGCCGGTGATAAAAATGTGCCGTTGTCAGAGAGAAAAATTGGACCAATAACTCTAGCTGATTTGGAAGACCCAACCATGATTGTAGGATCCAAGATGAGTGAGAGGAGACACAGGTTGCAAGAGGAGATGATCAAGAACTACATAGACAAGGCTAAAGAAAGGTTTGAAGAGGAACGCAGACTAAAGAGGATTCTTAAAGAAGAGAATCGTCAACAGCAGCAACTGACAACCTCCCACTCATCACCCGCAAGGAATTGGGATGAACCTGTGGTCAGAAGCAGAGGGTTTTACAATGAATACCCGGTAAGCCAAGGCTACACAAGACAAGAACAGGGATACCAGAACAGGCAGCCTAGTCCCGAGGCCTACCGGCGATACAACCAGCAGGCTACACACCTGAATGTCTACCAAGCTCCCTTGAGTCACACAAAAAGCAATCCTATACCACAGGCATCTATGGTCCAATCACAATATCACCAACCATTACTTACTTCCCTGACTGGTGCCAGACCTGCAAGTTACCAGCATGGCTACCAGCTTGATGCACCTGCCGAGTCAACTGTCCTCGTTAATCAACTCAATGTTCAGCCCCAGCGCCGAGCCAATAAACCATTAGGTCATGAGAAAAGGCCTGGAGCCATCGGCCAACTGGTGCAAGGAATGCATGAGCTACAACCCACAAGTGTGTACCAACAATCCCCATCTCAGTCAGAACAACAGCCAGCCAGATCTCCCCAGATTGCACGATCTGCCAAAGTGGTATCTCAGCAGCCGCATCAGTCGACCTCTGGGTCCTCTCTGTTGCCTCCCTTAACCCAGCCTGGCTCCAGGTCACCACAAGCTCCTCCATCCCCTCTATCACCACGCTCAACTCAAGCACCTCCATCACCACAGCCGTCAAAGCCGTCTTCAAAATCAGCAAAACCAGTCAAGTCCAAAGATTCCAAAGGCAATAAAAGCAAGTCCAATGATAAGGGAAGTAGGCCCTGCATGAAGAAAGGCTGTGACTTCTATGGCACAGAGAGCACTGACTTCCTCTGCTCTCATTGCTATGAACTCAAGATCAAGAACGGAAGATCCAATCGAAAATAGAAACCCTCACACACACACACACACACACACAAAGGAAACAAGCAAACGAGAGGATGCTCCATATTGAATCCTTTCATAAAGTAGACCTGCCAGAACATTTTTCACTCGGATTGTCATCATTAGTTGTTGACAGCTATTGAATCTTTTGGATATAACACAGCAATATTACTGCAATATGGTGTCTTTTAGGACCTAGGGGCATTCTTAGAGAAAGTGTGAAGACATTTTCTCAAAAAAAACAACACCTTTTATGTGGGAAATGTTATCAGCACACTTTTCCTAGTGGTGGGTCTAAGATGTTCATTATGCAACTCATCACATGACAGTCATGGTGTACCCCTAAGCAGATTATCACTGCCATGAATATTGGTAGATCCTGCAACATGTCTGCAGAATAGCCTCTAAAAACAGGCAAACATTGTGGGTCTTTCAATAGGTTTGTACAATGTATGTATTCATATTGGAGCTGTAAGACATGTTTGAGGCAAGGAAAGAAATGTTACTGTGGAATAGTGTACAATCTTCCAAGTGCAAGTCTGTTTGATACAAACTGTTTTCTATTGAACATTGAGCATACATGCACATGGGGTATTACATGTGTGTCATTTAAGTGCCAATATATTGTTTGGTATTTGAGGGAAGTCTCCTTTGTTTTTTGGGGTTTTTTTTGTTAAATAGCACACTTACATCCAAATGTGAAACAATAATGCATTTAATAATGAGTAATGTATCCTTATGTACAAACATTTACGAAAGATCTTTATATGTTATATTTTTCTCTACTTTGGTTATGGTTATCTGTATATTGGTCAGTTGGATGCTGTATGTATATACTTTTTGCTTACATGTAGTTTCCATTACTTATTTGTATTCTGCCAGCATTTTTAGTTTATATCTTTTTCTTAAGAAAATCGGTTACAATTTTATTTAATTTGCAATTTTTACAACTTGTGTGAAAATTACATGCAAAGCATACATGTGGTGTTTATTCTGTAAATTTAAATGCATTGTTATTCCAAATGAGCTTGTTTGAAATCTTTTTTTGTATAGGCCTAAATAAAGTGTACTTAATTTTTTACAGTTTTTATCACATCCTCCAATTAGTTTCCCAAGCAGTTCGTCTCCCTACCCACCATGATTCCAAACTCACAGATCGTGCTTTGCTCACATTATTTCGTTGAGGGGAAAACAAAGAATTGAGGAGGAAAAATAATTACAAAACATTAAATGCAAACAGTGCATAGCTTCAAATTTACTAGTTCAACATTACTATTTCAAAATGTCATGCACTGTAGGCATCAGATTGTTCACCCGCAATTCTTTGTTGTCCATTTTAGAAACAAAGCATGATGAATTTTGAAAAAGTTGCCTTTTAAACTTTTTCACTGTGGCTGTGAGTGCAAAAGTCATTTAATTTGTTTTTAAGTCTGCTTGATTTATTCAAGTCAAGTTTTTATTTAGTAAGGCTCATTAAATCTTACCTTGTGCTGTAAGGTTCTTTTTATTTTTAAGTATCAAATTCTTCACTTTAAGGTGTATTGTATGTTAATGGTCATATTGAGCTTTAGTTCTGTTAAGAGCTTTTGATAAGAATATTCAAATTTACATCTCACACAAATGTAATATATTTTATCAGTAAATCACTTGTCAATCTGAACTCTGCATAGTAAGTTGATAAATTAGCTCAAAATGGTTCCCCCTTGAGATGGCAAGTCAGTTTATCGATTTTCAAATTCATAACATTTAATTCCGTCAGCTCAGAAAGAATTCAACCGCTCGTGCATCAAATGTACATACATGTATATGCCCTTTTTTTATTTGTGGGTATGTTAACTTTTATGTTATAATTTTATTTATTGCTATAATTATTGGGGAGCTAACATTTCGGCTGGAATAAGAACTGCAAGACAGCATTAGAAATGTGGGGAAATATTTTATTATTCAATAAGAGCCTCCAGTTAAGTGGTTTTGTTTTCATCAACAAGGTGCATTAGGCTGTGCACATGAGAGTTGTGATTCTGAAATTCAAGCAGTTTTATGCCAAACGTATTCACTATTAAGGTATGGAGCATACATTTGATTATGAAAATCACTGTGATCTTTTATTTTGGAGCTAATGTACACAATCGCTAGCCATGGCTTGTAAATATCACAAATATCAAACTTCTTATTGTTATTTTACACCCAATGATGTTATTGCAGACACATTGACTTTCTCCTTAATGTCGTCTTCTGTGGATTTCATATGCAACATGTTTTATCAATGCCAAGTAACTTGTTGGAAGACCACATTTTGAAATGAATGAATAGTGGGCAATGTAAAACTGGGAAAGAATGTTGCATCCTGACGCCAATTTTTCTTCATATATTATCTCAGTGAGGGTCAGTCATTGCAAACATGTTGAAAAGATATGAATCTGGGACTGAGAAACATTTCCAATTTTGTTTAAAAAATACTTTGAAAATGCACTCAACTCTCGTAGACAACCAAAAAGTGGCGTTTACATTCTTTCCTATAACTGTTGACTTTGCTTTTGTGTGTGGATGTATACAGCATCGAACCCGTTCCCTTAGGTTATTTCAGTTGGATCTTCTTTTCCATGTGCCAATTAATCTGTGCCATTATGTATTCCAGATCAATCATTGTGCCTTTGATTGTGCAAGTAATTCCCAATGCCTTGGTCAAGTCGACATTGGGTAGAGGTATAAATGTCAATTTGAGTACAATCATTTTCTTGAAAGCTTGTTAGTGAGGGATATGTGAGCCCAAAGCTCCATGGTCAGTCTTATACTATCAATTTGATCTGTATACATTTTAGAAAGTTGGATTTTTTTTATAATTGATTGAAACATTAAAATTACAGGTTATTCAGTTATTTCAGTTGAATTCATTGCAAATCTAAGGTGAGCAAAAATGAAATAGGTTTAAAAAAAAAAAATTATTAAAGTACAAGTGTTTAAATTTGTTTTGTTTTATTTTGGTGTTTTGGGATTTTTTTTTTTAAAGGGATATTTTAATTAGGTTCATTGGAATGAATGTGTGTTAAAATGTGGACAATTCATCTTGAATCCATGCAAATAAACTAGTTGATTGGCATTTGCACATTCTAAATTAATGACAAGAGTAAATTTAGGCAAAATAAAAAAAAAAACATGTTTAGCGTCCTGCCTCTTTGACAAAAAGGAAGGAGGAGGCCCTTTTTTTTTTTTTTTTTCTTTTCAAAATGGCCGCCCGACACATTTTTCAAGACAACGCGGCCGGGCTATTTTTCAAGATGTTTACCAGCTTTTTTCAAAATGGCCACCACTTGGACTCATTGACTATTTCCACAGCTTTATACACGGTATAAAAGTCTAAAATTACGATTTCTTTCGTCAGAGATTGTTAAAATTTATCATTTTTTGTCTTTTACAAAAAAAAAAGAAAAGGAGGCGGCCTCTAAAAAGGAAGCGGCCTCTAAAAAGGAAGCAGGCGGGGACGCTAAACATGTTTTTTTTTACTTCGCCTTATGCCTGAAAGTGAAGAAGGCCTACCTCCCAACTCCCAACCCCTAGACCTGATGCGTTCATCATCACATATGCATTCATCATATCGAATGCATAAGGCCGAATAAAAAAAAAGAGTTTCCCGTCCGGTCTTTTTGAAGAAAAAAAAGAAGGAATAGGCGTTGTAGTTTTTTTCCTTCCCCCCTCCCTCCCCCACCCCCCCCCCCCCCCCCCCCCCCCCAAGATGGCAGATTTTCCAAGATGGCAAGATCCTTCGATTTTCTCGACTATTTTGGTTATACAAAATTGTGTCTACATATCTACAATTTGTTGGGAAACAAGACAAAATATTGACTGCAATATAATTGCAATATATTTTTTTTTAATGAAAAAAAAGAGGAAGTCGGGAAGGAACGAGAAACTGGCTTATTTTTTTACTTGGCCACGCCTAATATTAATAACTCGGAGATTATTTTCACGATTTAAATATTGTACATTGATATGATAGAGCTGAGGGCGCTTCAGGGTTAATTTTGTGTACACAACATTGCGGCTTGTGTATTCTGTATGTAACGCTGACATTATCAGCGTTACATTCAAGGCTAATGCATCAGGCCAGCTGCAGCTGCACTCATATCGACGTTGAGAACCGTCACCTTGCTTTGGCGAAACGACATAATTAAACCAAAAATGTCAGTTATTAGCACAATTGTTGACATTTCTGTCTTACTGGGCACACTTATACTGTCCTATCTGGAGGTTTTTTACCGACTCATTGTTCCGGCGTCTCGTAAGTTGGTAGCGGGCCGCACGGTGCTCATCACCGGGGCAGGGCACGGTTTAGGCCGGCTGATGGCCCTGAACTTTGCCCGCGAAAGAGCCATCTTGGTGTTGTGGGACATCAACCAAGCGAATAATGAGAAAACGGCAAGAGATGTAAGTATATTTCAGTTAGAATTAATAATATGGAATGGTAAGGGGAAGGGTTAATTTAGGGAAAGTTTAACGTCCCATCCAGTTCTGAAGGCTAGCCATTTTATTCTGTCATGTCTGTGGCTAGCCCCACTAGTGTGGCCGCGGTATGCTGCGCTCTAGGTTCAGCGCAGCATACCGACGGCCACACTAGTGGGGCTAGTCTGTGGCTACTTCTGAAATCAGAAGGCTTCTCTCTGTCAGCTGACGGAGAGAAGCCTTCTGATTCCAGAAGTAGTCTGTGTTGTGGCCACAAATCACCGGATAAAAATTGTTGGAAAGATTCCCATATCTGGCCATCACTTATTTTCCCCTTAAATGACCTATCAGCCATCAGAAAGTGATCCTTCAAACAAAGTCAAAATTAGCAGTGACAAATTTTGAGTTTTTACTGAGAAAAACACTTAGAAATTTTCAGACCAGACCCAGTAGGGTTTGTGCACAGGGTGAAAAGTGATGGTCAGATAGGCCTATATGCTACTTCTGAAATCAGAAGGCTTCTGACGGATAGTCCGAGTAACTTGGACCCAACTTATCGCCTTTTTTAACATTTGGACATGGTCTGGCCAGACACCAAGTATATGCAATATCAGAAAATAGAAATAATGAGAATTTAATTAGCGCTTCTTCGCTTACAAAATAATTAACCAGGGGAGAGCATGTAAATATAAATGATAGAATTGAAATAGTTACTGACAGAGCAGAGTTCAGACTGGCACCACTACGATACAACACCGTAGTCTACAACCAGGCCAGGTAAAAACTACTGGGGGCAAGGGGAGTAATATTGGAACATACTCACAAGACTATGCAGACCACTGAACCCTTTGGTGTAATGGTGGTGGTGGTGATGCAAATTAAAGAACACAGCGTCTTGCACAAAAACGAAGGCCAAATTAAACTAGGCTTCCACCGTCAGCCATACATGTACAGGAACTTAGAAAATAAGGAACTGAAATGCACACCACCATCCACCACCATGCCCCAGTCACAAGTCCACGCCCTACTGGGCTTTCAAAGGGGTTTTATAGTGCTGGGTAAAAATATGCATAAGAAGTTCAAGATTAGGCATACTAATGCAGTGTGTCTTTGGTACTGGGAGATATTTGCATAAACACTAAGTACTGAGGTATGGGGGCAAGGAACTTATATCCCAGTATTGTGAGAGTAAACAATAAAGACTACCACGAGAGCTCCATCTGTGGTTCGACTGCAACCCAAATACTATTCTATTGTGGTGTAAAGTAGGTTAAGACTTAAGTTGAACAAAGTAAGCTCTGAAATAGTTTTGTGGCATTAATCTGACTTGAGAACAGATGTAATACATGACTGCTATGGATTACTGTGGCCAAAGCGCTCTCTATTTAGTTTAAAGGTGCAATTGGGACCATAATAAAATCAAATTTTGTTACAATATGCATGCATGGGAATCTTTCCGCTTGAGTAACTCCAATGCTCATCACGTGGCGTTACTCAAGCTAGGCTAACTTCACCTTTAAATTTTAAGCTAGAATAGTGAGTAAATAAAACTGAAAAAGTGGCACTTGGGTAGACCTACCCGTACCCACTAACTGGGACGCTAGAACTCCTTTTTTGGACATTTGGGATTAGACCAAAATTCCAAATGTCAAAACGGGATCTAGCGCCCCAGTTAGTGGGTCTAGCAATATAATTTCAAATAATTTTCCCATTTTCTGATCGAAAACTCATGACACCGGGATATAAATGAACACGTTTGTTTATATTTCTGATCTGTTTTGGACCATAATTTTGCCTAGTCCAAGTAACGTTGACCCTAATCATGCTAATTATCACCTTTTTTAACATTCGGCTAGTCGTCATTTTGTGCACAACACAGCTGACGAAGGTTGTGCACACCGCAGAGTTGCACTCAAAATACCTCTTTTTTCGGGTTCAGCTTGATCATTTTGTCATTTTGAGAGGATCCTCTGCTGAAAAAGGGATACATAATTGTCATAGGTGAGTTTTTGCTTGTGATTTGAACGGAAATGTAAAATACCGGCAAAAAACGTGTAAACCTCCTTCTAAGTCTAGTGTTTCCCTTTGACCCTACAGTCGCCAGGGTCAAAGTTACTTGGACTAAATTTTCCCCTGCCATTTGCATTAAGGTGCGTAACCTTGGAGGCCAAGCATTCTCCTACACAGTGGACTGTTCCTCAGCCAAGGCGGTGAGTGAGACAGCTGAACGAGTCTTGGAGGAAGTTGGTAATATCTACATGCTGATCAACAATGCTGGAGTGCTGGTTGGTGAAGACATATTGGCCTTGTCTGAGCAGAGCATTCTACAGACTATGAATATCAACGTCCTGACACATTTTTGGGTGAGAGTGTCTGAGTCATAGTGCTACGATTTCGCAAAGTGTTAAAAGTATTCCTTGCTGTGGCTATAGTTATGGAAGTGGACAATCACACACATGACATTTGTCAACCAAATGGCACTCTGACTTCACTCAACTTTCCTTAAAATAAAACATCCAGAGCCATGAATGAGAAAGAAAAGATGTAACACAAGGAAAAAAGACACAGATTTTTACGGGGAAAAAAATCTTTTCTGTCGAGATACTGAAGCTCTTGTGAATCAATTTAAGTATAGATTGGCAATGTTCTGTTGCAATGCTTTAACTATAGCCATTGGAAAATGTAAATTATCGGCTTCCATTACTAGTTTAACAACTTTGTAAATTTTACCTACACAAGTACCTATTGAAGTTGTACTACAACTTTTAGTGACAATTATGCATCAAACTTTTTACAGGACAGCAGTTTACAGCCAAGCAATTCTGAAAAGTTAAAGTCTCTGCAAACCTGCAGTTTTTATTGTTATTTATTTATTTTTGGTTGCAGACTATTCGTAGTTTCTTACCAGGAATGCTAGAAGCTAATGATGGCCACATTGTCAGCATTGCATCTATGGCCGGCAAGCAAGGTTCCCATCGCCTCACTGACTACTGTGCCTCTAAGTTTGCTGCTGTGGGACTCCATGAATCTCTGACGGATGAAATTGAAAAGGTCTACCAAAGGCCGGGGGTGCAGACCACTGTAGTGTGTCCTATGTTCATCAACACAGGATTGATTCACAGTATCAGTACAAGGTCAGGATAACTTTTATTCATTGTTCCTCAATGTTGCCCCTATTCTTCCTTTGGTCTCATATAAAACTTCAGTATTCTCTACACTTAAGCATGATGTACATGTAGGTCGGTTATTTTTCAATCTTCAAGGAATTTGGTGAGTGATTTGGATTGCCTATTCGAATCAAAGGTCTTTTCATAAATCATGCTTGAACTTTATCAGCTTTGACATTTGAAATTCAAAGCTTGTCACAAATGTGTTTATGTTAGTTTTGTTTTTTTACTACATTTTGCTCATTTGAAATTTGAATGCAGAATGATGGTCCATTGGTCATAGTTGCAATGCATGACTACATTTGATTTGTATCAAGGCCACATGATCATTGTGTGCAACAGTTATTGTCAATCATTACACAAAACTTTTCATGAAAGTTCTTAATAGTAGAATTGCTTCTTTGATATTGTAGATAGTGGAGAAGGCCACCAAAATTTAGGGAAATTAAAGCATCTCCAGCCTTCGCCACCCCCCCCCCCCCTCCCCTGAGCCACCACACCTCCACCCTATCCCCGCCCCCTGTAAGCACAACCGCTTGAAGCTTCTAAACAATTTTTAAGAATTATTTTTCAAGAGGATAATTTGAGAAGCTAGTGATCCCTATGTTTCATCCAATCTTGTATATGTACACGTAGGATTGGTGGACCAGACATGCTGAAGGCAGAGGAGGTAGTGGAGCAGATCATGGATGGTGTGCTGAAAAACCAAAGAGAAATCCTGGTACCGACTGTCTCCTCATGGGTGTCGCTGGTCCTCAAAGCGTAAGTCTCTCAGCAAATCACTGCTCAACATACGTGTAGTCTTTAGTAGTTCAGTTTCAACATGTTAACCCTCCTAAGCAAACATACATTTTGTGCCACGTAGTCCTCCCAGTCAAAATCAAACAAGTGACTGTTTTCAACAGTTAAGAATTCCCAGCCTACATAAAGCAGGATTGACTGGCTGGGACTGCTTAGGTAGCTTGATACAGCTAAGCTTTGACTCCGGGTGAGTGATAAAACAGCTGTGACCACAACTTGCCTGCTTTGTCTGTTCATGGTCTGTTGACCCAGTTTGACCAGTCACAGTGCTTGCTTGACATATGATCTGACTGCTGGTGACTAGCCTTTGTTAAAAGTATAGCAGGGGAAGTGACAGTGAATTTTGACTGTCTGTGACTGTTTAAATAGCAGGAGGGTTAAATGTTTGAACATTTTTAACGTTTTCTATCATTTTGTCACATTGGGGTGTTCTTGTTTGTTTATTGGTGGCTGTTGGTTGTTGGCACCCAATTCAATGCTAGCTGATGTGCTAACTGATAAAAAGACAAATGTACAAAGTTTTTCTTTATAGCAGTCAAGCCCTGACTAGTCAATCACAAGTCAAGTAACAAATGCTTCCTTTATTGGTTTTCATCTCATTACTTGCAATTGACTAGTTAGTGGCTCAGATTCGACTAATAATGTAGTCTTACATTAGTCGGTAGCCATTAGTCAACCGACTAATGTAAGACTACAATCGAAAAGAGCCATTCGGTTTGAATATTTGTCTTTTTATCTGTCAGCACAGCATAGGAGGGTTTATAATATGATGAAATAGTCTCCATTCCCTTTATCATGAACAAATATAGAAATTGTATTATAAGATGGAATTTTGCGTCGGGGTGATATAAATCAAATTAGGTTTTGCCCTTCACCAACGTGTTTTTAAACACTGTATACTCAGTGTGTTACCTCCCGAGTGAAAGTTGGAAAAAATCACTCGGGTGGGACTCGAACCCACGACCTCCTGCTTTCTAGTGCAGATGTCTTACCACTCGACCACCGAGCTAACGGGATCGGTTGGCCGGTTCGAATCTGATGTACATAGCAGCGGGTACCGCATAAACTATTATAAGATGGAATTTTGCGTCGGGGTAATATAAATCAAATTAGGTTTTGCCCTTCACCGACGTTTTTTTAAACACTGTATACTCAGTGTGTTACCTCCCGAGTGAAAGTTGGAAAAAAGAAAGAAATTTTAGTTAGAAATTGTAGCTACGTGTAAGAGTTAACTTAAATGTACATGCAGGATTGCAAGGTGACATTTGTGCTCTTTCTTTATTTGACAGTGTGTTACCAAAGAGGGGTTGGGAGGCAATTCTGAGGAGCCAGCAGATTGTCATTCCTTCACAGACAAGGGAGGACAAATGACTATACAAAAGAGAGTGTTATCGCCTGTGGTTACTCAAAAGCTTAGACATGTTACAGCTCACGGAGGACAGTGCAAATGGCCAGGAGTGATTGCAGTTATTGCAGTGATAACATGGTGACTTCAACCATCCTCCACAATACATATATGCGAATCAAGCTTCCAGCTCCAACTTTCAAGTTCAATTTCAAACTTAATTTGAAAAAAAAGATTGTTTGCATCACATTTCAATAGATTGCTATATTCCATAAGGCAGTTCTTGAATTATCGTTTGTGAAAACTAGCTTTTGAGTCTTACTACAATTAAAGTGAGGATTCAATAATGGTCTAGCAAGAATCATGATTTCAAGACATTGTATGTGAAAACAATCTTTTGAAAAAAAATGTTTGCATCACATTTCAATGGATTGCTACATTCCATAAGGCAGTACTTGAACTATTGTTTGTGAAAACTAGCTTTTGAGTCTTACTACAATTAAAGTGAGGATTCAGTAATGGTCTAGCAAGAATCATGATTTCAAGACTTTGTGAATGAGGAACAATGCAAGTGCCTTTAGATTTATATATTTCTGATTTGAAAGTTACAATTAAATATTTCTTCCTAGGCTTTTTACATATTTTGGAAAAAATCCTACATAAATCGAGCAACTCATTAATTTATATCAGTCACTTTGAAAAATGTGCTTTAACAAGTATTTTGAAATTGTATGTAAATACTCAACAATATTACAGTACTTACCAAATTTTTTAAAACTCTATAAATTTTTTAAAAAAATGACTTTCTTGATAAAAAAAATATTTTAAGAGGTTTTTGGTTGTGATGAAAAAAAGTTGTAAAAAATAATTAAGAGATATTTACTTATCCCGATTTTTGAAAAAACTTATGAGATTGTATTGAGAACATTTTTAATGTTAAAAAAGTTTGTGTAGAATGTCTTCCTTTATTCATAATTGGAATTATTTTAGGGATAACTGGGTTAGTAATAGTACTAAAGCTATGTCAAATGGCATAAATAAACACTGAAAAATAGCTATGCATACCTGTGGAAAATGGTGGCTGTATTTTAAATTACATTGATTTAAATCACCAGTTCAAATTGCAATAAAAATCATATTTTTTTAAATGTAATTACTGATTATTTAATCAAAACTCTTACTTCTTTGTAAAACTGAACTTTAGTGATTTTCGTGGAGCTAATCTTGAACTTGCTACCACATTGCCTCCCGCATATAAAACCTCGTCATTTGGGCCTTTTTTCTTCCTTTGAAGCAACATGTGCTCAGAATCTAAAGCTGCGTTTAACAACTCATCTGATGAAGTTTTAGCTCAGTGAATGCTGCATCTTCCGAGAAAACATTCTAGGATCTAGATCTTTCATATACCCATATCACAAAACAATGGAAGGCTTACTTTTTTTTTAAAGGGTTTCGAATATCCGGTTTCCAAATGACTTTGAAGCTAAAGGAACACTGTGCTATCAACCAGCGTAGAGGAAGTAGAATGAAGATGCTGATTCAATGAAGGACTCTCATCTCTAAACCAACATTTGGAATAACTTTCTTTGTGTACCTGTATTTAATTATGTAGGGTCTGTGCACAACCAGCACAGTAAGCATAAACAGACATTTCTAGTTTGTATTACCCTTGAAGCGTGCTACTAAAACCAGATGTTTTGGTGATGTGGTTATCAATACATTCCTCCCAATTCAGTGGAGTTGTGACGTGTTCCAAATTGAACGAGTAAAAGAAACTCGCTTGTTTTCCAGGATCTCAGAAAGAATTAAAAAGCATACTGAGTTACAATGTCTGGAATAGCAAACACTTGGTAGTAAGTTTGCATTGACATACTTGTACATCAATTTTTAATTCGATTTTTCAATTTTGCATTTAGGGTATATAGGGTGATAGGTGATAGGGTAAAACAGTAGTCGTCTTTGAGAATTCAATTATTGCAGATCGGAAATTAATCGTATGCCAACTGCAAAGTCTGATGTATATCCGACTGTAATAAACTATTCAATCATGAAACACCACCCAAGGAATTATGAGTGGTCAGAAGCAGTCTACCTCCAACCAACTTACCATCACCCCAACACCTCCTCCCCCCCCCCCCCCCCCCCCCCCATGAACAAACTTTGCTATGGTGATCACATAAATTGGTTTTTACTTTGTCACAACAAACAACAATCAATTCTGTTCTTCTTAAACCAGCTCCACTCAAGCACTGTTTATTCAACATGATATCTCAAGTACGGCAACTATAAATACAACATGGTTTGAGGAAACGTACATAAGGCATGTCATGTACAATTACTGATACCGTTGTAGTCTTGGACGAAGACGGCAGTGATCGATAGTGATTTTAGTGATTGTTGTAGAGCGCACAACTGTGTTTGACTTTCCCTCACTAATGTCTTGGAAAATTTCACAGGAATGGGGGCATGGCTGTAATGTGTAAATTAGACCGTGGGTGTAAAAATTGATATCGTTGAACAAAACGGCGACTTCCTTTTTTGTTACCGGAAGTCGCATGGCAGTCCACTCATAAGTCCGACGCCTCATAAGTCCAATGCCTCATAAGTCCAAAATTTCAGACTTATGAGGCGTCGGACTTATGAGGCATAACATTTATCTATTCCGCCTCATAGGTCTGACGCCGCATAAGTCCGACGCTTCATAGCTCCGACGCCTCCCAAGTCCGAAACAGCGTTTGTCCATTGTAGGACTTATGAGGCATCAGACTTATGAGGCTTCGGACCTACAAGGCGGAATTTATGCCTCATAAGTCCGACACCTCATAAGTCCGAAATATGAGGCGTCGGACCTATGAGACGTCGGACTTATGATACAGCCCCGTCGCATGCAGGTATCACTGAGTTACATATCTAATTAGCGATGCTTGATCACCACACTTTACAGTTGAATTTTCGCACGTACAAATATATAAACAACCATCGCGTGATGCGCACAGTGCACACGACTGACTATAAACCATTTCACGATCGCTGATTGGTTCCCTAGGAAAGCCTAGGGAGAAAATAAAGAAAAAGTTAATCTGCGACTATGAAATTCCCGAGACATTAGTGCGAGCAGACTCACTGGTCTAAGATTGTGTCGTTAGAGGGTGCACTCTAACGTATCATCCGCTGTTGATCACTAGCATCTTGGGCCAAGACTAATACCATTGAGGTGTAGGCAGACTTTTGCCTCCTGACGCAAAGTGGAGGGAAGCAGTATTATGGGAGCATTTAAAAATCACTTTGAAAATGCCATTGTGTCAATTCCTTCTGTTAAAAACTGTGTGAGTAATTGTGACATTATCTTTATTAAAGAAAAAAAAATTAAAAAACAATTATTATTAGTTTAAACATCAATGTCAGATGGTCACTTCATGAAAAGTGCTTCAAATGCCTTTTTTTCCATTGAACTTGGGAGGGCTGTTATGTCAGGGAGGTGAAACTGTGTCTGCACCAAATAATTTGCATTGCCAATATCAGGTATTCCCATGGAAACCAGACACAATCACAAGTTTTCGTTCAGATATATAGCTCATGAAATCAAATTTGCCATGTTCTCAAAACAGTGTGAATACATGTGCTGTTAGTGTTACTATGCACTTGTGAATTTTAATTGCCAAGTGATACACTTCACCACTTCTAAGTTCTATTTAATGAAATTAATTCTTGTATTAAAATGATAATTGACTTGTTAATATAGATAAAAACAACATAGAATCCTCCCATCATGTCCATGGAAAGGGATAAACATTTAAAATAACATACATGTCCCTTTTTGGCCAGATATGTGTGCTATGCGCCCCTTGGGTGTCAAAAACGGCATATCCCACATCACTGCAGTCAACAATTGTTTTGTTATATCGTGCCAGTAAGTCAAAACGATAAATGGTTGTAATATGCAAGAAATCTATTTAACCAGTGCGGTGAAACCCTTGATAACTGCAGGCTTTCCAGCCTGATGTGAGACTGAGCGGTTTCGCATTGCATGCATGCAGTTCTCACCTCTCAGTCGCAGCAGGTTCTACACGCGCGCGCATTACGCGCATTGTATATGAGGTTAACCATTGTATATGCATTTTTACAGGTGGGACACGTGGTTGCTCTAGACCAATGAAATTACAGTATCCAAGCACATGATGTAACAATAACATTTGAAGCTTTCATTCAAGTTCGCAATAGAAATGCAAAGATTTGTGAGTGAATTTGAAAAAAAAACATTGGCACATTGCTAAATGCATCCGAGTCGTCACACTGAATTATGAGCTTGCAGATAGTCAACCAATCAGCTTGGACCAACCAACCAGCCTGGACCAATCAACCAATCAACCTGTCTGTGAGTTCTATGCAGTCAGCATCCAGTATGAGGTCGCTTTCTCTAGCTGACGTTCTTGAGTGTTACATTGAAGACAAGTGTGCTATTGGGAGGAATGGGGCCAACCGCCTTACGTCCATAACTATAAAGACATTGAAAATAATCAAAAAGCTAAGAGAATTATACATGCATTACAAAAGATTTTGAAGAGTTGATAGACAATGAAGACATAAAATCCACTGGACATCACATCACGAACATAATTAAGTCTACTGCTTAATTCCATGTCCCACTACAGTACAGATAGTGTCCAACTTTACATGTTCATGAAATTTAGGGGAGGCGTTGACACGACCCCCTTGGAAATAGGTTTTGAGAGAAACCAGCCAGTCATTCATCCACAGATACTGCAATGGTCTGTCGTGCCAATCTTCTATGCTCATTCCGTACAGCTGGGCTCCACGCATGCCTTTTTTGCATGGTTGTTCATGTGCCCCCCGTAATAATTTATTACTCTCGATACAGACATTTCCCATAGTTAAACATGTGTACAAACAGAGATGGCCAGTATACATATTAGGAATAAACTGCAATAACCTACCCCTCAGCTGCTGGGATTGTTATACGCCTTTCACCTCCAAGTTTCATGCCTAAGAAAACAATGAAAAATGATATTAAAGGGAATATACAACATTTGCAAACATCGAAAAATAAAACTACCAAGTTTTTGCGAAATACCTTAACAGGATGTTGGTACATGACAGTCTAAAGCATCCTGTAAAATTATGGCACCTGGTATACTGTCATTTTCAAGAAAAATGGTATTTTTGTATCAATTTCCAACGCTGATCGGCCGATCAGCGTTGGAAACAACTGGCTTTTTTTCAAATACTAGCCCCAATTGACCATTGCACTTGTTTGCAATCGATTACAAACCTATAAACGGGTACGAGCCAGCTAGACTGGTTCCCTGACCTTACAATTCCCCCAAAGTATGTTAACTGCTCTGTTTCTTCTTATATGGAGTCAGGGAACCAGACTACAGGAAAATGATCGTTTTTCTTGGTTTTTATAGCATTTTCGAACCCAAAACCTCCAGAAAGTTAGTGTAACTATATTTGCTTTATATTTCCAACCCCCCAATTCCATCCATTTCTGAAAATTACAGCAAAAGCAAATGATGTATATTCCCTTTAACATATCCCCAAAAATGTTTCTGTCCAGAAAATTTGAAAAATAAGTATGCTGCAGTTTTGTTCATGGAAGTAATTTAATAGTAACATAAACCATATGCATTTTGGTAAAGTTCTAGTATAAAGAATGTGTAAAATTGTTGTCACGTACTGTATGACTGTTCAGATATCACACTGATATGAGGCCTGGTACATTCAATTCTTTTGTGAATAAAATATTTGATAAGATACATGTAGACATTTTGCAGAGGCGGAGCATCAATTGACAGCATTAGGTTTTGAACAACGTTTGCAAAGGTCTACATTACTTTTTGTTCATAGATAGGAATTAACGTTAACTCACCGGCTATTCCCATATCCCATCCTTTAATGACTTCTGATCTACCCAGCCTGAACATGAAGGGCTTGCCTCCAAGGCAGGAGTCAAACTGCTTGCCGTTGCTAGCAAGGGTCCCCTTGTAGTACACATGAACCTCAGGAGAGAACAAAACAGAAAAGAAGTTGTCATTATTTCAACATGTTCAAAAGGCTGTGGATTACGTGCACTAATACCCCCCTCAATGGTTACAAAGAAAGAGATAGGCAGGAGTCTTTTAATGTATGTCT